CTCTCGTGCGGGGCGCAGCCAGGCCAGGAAAGCAGCCAAGCCGATCCACTACGAAGAGGCGGGGACTACCTCTCCTCCACGCGCCCGAAATGCCGAGAGAGAGAAAGGTGGAAAGGAGGTGACTGCCGACTAAATTGCGTCTGGCGCAGTCAATATTGCTCTAAAAAAATTTTTTTTTCGCGTAAAATTTATTTTTTGACACGCGTGTCTCAACCAGACTGTTTTTAAAAAACTTTTTTTTTTCTTTTCAGGGGCCCTTTAACAAGTTCGAAAATTCGACCTCCGTCGAATTTTACGATATAGACAATTCGAAAAATCTAAATCTTTTGAACCTTTCGAACCGCTTGATTCGATCACCGAAACTTCGATTCGAAAAAAGTTCGCGGCATACCTAGTTAATACACCAAGTTACGCGATTTTTTGAGCTCTGGTAATTGCAATAATCAATTTACGAATTTTTATCATTTTCATCTGACAACCAGGCAACATTGCCCAAGTTAGTCACACCATGGTTTTCATAAACCACGTGATCATGAACGCTCTCACATTCTAGGCGCCACCATGATCGGCCAAATCTCCTCGCCACGGTACGATCAAAACCGCTATTCTCGCTCTCGCCCCCGGCCCGTTGACCTTCCACCCTGCATGCGCCTGCGAGATATTCCCAGACGACGGTGACTACGGCGAATTCGTCCGAAACTCGCTGTCGCTGGATCTCGTCGCCAGCGGGTCACAGTCAAAATGAACAGCTTCCAACATCTCTTGATAGCAACCACCCATGCCCGTTTCGATCTGGATGAGCATCGTACCGGCGTGCAGTCGTGTATCACTACTGCGTGGTGCACGTTAAAGACCCCAGGCTAGCGGTTGTTCCGCACTGGCTAAATTGCTAATCTACAGCTGAGATATCAGACGCCCACTGAGGCAAACTAACTTCTGGATGTATAAACATACACAAAACAATTTGCAATCACTCTCATCGCTGCTGCGATCAATGTCGAACACTTTGACAAGGCGAGTGATGCCGTAGACGTAATCGTCACGGACCACATGCTCAAAACGCAGAAGGTAAAAGAGGAAGCTGAAGCTCGAGACGCCGAGAGAGCCAAGTCTGTGAGTGCGTGCAAGGGGACGCCGCGCAGGAGGCTGGCTACGTAGCCAGCCTCTCGCTCCACCCGGATCTGCCCCTCCGGGGGACCCGCATATAAATCGATTTATCCCTGAAACTATGGCACCATTTTCAAAACAAATTTAGCAGGATTATAGGAACATACAATGGGTCCTAGCAGTATTGTTATCTCATATTTTATTTTTGGTGTGTCATAACCCCTTTAAGACTCCGCTTCCTAACCCAAAACGAGGTGACTAATGTTTTCATAACTTTTGAATACAAATGGCCTTGAAAAACTTTTCCGCAGAATTTTCATTCCTTATTTCTTATCGGTGTTCCCTTCAATTACGAACCACCAATTAAAAATTTACTCAGTGTTTTTTCACTGTAAAATTAAACTATGCATCGCCAAACGCTCAGTCTCCGCCAAATGCAGTGCTACCAGTTCAGACCAGATGTTTCAGAGCTTGCCATTATCAGAAAAAAAATTTCAATAGGCAAATGGCAGGCGACGATGCCTATGAATACATGAAAATTAATTTCATCAACTACTAGAAATGGGCCCCACTTTCCAATCAAAATTTTAGGAAAATCACTCATAACTTTTCAACAAGGTAACTACTTGGCTCCAAAACTTTGGCATCTGGACTCGACTGCTAGCGCTACATTTGTTCAGAGACTGAGCGTCTAGGGATACATGGTTTTTGTTTTCTGCGGTGAAAGAAAACATAGCATATTTTTTTGGGGGGACACATTGTAGCAGTATAGACGGTGGCTAAAGATGCTACACCAAGAAGAAAGAGTGAAAAGAGGGTTAGAAGAGATCAAAATGGGAATAGAAGAAATGCCACCGTGTTCAACAAGGTGAGGGTTATAGTAGCCCAATGCACGTCACCAACGTTGGCAGAAGGGAACAGAAGAAAAGAATGATAGGTAAAGTACTCAGCAAACCCCAGGTTCCAGGCCCACACAGCCAACTAAGACCAGGTGTTTTCTAACCTTATTAGGTTTTGGAATTCATGCAATAGATTGTATCGAGGTACAATTGTAAAATTATGTGCTCAGAAAGTGCAAAAAAAGAATTCTTAGGAATGAAAAGGGTCAGAGTGTGCAACACAGAGGTAGCTTGGTCCTAACTATTTGAAGATAAAGTTACATGGCAGGAGAGCTGGCAGTGTCACGATGGTTACCCCACAAAAAGAGATCTAAAAGAACGGAATCACACAGAAATCTGTTTGTTTGTTCTGTTATTCATTGTTTCTTCCTCTTGGGGAAGATGATTTCCATCAAGCCCTTTGACAAAACTTGATTCTAGTATTTGTTCTTATTAAACTTAAGGAAGCTTCAGTTTCCATATATGATATATATGATTACTAGCACATACGTAAACAGATACAGGGTGTTATTTTTTTATTTAATACATATTTTTCTAAAACAAAAGATGTGAAAGTCAGACAAATGCGGTCTGTGCAAGTGAGTTATACGGTCAGGCGGGCGATATGCTCCAAAAAGAAGGCCACTAAAAGATGACTAATCAAAAGAAATTCACTAATTACTTTCTTAATTAAGTGTCTTGGAGCACATGTTTATATTGAAGAAATGGAGGCAATAGTGGGGTTACAAATCCTGGATCGAGCACGCAGTTGGAATTATTCACTATCGAATTTTGTTCCGGAAATCTGTCAATATCGAAACCAAACGCGCGACGCCCGCCGGAAGGACACCGCTCTTTGACGCCAGAGGGTCAGGTGTTTTTCAGTGATATGACGCAGCAAAGCAAAGCAACTTGTCGCGGCTGATGAGGTGGCTCATCGCTTCAGTTTGCCAGTCAAGGAGAAAATGACTGCAATCACCTCCGGCGCACTGTGACGCAAAATACAGTGTAGACCGCATATAACGTATGTCGCGGGAGTCGCGAAAATCCGCACTATAAGCGGTACCGCACTATAACCAAAACATCAATTTTTCAGGCCAAAATACATGCCATGAGACAACTTACACTTGTGAAAAGAATTTATTTTATGTTAGATGAAAAATAAAGCTTAGTTTGAGGAAAGTTTTTATTTCACCAGACTAGTACAGTTCTGTCTCAAGTGTGTCACACATTTTGGAAGAAATTAGCGGCTTTTGCCTGGCGCAGCCTTTTAACGGCGTCGCGGGTTGCGGACGGACGTTGAGAGCGTTCAGGATTGCTAACCCTAATCACTTTTCTCCGGAGATGAAAACGCGTGAAAATTCGCATCCTTCACACGGTACGCGCCAGTAATACCTTGAACTTGAGCGCACGCATGAAATGCGCCAAGTAAGAAATCCGGGCGATGTTCGAGGACACAAATGCTTAGAATCACCACTGTAGTCGAAGTAAGCAAACACGACGACACGGGCGTTCCTGCCGTCTTGAGAGCGCCGCCACGACATCACCGCACGAGTAGGTGGATCTTCCCTTCTAGTACGTGCTGGGTTATCATAGCGACACACAACGAAAATTCACAGTCAAGGATAGCGCTTTTACGCGGAACGATGAGATGAACGCCGTCTACGACGACGATCACAACCGACGCCGTGTTTGCGGATAGAAGCAGCCGGCCCGCGACCGGCATGTAACGCGCGCAACACTTCTCCTCGACCTGCGATTGGTCTGTCGCTGCGGTTGTTTGTTTCCAACGCAGCGGAGGGACGCACGCACGTGAACGACACGTGCGTGCGTCCCTCCGTCGCGCTTGCTGCTCGCGCCGTCAGCGCCGTTATCTAGTGTCGCACAGGGAAGCGCGCTCGCTGCTCCGGTCATCGGCGCGGTCGGCGGGCTGTGCCAGAAACCGCACTATAACCGGTATTTCCCTTCGCGCGCCTGCATTTTAAGCGGTATGTAATTACATGGAGTTCTATGGGAGACGAACCGGTGGTTTAAAAAAAACGCGTTATACCCGGTCCTGCACTATAAGCGGTTACGTTGTAAGTGGTCTATACTGTAGTGATGCAAATTTCGTCATTAACCTGCGACCCTCCTGCATCAAACAAGGGTTGTCTTTACGGCACGCGTTTGGTTTCAGTATCGGCAGATTTCCATAACTAATTTTGACAATGAATAACTCAAACTGCGCGCTCGATCGATCAAGGATTTTTAGAAACTGGAATGGCCTTCAGTGTTGATTGCCTCTGTTTCTTCAATATAAACATGTCTCTGAAACATCTAATTAAAAAAAGTAACTAGTGATTTTTTGTTAATTAGTCATCTTTTAGTTGCATTCTCTTTGGAACATAATTAATAAAGTAATTAGATTTGTAAGCAGTGATAGAGTGTGGGCGAGCTGGTAATTAATCGACATCTTGTAAACCCTGAGATGGGAAACATTAAAAAAAAAAAAATTATAGATCCTTGTCAATTAGCCATCTTTTAGCTGCATTCCCTCTTGAACATAATGTTTGTGTAGCCGTATAACTTACTTGCACAAACTGCATATGTGTAGCTTTCACAGCTTTGTTTTTTTTTTAGTAAGATCAGTATTTAATTTTAAAAAAAACACTGTTTATAACTATCATAAAATTTTCAAAGATACTATTTCATATTGTTTGTGAGACATAAACAGAATATTTCGTAACAATAGTCAAGGGCAAATTTTAGTTCTCGGTAAGAGAACTCTTCCAACCGAAATTTCAAAGTAAATTATGTTCCCACTAAAATCTACATGAAAAGAACTCCTACGATATCCAGCCTATATATCACTGACCAGCCCAGTTTTCTCCTCTACAAAATATTAGATAGTTTATCTGTCCGGTGCCAGCTTTTATAACATTTCTGCTTCCACAGGGCAGTATGTTGCAGATTTTTCAAACTGAAGTGGTCACCCTGAGGGAGAGAAAAGGTGTCCACACACAAAAGCTCCCTTACCATACTTGCTGTCCATGCAGTAGTATTGGATGATGGCTGTCTTACTGACCAGGTCATCTGCCATAGAAGAGTTGCTCACTTCAAGGTGGTTGATCTGCAAATGCCACAAACAGCAAGCAGCATTTTGTAACATGAAATGCTTATCATAAAATCCCAAACGAACGCCCACGAATAATGAAGAGAAAAATGACAATAAATATGGGGTAGGCAATCTTTCAGACTACAACAGCAAAATTTTATAAAGAAATGAGCCATCGGTACGCGAGCATCTCTTATGAAGTTGCATGACATGCGACTGCGAGCCAAAACTGAATATCGTGGACACTGCAAACTCGCGTTTTATTGTGCCGATTCTCAAACTTAAACGGATACTGAACTGAAATTTGGATTTTGCAAAATAAGGCCGCAGAAGCGTTGAATGGGACGCTACGAACTCCAAAACATCACTCGTACATCGATATCTCAAATGGAAGGCCATACTTTTGGAAAAGAAGGACGCGATCAAGCGAGGTCTTTCACGTCACTGTCCTCCGGGAGAATTAGAGAATGAGGGGAAGCGGCCTCGCTTCTCTCCTTCTCGCTTCGGTCCACCAGCTCGATGGGACGTAGAGAGGAGGAGAGGGAATGGGAATCACGATGTGACTTGTCCCGTCGGCCGTGTTCAATCGCGTACTTCTTTTAAAAAAATACGGCGATCCGTTAGAGATACCGCTGTATAAATGATGTTTTTGGGTATTGCAGCTTCTCGCCTATCTGTCCAGCCATGTTTTGTGAGCTCAAAATTTCGGTTCAGTATCTCTTTGAAGGGGATAGGACACGAAAATTAAATGGTTAGATTATTCTTTAAATGGAGTGCTTGTGGGCTACTTCGTATATACACCAAGTTTCACAATTTTTAGAGCTCTAGTAGTTGCAATAATCAATTTACAGTTGAACCTCGATTTAACAAGTGAGCTCGAAATTTCGGTTCAGTATCTCTTTGAAGTGGTTAGGACATGAAAATTAAATGGTTAGATTATTCTTCGAATGGAGTGCTTATAGGCTACTTAGTATATACACCAAGTTTCACAATTTTTAGAGCTCTAGTAGTTGCAATAATCAATTTACAGTTGAACCTCGATTTAACAATGTCACCGGGACCCACTAATTATTTCGTTAAATCGGGAACTTTGTAAATTCGAGGAAGGGAGACCTCGCGCATAGACTGCGCGGGGAATCCAATATTGTTCCTTAAATAGGGAAATTCACAAAATCGGGTTTCGTAAAATCGAGGTTCAAGTGCACAAATTTTTACCATTTTCATCTGGCAACCAGGCAACAGTTCTTAAGTTAGCCGCACCATGGTGCCCATAAACCACGTGATCATGAACGCACTCTCACTCTAGGCTTCCCTGTGATCGCTTAAAGGGGCCTCGCAATCCCATTTAAGCGTCTACCTTTTTTGCAGTTTCCAAATCTCGTGTGGTTCGGGCAACCCAGCGGGTACGGAGGGAGTAACTACCGATTTACTCGAGAAATAGCCGCACTGTTTATGAAGAAAACTTGAGGGTTCGCTTTTCCGCGAAGCACGCGAATTGTCAATCACCGCGATCGACAGCGTGACTATAGCGGTTTACAGGACAGAGATAACGTCTTTGCGCGAAGGTACTATCTGTGAAAATTGTGTTTGTATGGAAAATCATGTTCTTGATCTAATTATTCGCTATTTATGCACAACGCGATGATTGGCTGTATATGTGCTTTACGGGAAAGTAGAAGCAAGGGCCTTGTTCATAAATAGTGCGGCTATTACTCGGGTAAATACGGTAAATATCAGTGCTTCTTATTTTAACCGGACGACGCGGAAGCCTCACCACCTACGGGAGCGCTTCGTGGTACCAAAAGCATGCGGCATGTGACGAATTCGTGACGTTGTTGGTCCTGGCCAGCTCCAGCCTTATGACTGGTCAGAGCCACTAAAAGTTGTTTTTTAGTCGAAATACAAAATATAAGTGGCACAAACTGTTTTAATTATTTATGAAAGTAGCTTTTGTTCAGTATTTTAGATCAGAAAAAAAACAAATGCAGTTTGGAAAGTATGAAAACAAAAAATGACTCATCGACATACCCGCCACCAAGCAGAAGAAAAAGCGGCGCGAACTAGAAAAGGGTAGTTGGATCGGGCGCCACACACTGCTGTTAGGTGGCGACTGTAGAAAGGTCCTGGATGTACTCAGCAGCGCTGCTGTCATATGGGCTGGAGGATCCAATGTGTTCCGAGCATTCCAAAGGCTTTCAGCGAGCAGGTTTGGCTTGCAGTTTGACCGTTTGGCGGTTTGGCAGCGCGAAGTGGCTCCCGTTCTGAACGATCTTTACCCCGTGTTTGCTGTCGTTTGTGGCCAACGAAGTGTCATGCCGAATTAGTGTTTAGTCGCGCAGCAAATGCAATGCAACCCACCCTGGCCATCCGCTTCGTTCAGCCTATCCAGCACATGCTTTAGTGGCGTCGTCTCGAGCCGTCGACACGGAGTGCAACAGCCGCAAGCGCTCTCCGAGCTCACTACCGCTCCTTTAGTTTACGGCCACTCAAGCCAAGACCAGGGACGTTATGAAGAAGGTTATTTTTTGCTTGTCTTTGTAATTCTAATTTGCCTATAACTTTTAAAGTAAAGCAAAATTCGAGAAAAGAAAAGTTTCACTAAATTACTACGTTCAGTGTGCTCAGGTTCGGTGCAAATTAAAAACCAGTCAAAAAGTCATTGCAGGGCCCCTTTAAGCTCTCCAAATCAAAACCGCTCGCGCATCTGGGCAACCCCAATGCTATATTCTTGCAATCGCCCCCGGCCCTTTGACCTACCACCCTGCATGCATCTGCGACATTGTCTCGGACAACGACGACCACGGCGAGTTTGCCCACGAATCCTCGTCGCTAGCGTTCGAGGTCAAAATGACCAGCTTCCAACATCTCTCAATAACAATCACTCTCATCACTGCTGAGACCAGTGTCGAAGACTTCTAAGAAGTGAGCGATGCCGTAGATGCAATCGTCACAAACCACATACTCGAAACGCGGAAGGTAAATGAGGAAGCTGAAGCTCGAGATACCGAGAGAGCCAAGTCTCGGTAAGCAGGCGACGTCACCAACCATGGCAGCTTTTCGAATGGGGCGGATCCAAGGATCCCGCATAAAAATGATTTGTCCACCAAACTATCGCGCCATTTTCAAACAAGTTTAGCAGGATTATAGGAGCATAAAGTATGGTTATCTGAAATTTGAATTTTTTGCATACCTGACTTCTTTAAAGGGATACTGACAGGGTATTTACGCTCGCCAAGGTTTTTATTTGTACATGACATACGAGAGCCCAGCTAACCATAACAAAAATTGCAACTCAAAAGTTGTTTTGTTTTTTTTCTCCTGAAAATTACCAATCGAGAACTGGCCAGTTTGAGTTGCACTCACTCTTTTCTTTCTGGTCAAGTGCCGTTCAGACACAACCACCAAATATAATTAAAGTCATGGGTCATCGAAGGCACACAATATACCAAATTGAAAAAAAATATGAAACCCATTTTTTGTGGCTTCTAAAAAAGCTGCGTATACATCGATAGAAAAAAAAAAAGTTACGAAGTGCCAGAAGCACATGCACTGCGCAATTCTCAACATGACATTGTACAGCGGGATCGCGAGAGTCGCGGGTTGGACGAAGGGGACGAAGCCATGGCGGTGGACGACAAAAGTGGGACCTCTACTTCAGAACTGTCGTTTGCGGTAGGCAAATCTGTCTAGCTTCGAAAGAGAAATCTTTGACCAATCAAAACAACTAGGATTTATATTCCATACGACACGCGCGACCACCAAGCTGATTCGCTCAAAATCATCGCCCCTTCCCCTGGGTGAAGACGTCCCTCGTCTTACGAACACGAATTGGCGAGAGCTTGAAAAATGCACGAACATCAAGCACGAAGTATATACTTGGTGTTGAATATGTGTGCATATGATTTCTTTACCAGGTGCGAGTGTGGTCAATGCGTGGTGCAGCCCGACTTCAAGAATGGGGAGTGCCTTTGCAGCAGGGAATTGGTGGCAAACTTTCTGATCTACAGTCGACTGGCTGCATGGGAGAATGGGCATTTCTTTCGCGTTTTTTTGCGCTTACAGCCTCCGCAGGCTCCACTCCATGGGATAGCTAATGCTTTCGCATTATTAACCCAATTATAAATTATTTACAGTGTCTTGTATATTTTGTTTTGTCAATGATTAGAGATGCCACACGTATTACTTAAGGAGGGAGGCTGTTCTCTAAATGACAAGAAGTTGGGGAAAAGTCATTTTTGAGAAAATAGATTTTCTGATATTTAGACATACCCATCCAGCACCGTACAAAATATTATTGCTCTCTCTCATTTCCAAATATGAAAAAAAAAGAAAAATGAAGTATTCATTTCCTATGAACATTCAGTAGGAATACACACACTTCAAGTACTTTTTTTTCTCTCTTCACACTTCTTTCACAAATACCGATGCCCTACAGGTGTTTTCCAAAGTTTGTCTTGGACCATATTGACATGTTTGGTACCATTTTAATCGGGAAGAATGGAGCTGTGCAGTGATGCTTTTTTATAGTCTTCCGATGCTTTTTTATAGTCTTCCAACTTAAAAGTTCTATCCAAATAATTACTTTCTTAAACAACAAGAAAGCATGTCTTTTACACTATAATTACAATCGTTCTTCAGTAACATAATCCTCTCAGGTTAGATCTAAAATAGCATCACCGCACAAATTAGTACACGCTTGTGAATGCAGCTGCATTAAAAATTTTGATCATTTACGAATAATTTTTCCTTAATGACCCGTAACAAATGACTTAATCAAATTAAACCGATATGCCATAACTCGGGTTTTAGTGAAGATATTTAATATCTGATTGCATATTTGGAATAGGTGTGAGATATGTTATATCTGTGAATATAAGTATTCTTTCATAAAAAAAGAAAATTACTCTAAAGCCCCACATCCCCCCTTGAAGAATGTATTATTTAAATATTATTGAAGTACATATTATTTAAGTATGTATTATTTAAAGTAAAGAATGGAACTCAAAAATAGGCATCTCTACTCCTTAAATTTTCAATGTGTTTAATAATGATTGCAACCCTTGTATTCAAATTGTGTGAACAGCCTGCTCGGCCGATATGGCCACATCATACGGTGGTCTGTGAGAATTAGAATGACTGTATTGGGAGGCAGCTAGCACCACCTAGAGGAACATGGCAGCAGTGGTGCGTAAAACAGACAAGTGGCTCATTCACACACTCGCACCGCCAAATTGTGTACTGTTTCTATTTTCTGAATTTAATATTTTCCCATTTAGACTTATCGGGCGGATGCATGAAACAGTAAACAAAACATCTTGAAAACTTGCATGTAGCCATTCCTTGTTTCGCACGTGTTTGTCGCAACGGATCTATCGCGACAAAGTGAGGCGTGTTTTATCTCGCTGGAAGCAGGACCAGCGTCACAAATGTTTATAGTAATGCACTGATTGCGGAAAAATGTAGTTCACTTTGCCCCACTGGAGGCATGACCCAGCTTAGTGTAAACGGCTTAATTTTTGAGAATTTCGCAAATCAGCTACGATTTGCAAACAATAGGTCTTACGAACAAATCGGGCAAAATGTCAACGCTTCGGAAGCTACATTGAGATGCTGTGCTTCCTTCAGGAATAATCTAACAACGGGGAAAACACACATGCAAAGGTTCTCACATGATCATTATATATGTTCAATTAAGAGCATAAGTATGGAAACCATTTAAAAGAAAACACAGCAACAAGCCGGAATTTACGGCCACCTCAGTTTACAGTCACTGCAGGTTCTAATTTTCTATTTCCAAAAATTAGAACCCGCAAATAATTCAAAATTTACAGCTTCAGTTCAATTTGCGAAAATTCAGTCATTTACGGTATTTTCTTTTACCCGAATGCATGGCGACTAGAGTAAGTCCTATCAAACATTGCACGAATTTGATGTGGTGGGCAATGCTTAGCTGTTTTTCCCTTTACAAATACTTGGTCAGAAAAACAGCACGAGCGTTCGTTTGAGCATTTACGGTACAAACGAAGGGAGAAACATATCTGAGTGCTAGTTCTTGACTTTCGCTACTTTCTCATTCGACCTGCACGACCGGTTGAGGCGAGAGCTGTGAGCAAAGAGGGACGGTTGCTTGTAATGCAGTCAAACCTTTTCCTCCAAGACCCATTTCTCTTCCTGAAGTGCCGCGAGTCTCCCAACCAGATCGTTGTTTTCCTGCTCCAAGAGACCGGGGGACGCCTTTGCTGGTGCCGACTGAAAAGTGACGTAGTCGCTGGGTGAGCACCAATAACTTGAAAAATTGATACAGTAATGCAGCATAAACTTGACTGTCTTCCAAATGTTTTGCTCACCCTCACTGCTACTAAAATAAACACTAAATTTTTGGTTGCTCACACAACGCTTTTGCAGCAAACTAATGCTTTTAAGGTGCCTTTGATGGCCCGCAAAAATTGGTTTCTCAACATATCACGCTGCGATTTACTATGGATGTGGTGGAAGTTTACAGTGATAAAATCACAAAACGAACTTGCCTCGTTCAAAAGAAAAAAATATTAGTTGGCGATCAAATGGATTCTTTGGATGGAAATGCGCTATCATTAGTCCTTCCTCACCCCCTTTTCACCCCGTCCCATTTGTGTACGAACACTTTTCATTCATTTATCACCGCATCCTTATAACTCGTGGAGGGGACCGTATTCATAATTTTAACTACACATGCACCACTTCTACGGAAACCCAAAGTAAAGATCATCTGGCGACGGCAGAGCGTCAACTGAGCACGCCCGCAATCCACCGCGCCGAGGCACCTCCTTCTCTCTGACTCCACGCCAGCTGTGGGACGCTCCTTTGACAAAAACGTTTGTTTAAAACAAAAACCTGGCGGTGTCGGTCAGTTTGTCAACACTGGGGAAAGAGGGAGCGGGTGACGCATGTGACGTCAGTGCTTCGGACCAATAAGAGCATCTCATGCGTCGCCCTCCTCTCTCCTTCTCCCCCTCCCTCCGGCGTTGACAAAGTGGCAGACACCGCTGGGTTTACACCAAAATGAGTGTCCTAATGCTATCGCATTAAAAACAGAAACTGTTCTTGGCAATCTACGCCGCCACTTCGCAGACGATGTACGCATAGTGAGAAATGCTGCCGACAGATGGCGTACGCCGTGTCAAGGGAGCACTAGCCGATTCTGGTTACGATTGCAGACAATCTCATAAAGAACCCGGATCAACCGGCACTTCCTCCACGCGGTCTATGCCACCTGTCGGCAGCACTTCTCACAGCGCGTGCACCATCTGCAAAGTGGCGGCATAGGTTGCACAGAACAGGGCCCCATATTTTTCTTTTGAATGAGTTAAGCACATTCCTTGATTTTTTTCACTGTAAACTTTTACCACCTGGTTGCACCTCCGTAGTTTGTAGTAAATTTCAGCGCAATACGTTAAGAAACCGATTTTCGCAGGCCATCTAAGAGCCCTAAAAGTGTTAGTTTACGTGCTGTACAATGGATTTGAGGTGTCCACTGATATCACTGGGCTTCCAATAATGCCAAAGGATACAGAATCATGACATGCGTGCAAGTCAAAGAGCAGCCTTCAACTCATAAATGATCGAGGTTGACTATACAACCAGTGAAAATGGTCCACTAAGAAGCATCTTAATTCAACATTAATACAGTCGTATCTCGTTAATTCAAACTCGAGGGGGACCGAAAATTTGTTTGAATAAAGCAAAGTTTGAATTACCGGGAGTTTCCTCCCATAGAGGCGCATAAGATGAGACCTGCATGTTAGTTTGAATTATCCGCAAGTTTGAATTAACGAGATTCCACCGTACTATATAAAATCAAAATCTATGCTAATTGAAGTCAAGATTGTGGCTACTAATTTTGATGAGGAAAAGACAATTAACACTCCGTGTTAATTGTCACAAACAAGCTGGTGAACATTAGACGTAACACATTTCGTGTGTGTCTTACCTGCAGTCTCAGGGTTGGGTTGTGCCTAACACTTTATCATTCACAGAAACGATTCCATCGCGCACAGCACCGTCCACAAGGCGGGAGCCATTGCTGTCGAGTTACCTGTTCTCCGTTGACAGAGTGTCCCCCACTGCTGTTGTTGTTTGCACTGTCCTTGCTGCTGTCCTTGGAGTTCTCGTTGTTGCCAGACACATAGCTCCAGGAACCGATGCTGCTGGAGTCACCGCGCTGGCGCTCCTCATAGCTAATGGGCTGAAACAGCTCGTCTGCTGGGAACACAGAATGCAATGGACCCACATTTTGAGATTCGGGGTATTCCTCTCTTTTACAAATAGCATTTCGCGGGTCTGCCTGCCATGTGAAGGATTCAGGAGAAAGTAACTACTACATAAAACTTGAGTGGGCATCTACGAGTTACTAAAGCCCGAAATTGTGATGAACTGTGAACCCTTGGGGAAACTAAACGCATACCTTGAGTGCCAGAAATCTACAATGCAACTGCAGAAGGCACGGTCACCTGTTCCAGACAATGCAATGCATTAAAAAAAATGTATCTACAGTTTGCACTGTTCCTTTTAAATAAAACAATGAACCCCTACAATAACGTCCTAGTAAGAGAATGTAGGGAAATGTATAAATAAATAAATAAATAATTCAGGAAGCAGTCTGAGCTCACAGCTAAATGGGAGGTGCACATCACTCGAAAAAATCATAAGCACACGACACAAACGTGACACAGAATTTTAAACGAAGGTAAGAACACACTTATTGTCTCGGTCCATGATCACCGTGACGAAATCGTTGCCCCGAGGAGCCGGAGGAAACTAGACACGCGCGACGGGACCGCCACTTGGCGGAAGGAAAGGAAATTAGGCACGCAAGCGCTTGGAACAACGGCACTGTCCACTACGAGATTTTGTTCACGCAAACAAAAAATCCATGGAACCCTAGCCATAAACAGTGCCGGAGGAAACTAGACATATTAGAGTTTCTGTATGGGCTCCCTACGGGAGCCAGAGTTGCACGTTCATCCCCGTAGCGCTGTCTTTCCTGCATGGCATGTTGATCCTGCTCCTCCATGACTTCAGTCTCCTTTGGCAAGACTTCTGCGGCAAAAGTCTAACTATAAATACCAGTAATTTTGTGATATTCACCACAAAGAAGGTCACCTTTAGATGCAAACAAAACCATAACTGTAAAGGTAGACCCAAGTATTCCAGAGCAGCATCAACTTGTTTGGGCACATCACAAACCTCTTTCACGTTCATGACACGAGACGGTCAGCCAAATGCTCAACTACAAATCAAAATGCAAAAAGCCTGGCAGCATCCAAAGATGGTGAAATTATAGAGGTCAAAGCGCAACTCCCGTTGAAAACAAAACCAAAATAAATGACTGGTACCGCTTTACTGGCACGAAATATTATGTCAAAGTAAAGCTGCATACCTACTCCATTAACACCAATTTTAAAGATGTGACCACTGCTTTTTAGCAGGTGGCAAGCGGGTTAGCGTTTAGTCAAGCAACACTGGGCGACGCGTACCAAAACACCCCTGTAACGTCGCGTCGCAGCCGTACGGCTGATAAACAGTGTTGCCATCCCTCTGCAGCAGATAGTTTCGGTTTTGCCGTACGCGCCCGAAGCCAAACTTTGAGCCATGATATCTATTAAACTACACAAAATATTGAAAAGAAAATTCCACCTTGTAATTCAGGGACACCAACTGAGCTGAAAACAGCCGTAATCCAATTAGAAAATATTGGCCGGAGTCGCCCTTTAAGAGCGACAAGTGCAGCCCATGTGATTTGTTTTCCATTCACTCCTGTAACAATCTCGAAAGAGATTAACAGCACTAATAAAGAAAAGAACAAAGATATGAAGCCTCAAGAGCCCACAACCACCGCAATTGTGCGGAAAGCTCACCAGATCTACCGAGACTCGTGTCGTTGAGAACTTCCTGAAGCCTTTCCTGAAGCTTGTCTGCCCGTCTCCTTTCCGTCTGGAACTGCCTTTTCAACTCCTTCACCTGAGGATGAGTACGTGCACATCAGCACGCCTGACAGGAATTTACTGATGCGAAGACTTAAAAAGACAGGAGGTACGAACCATGGACAATCCCTTCTTGTCCTGAATCTTGCGTTCCTCTACGTTGTCCTTGAGCTCTTGCTTCAGCTTCTTTGCTTCTTCCTCGAACTCGCACTTCTGGCTGTTGGAAATCTCCAGTTGAATGGTGAGATCCTGTGTGACATAGAAACAAAAAGAAATTAAGCTCAGGTAACAGGGCCATGAGACAAGAAAGACCCAGCAGTGGGTGTTTCCCTGTGATCCTTCTCTCCATAAGACTGCATCGCTGTGTGTCGTCGTGGCTCTTGGGTGAACCACCCAATAATGCGGGTGTTTCACCTACGGTACTGCACGCAGTACCGTGGCAGACGTGAATTTTCCTTTTTTATTTAGTTGTCTCTTCTGAGGTTCTTTGCCCCGCTGTAGAAACAAAAATGCTATCCTTACCTACATGCTTCTTTTTTTAAAGCATAGACATAAACAAGAACTGGCATTTTCTATGCATTTTAAGAATGTGAGCAGTTCATTCTCAAGACCAGGTTACCTATACTTCTTTGTGGAAGCTTGGTCTGGCAAACGCTAATCACACACATCTGTTTATCTGACACCCAGCACTTGCGATCGAGCTAGGCTGGATTTCAGAAACTGCGCCACGTCGTAGTAGCCAGTACGGTCGGGCTGAACTGAGGCAGAATTTTCTAGGAAAACACGAACAGAAGGCGAACACATTTTTCTGCCATTTTCAGCTTACTCAGTAACTCAAGATATGGATAGACACTGCCATAAAGTCTCGTATAAATTTCCTCCCCCGAGACATCGCCCGTCCCATTTTTTTGGCTTATTATCCAGAGACTAAAAATTCCAAAACATTGCCCATCCCCGATTCCCGACGGATCAACCGCACGATTTGTAGTATCAGTGTGGGTAACAAGCGAGCTTAGAGCAGGTTCCTGCATGTTCATCGCACCACGAGACGCAAGACTGCAGCATCCACGATTTGCGGTATCAGTTCTTGTGCCACATGCCCTCTTGCTGTCTCGTTCCCAAAGATCGCCCACCCCGACATTGTTCGCCGTTTATCTCTTCAAAATGAAAGGGGCACATACACAGGATCTTACAATAGCCAATCTGCTACGATAGCTTTTCCTCCATAAAAGAACTTGTAATTGGGCAAGTTGGTAAACGTTAGCAGGCATGGTGCAAGGCACAAGAAAACGAAGGACATAAGGCTCCCGTGTGCATGTCTTCTTCCTTGTGTCCGTTGTTTTTTGTGCCTTTCACCACGCTACCTAAGCTTTTCTCCCTAGTATCCCCTAAAAAAAATGGACACTGTCATATTAGGGTATCACCTTTACGGCATCGTCCAGCTGCGACTTGAGCTTGGTGTAGTCGTCCGAGAGCCTTGCCTTGCACTGCTCCAGGTCGTCTCTGGACTCCTCGATGGCCTTCTGTAGCATGTCCACGCGTTCCTGTGCCTCAGCCTTGAGCTGAAGCACCTCCTCCTTGAGAGAGGGCAGCAGACGCTTGTACAGTGCCAGCGCCGCTTCGTTTTCTATCGCCTTTGCCGCACGCTCCTGTGCAGCCGTAAAAAAGGGGCCAACGGGGAATCATTCAGTCGTCACTAGATGGGAAGACCCCACTGGCACATTGTAAATGACTCAATCCTTGCAAATTATGCAACTTGAAATATATCACGCAAAATCGATCGTGCAAAGATATCAACCCACGATAATGAATGCATAACATATTACTTCAGGTCGCAAAATTCGCGAAATATTGAGCCCACGAAGACAGATTTGTTTATGGTAAACCTGTATCATCAGCACCACCAGAGCTTCGCCCCAATCAACATCATTCACCACGTGGAGATGCGGCCTCTTTTTTCTTTTTTTTTTTTTAATTCTGCTTGCATTTTGCATGTGGCTAGAAACTTGATTTTGAAGGCAACAAAGGTAATTTGGAAGTCTACAACTAGGCAGTTGGGCGTCAGAAATTCCCCAAAAGTAAAATCGGTTAAAGGGTTATAACATCCAGTGAAAAGATTAAAAGCAATCCAGAAAGTCTGTTAGAAAACCGCACATACCTGCTCAACAAGAAGTGCTTCGTTCGACAAGTGTAGCTTCTCCTCAAACTCCTGTCGCATTTTCTCCAGGGCCTGCCTGTGTTTCTCCTCTTCCTCCAGCAGGTGGGCCCCCATCTCCTCCACCAGCGCCTTCCTCTTCTCCGCCACCTTGCAAAGAGAGCGGCCATTTTACCCGGTTGAGCTCTTTCTCCAGATGCTCACTTGACATGGTTAAATAACACTAACACCGGAATTAGGCCTAGTTAACTATGGGACGCATATCATTTGCAAAGGCCTTCATCGACAAAGGCAAATTCAAGCCCTGCCAGCAATAGGTGAAAAATCTAAAAATTCAGCTTTCACTGTATTCGCACATGCTGTGGATGACGTAAAGGGGAAATCATATGTCAAGCTGAAATGTTGGTAATGACAAGGGAGCAACTGATAACTGTTTTAGGCAATTATCGGCTGGACTCACCAGATTTCCTCCAAAATTGAAAGAAATCTGGAAAAACTGGAAGTATTTCTAAGTTTGTTGCGCATACACAAAGGGGACAGAAAGGTTAAGCTATGCCATTGGTCCTCTTTGGTCATCTTCATTCTGTTAAGTTGTGATTATAAAAATAGGGTAGGAGAAACTAAAATCACGTCTTGACTTCTTTGTGCATCGAATGCGAACAAGGGAGACACCGCCGGAAGTTTTGTTTTCTCTGGCATACCTTGTTTGCTTCGGAAGCAGCAATGGCGCTACTTCGGGAAGCATCTTCTAAACCATCAATGGTGTTCTGCATTGAAGTTATCTTGCCTGCCATCTCCTGCACCAAAAGAAGAAAGAAAAAATTATAATGAGGTAAAATGTCTGGAATGATTCAGACTGGGAGTCATTCAATTATGTCAGAGTAATTTACTCCAAGTGCCAATATTCATAAACTGAAGTCAGGCTGAATACACTCAAGCCCGTTTATAATGAACAGCAGGAAACGCTATGATCAGTTCGATATAGCAAGTAGTTTGATATAGCAAAAACCATTCACAACGAACTTCCACAATGCGTTTGTTGTAAGGCGAGAGCTTCTATTTCTTCATCATCTCTTCACCTCTGCCTTGTAACACTGCGCTGTAAATTTGTTTTTTGTTGTTTTTTTTTTGCATGCGTGCAGAAATTTTTTTTTTGCTTTCTCCCCTTTTGAGTCGCTTCTCTTCGCTCACTTTTGTTCGCTACTTGAGCTTTTGGAATTTTCTTTCTTTCCTACTTCTTTTTGGAGGAAAGGGACAGACTAGAAGATGATTGTTTGCCGTTTTTGGAAGCCTTCCCGGGGGGAAAATGTTTGATATATCCAATGTGCTGTTCGTTATAAAAAGTGCCTTTTACATGCATTTTTATTTCAATTTTTCGTGCGTTCGATATTGACAATAATTCACTGTATGTGGGTTTGTTGTAAACGGGTTTCACTGTAGCACAAGACCATCAGCATCTATGAACCTTTCAATCTCATGAACCTTGTAAATTTACAAATTTATAAAATTCAGAGGTTATACTCATTCCTGTCACAAGTGAACATGCGCAAGTGGTTACTCCCACTATTAAATCTAGCAGCATCCTGCATGTGTTGAACGGTAGTGGCAACAAAAGACATGCATACTACTGTCGCAAAAGTACTAGTCATCGCATGCGAAATGTGAGTTTCGTAATCCATGACGTGAACTTCCGTATTTCACATATATTTCTGACTTGCTGATTCTTCTCTTTTTATGTGGTTTTGCTCTTACACACCAAAATACTATCTCCCCCCCCCCCCCCAATATTTTTAGCTGTTTCTTCGCTATGAATGGGCATTCTTTCAAAATGTTGCATTTCGCACGCTTTCTTACAGCACTAAAAGAGTGACAGGAGGTGCTTTCTGGTTATATATGCCCTTTAAACATCTGACTTGCAAAACGAGAAGAAAATTTCTTTAGCCTTTCCTCACCGTATGGTTGACTAAAACAAAACCTCAACAACCATCTGTCAATCTTTGTCGTATCACTTACAATGTCTCCAGTCTATTTAGTTTCATGTTGTGCATTATGGTATCATGGTCTAGCATTAAAAGTATTCTGCTGGATTGGTAGTTTGTTCATTTTTGCTTACGTTCAATTCCACTTTCGCTGAAATCCCACTTGGAATCAGCCAGGTCAATAAATCAATGAATTATTTACAACAACTAGCTGAATAAGACTGCTGGCCAGCCTCAATGAACTTCCAGCCCCAGGTACTTCCGATAGGCGGAGGAAAACTGACTGACTTCTTGCAATTAAAACTTCAAAATAGCCCTTAGAAATGGACCGTTCCAAAAAAGGGCCTTTCGCTGATGCGATTTTCAGCGTACCGTGTTTGCACGATTCTAAAGCACCCCCAATTGTAATGCACAGGAAGATTTTGCTTCTAGATGTTTATAAAGTAAATGGCTGCCAAATCTAGTGCACAGGTAAAATAAATGAAGATTGAATGCACACCTTATACAACAGTTTTTATGAAATGCACACTAACACAAAAATAAATAGCATGCACTAGTCCGCCGCTGTCAGAATCCAACGATGGTTCTTCGCTGTCCACAGAGGTAATCCTTGCTTTCGTCTAAAGCATTTTAAGTGCCGCACTCCTTGTACGAGAGTGCGACCGTCACCTCTGGGAGGGTCGTCTTCCAAACAACACTTTGTGAACTCATCGGGTCGCTGCGACTGCGAGGCCGCACAGTGCTGCTCCATCGTTAAATTTTCCCGCCAGCGTGATGGCCTTTCGTTTAAATAAAACCTCCTAGTGGAATTTCTTTCGTTTTTCCATCTTAAAACGGTAGACACGAGTCCGTGGACGCAAGAGAATGCGCGTGATATGGATACCAAAATGGCGAATGTAAACTAACAGTCACGATGGTGATGGGGCTAACCACCTTATACCGAGTAGTGCGTTTTTCTCTGGAGTATCGGTTTTTGATTTCGATTGTAACGTGCATGTAGTTTTGGGCACCGACTTTGGCGGAAAAGAGTGTGCGTTAGAATCGTGCAAACACCGTATGTGCACATCGCGTGCGATTTGCTCCCTTTCTGAAGTCACGAACACGCACGTGCTGGGCTGTGGATTTGTAAGCATTGGAATGGCGTATAGTTCCAGCAAAGACGACTTAACTTGCCTCGTTCATCCTAAGCAAAGCCTCCCGCTCCTTGTCCGAGTTGTCGCTCTTTTGGCACGAATCTCGCAGCAGCATCTCCAGCGATGCCTTCTCGGCGAGGGTCTGCTGAAGCAGGTCGGGGGATGCGTTGTTCAGCTGCAAAGCAATTTCCACGGGATCACAAGCAAGAACGGCCCATGCAGTCAAGCTTCCACGAAGGATTGGGACGTTTAATTGGGCAAGTTGGTTTGTCGCAGTCTATAAACGTCAAATGGGTTAGGATGGAGGAGAAAACACAATGCATCTGTTGGGTTTTCTTTGTTCTTGCTTCTACAAACTGTCTTATAACGTAACTAATGCACTAACTAATTTATTCTTTTCTGGAGGGGGATGTTTACTTTGTAACAAAATATACCAAGAACTTTTTAAAAAATTTAAAAGAAAGAGATTCATAGGAAGTTTACCGACCCATTTAAGTGTCCATAAGGTGGACAATGAGAAATGCCATAAAAAAGGAGTCATATAGTTCTAGGGATCTGTGGGGAAACAAATATCTTCTAACCACCCTCTTCTGAAGAAGATTTCGGTGCCCTGGAAAAACAAGACTCCTCTAACTTCAGCACAGTCTATGTGCAACAGAATCGCACATTGATGCAAGCCTCGAAGATAAACTGTCCCATTCCTATCATACAAATGTGCATGTGGTGTAGAGCGTTAAGTCTGACTAATTAACTTTTTTTTTTTATGCAAAAGCATTATCTGTCTTATGGAGCGAGTCGACGTCATCAGTCTGAAGCGTGAAAACGGCACCTAGTTTCCTTGATCCCAAAGGTCCCATTGGCTGGCGCGCGGCGACGAGGCTCCCATTGGGCGCTGCCCGTGTCAGTTTCAACGACCGCCGCCAGATGGCGCTGCGTGTCCGTGCCGCCAGCGCGCCGATAAAACTAACCGCCGCAACCCCATGCCACTACTGGCCCCGCGTCGGTTAAAACAGACATGTTGGCGCACGCCTGGAGACTTCTGCTCGTCTCGCCGCCGACCAACATGCCGTCGCCTCCATCACCCACACTGTCAGTGGTGCTTCTGCTCGTCTCGCCGCCGACGAACATGGCACCACCTCTAGCATCTACATTGTCGGTCGTGCTTCAGCTCATCTCGCCGCCGACGAACATGCCGTCGCCTCCATCATCCGCATTGTCGGTGGTGCTTCTGCTCGTCTCGCCGCCGACCAACATGCCGTCGCCTCCACCATCCACATTATCGGTAGTGCTTCTGCTCGTCTCGCCGACGACGAACATGGCGCCGCCTCTAGCATCCACATTGTCGGTGGTGCTTCTGCTCGTCTCGCCGCCGACCAACATGCCGTCCCCTCCATCACCCACTTTGTCGGTGGTGCTTCTGTTCATCTCGCTGCCGACCAACATGTAGTTGCCTCCATCATCCACACTATCGGTAGTGCTTCTGCTTGTCTCGCCACCGACGAACATGGCGCCGCTTCTAGCATCCACATTGTCGGTGGTGCTTCTGCTCATCTCGGCGCCGACCAACATGCCGTCGCCTCCATCCTCCACATTGTCGGTGGTGCTTCTGCTCGCCTCGCCACCGACAAACATGCCGTCGTCTCCATCATCCACATTGTCGGTGGTGCCTCTGCTCGTCTTGCCGCCAACTAACATGCCGTCGCCTCCATCATTCACATTGTCGGTGGTCCTTCTGCTCGTCTCGCCACAGACGAACATGGCACCGCCTCTATCATCCACATTGTCGGTGGTGTTTCTGCTCGTCTCGCCGCCGACGAACATGTGCCACCTCCATCATCCACATTGTCAGTGGTGCTCCTGCTCGTCTCGCCGCCGACCAACATGCCATCGCCTCCATCATCCACATTGTCGTAGTGCTTCCGCTCATCTCGCCGACGACGAACATGGCGCCGCGTCTATCATCAGCATTGTCGGTGGTCCTTCTGCTCGTCTCGCCACAGACGAACATGGCACCGCCTCTATCATCCACATTGTCGGGGGTGCTTCTGCTCGTCTCGCCACCGACGAACATGACACCGCCTCTAGCATCCACATCGTCGCTGGTGCTTCTGCTCGTCTCGCCGACGACCAACATGCCGTCGCCTTTATCATCCACATTGTCGGTGGTGCCTTTGCTCGTCTTGCCGACGACTATCATGCCGTCGCCTCCATCATCCACACTGTCGGTGGTCCTTCTGCTCGTCTCGCCACAGACGAATATGGCACCGCCTCTATCATCCACATTGTCGGTGGTGCTCCTGCTCGTCTCGCTGCCGACCAACATGCCGTCGCCTCCACCATCCACATTGTCGGTGGTGCTTCTGCTCGTCTCGCCACCGACGAACATGACACCGCCTCTATCATCCACATTGTCGGTGGTCCTTCTGCTCGTCTCGCCACAGACGAACATGGCACCGCCTCTATCATCCACATTGTCGGGGGTGCTTCTGCTCGTCTCGCCACCGACGAACATGACACCGCCTCTAGCATCCACATCGTCGCTGGTGCTTCTGCTCGTCTCACCACCGACCAACATGCCATCGCCTCCATCATCCACATTGTCGGTGGTGCTTCTGCTCGTCTCGCCGCCGACGAACATGACACCGCCTCTAGCATCCACATCGTCGCTGGTGCTTCTGCTCGTCTCACAGCCGACCAACATGCCGTCGCCTCCATCATCCACATTGTCGTAGTGCTTCTGCTCGTCTCGCCGACGACGAACATGGTGCCGCCTCTAGCATCCACATCGAGAGATATTCATGCTTTCGCATTCACAACTCATAAGAAATGCTTAGGTGTCTTCCGACCTTTTTTAATGAGAACCACTTTGTTAGAAAGACTTACTGCTAACGAAGGTAGATGCTGAGTAGGCGCAGCATTGGCCGCCCCACACAAAAAACATACGTAGTCAACCACCAGATACTTCTAAAAAGGCTGAACGAACAAGCAGCACCCATGGTGACCGTAGAACCCACTGCTTCTTTAGAATTTGCAATCTGTTTAGGCAGATTCTGGGATCAGTTGCTCGGTGCCCAGGCCAAAAGGCAAGCTTGCAACGTGATCCACACAAAGTACAACTGAATTTGGAGAGACCACTGCAAGACTGGCAACACTGAATAGGGTTCCCATCAAAATTCTGTAATCACCTATTTAAAAAAAAAAAATTTTAAATCTGGAAAACCGAGGCACTGTCTCAATTCAAAAAGCCTGATGATTACTGCTACAGTAAACAGGACTTACAAACCCCAGAACCACATTGCTGTGAAGGAGGTCTTTTAACTCACGACAGAAAAACTGGTCAATACAAGACCCACCTTCGTCTGCAGCTCGGTAATTGTCTCCTCCAGCTGCTGAATGGTGCTAGTGCTGACAGTTTGGTGATCTTGCTGCGACTGCAATGCACTGTTTAGCTGTCCCTGCAGCCTCTGAATCATCTCCTTCAGTTGCTGGATTTCCTGGTCCTTGCTCCTCTGCATGGCTTCTAGAGCTTTCCTGCCACAAAGTCACATCCAGCAAATGTGCATCCCCGGGTAGGTGAAAGAAAGATCTTGTTTAGGTAGCATTATCTATTTTGACAACGATGAGTGTTTATCATCCTAACTGGAAAATTCTGAGGACTTACTTGCTTTCCAGGTAGATGGCATCCTTCTCCTGCTGAATCTGCAGAAAGCTGAAGAAAGAGACCAAAAATGTGAAAAACTGGCAATACTGTAACATACTTTCGGCCGTACAAGACCCGGTACTTGAAAATGTTTCAGAAAAAGTTTCTACAATCTAGACCAGGGGTAGCCAAGCTGCGGCTCGCAAGCCGCATGCAGCTCTTTGCGTATTCGAGTGCGGCTCGCAGCTCCCTCTCCTACCCCCCCCCCCCCCCCACTTCGCCACATTTCTCCCGGTCATACGAGCATTTCCCCAAAAAACTAAATGGAACGTATTTTAAATCGAAAGACAGGTTGCGGTTTGGTAGCCTTGTGCAACTACTACCTTACGTACAGCAGAACTGCTTTTGACCCGGATAGATTTAAAGTAGTTCGAGTTTCGTTTACTGCTCTGGACAAAAGTTTGCCCCCCCCACGGCTGTTGGAAGTTTCATGGTTTTGTTTGCGGCTCTTGGGCTGGGTCAGCTTGGCCACCCCTGATCTAGACTTTGGATGATTGAACAACCAGAAAAACAATCTCAACCAACCCCAACTTGTGCTCTAGTATGCCTCAAAGGGTGGCAAATATGTTAACGAAGCCAAAAACATAGACAATACAGGTAACGGCAACGAAGCAGCACACATTGCTCAATCTACATACTTCTCTTGTCAACATCGATTTTGCGCTGTTCTCCTTCCCTAAAAGGACCACGAAATCATTCTCGGGTTGCTTCCAAATTTTCATTGATCTGTGAGTTACCACATCTGTAGCAACACACATATCCTAAAAACGAGAAAGTAAACTAATCATGGCAGGATCTCTTCCATGTGCATGAAGCATCATCACACCTGAGTCCCACCAGCGGCATAGTATAAACTGGAGCTCAAGTTATGATCACAGACTCTTTTTTTAACATCACAAATTATTTGAGGCCAGTGTTATACACGAGTGTTCATTACGTGCCAGAAAGTATGGCACCTCCAACCCTACACAAGCCACTTACCTCTCTTGCTTGCGCTTCAGTTTCTCGGCCAACTTCTCGTTCTCCTCTTCCAGCTGTTCACGTTCGTTCTTGTACTGCGTCTGCGGAAAGTGAAGGTACCAATTTAGACAAAACAACGAAAGAGGTCGTATGGCAACGATGAAGCACTAAAAAGACCCCAAGGTCAATTCCAAATGCTCTTTAAATAGGCAAATTCACTCCCCAAGAGGTATGCTGCTCAATTGTTTCCAGGATATTCAGACCAATGTCTTTTTTTTTAATTATATACAGCATGTACTCGCAAAATCTATCGAAAGATCGACTGAGGACTCGGGGAAAGAGGCGACATATCTGTTGCCCTCAGCAAAGAGAACTACGGGCAACAAAAGCATTTCATTTCAGTTTGCTCATGTGTGTTTCCGCTTTCTCTTGTGGCATAAAATGAAAAGGTCAGTAAAGTGGCTTACTCTGTAACTCGGTGAGTTTCAGGTTTAATTACCTAGAGGCAGTAAAACCAGATTTTAAAGGCTCACGTCTCTTTGGAAGAGAGTGGTGTTCAATAGTCCTGCACATTATGTCAAGTGCAGAAATTTTGCAATAACTGCCACACTACTAAGTCTGAAAAAAAACAAAAAAACTATTATCATCTTATGATATTGACCGCGGTTAAATGAAAAGAAAACTAGCCGCTTCATTGAGACTCGCCAGTAGTTTTGATGCATGGAGTCGCATGGAGGCTGTAACCGAAATCACGCATAAAATCAATTTTAACACCACACTTTATCTCAGGTGTGGCTATACAGATTGCATTGGTTGACCTGGCAGAAGTCCTTTTTACAATCTCCTTAGGCTGTACAATGTGCTTCTGTGACTTTATAAGCTTGTTGTGCCACCTAGGGTGCCTCAATGTCCTATTGTTTAGGGTCATGACATTCTTTGTAGCATAGGCGCCAACTACGAGGGAACTCGGGGTCGACCACCACACACTCCCTCCCGGGAGCTCCTCCGGAAACTGAGGGCACTCGCCTCCAAGACCTTTGCCTCATTCACCTCATATGGGTGTCGCGGCGGATGCTTGCACATATCGACAGATGTTGTCCACGAGTCAGAGCAACGAGAAAAATGAACTGCAAACACAAAAAAAAAACTCAATTCTACATAATAAAAAAAAGCCTACAAATGGCAGGATACGTGAAAGAAAGACATCCTCGGCGACGGCAATTCTGCCGCTCTTGCCCAACAAAATGGGCAGAGAAAGGCGAAAAAGGAGCTTGGGCTTTTTACAATGGTGGTGATGGAAGCAAAGAGAAAGCAGAAGCGAGACAAAGAGATTGATGAAAAAATTAAAGGAAGATCCATCGGAAGATTTTTAGGGAAAGCGTTAGCATGACCCTCCCTTCACATTTCTGTTCTGTCTTTCGCTTTTGGTTTTACCTTCTGCTTCCTCCATTTTTTGCTGCCTATTTTTGGCTTCGTTGCGGGATAAGTGTTAGCATTCCTCAAAAGCGGGCGCGTGTGGCGTTTCCCAAGATCGTGCTAACGCATTCCCTGTGGATCCACCAATGGATCTTCCTTTAATTTTCTTTTTCGGCGATGGGCTGAGCCCACTTCACCCCAGCCTCTGTCGCACGCAGAACCGCGTCAACTTGCCGCTTCTTGCGCCGTGTTTTGGCCAGCCGAGCTAGGTGTTGCTTCCGTTCCTCTGTCTTGTTCGCCCGCCTTGCTTGCTTAGCAGCAGCATGCGCTGCCTGATGCTGCTTTCGCTGTTCATCGGTTTCCTGAGCGCACATTGACTGCGCCCTGTTACATCGCCTTCCTCTCACCTTTGTCCTTCACTACTCCCATCAGCTATACGCGGTGCACTCCCTTTTCTACTCTTTCATCCACAGACGGACGAAAACAGATTTTTCCTGTCGTGTAAGTACTAATACTAAAGCATTAAAAAATAAGTGGTCCACTCACTCGCACAAGTAAGAGGAGCGAAATGCCTTTTTCGATGAAAGTGGGGCAAAGGCACTTTGAAAAATGCTCCCGGCGGCTCTAAGAAAAAAAAAAGCCAAACATAAAAGACAAAAGAACATCTATATGTTGTCGGGGATGTGCTGTTCTACGGCTGCAAAATTCGAAGGCGCCACCAGACGTGACCGAGAAGGCGAAGAAGCTTCAGCGATCGACGACCACGGACTCTGAGGCGCCTGGCCGCCGGGTTACCGAGCGCCAGCCTGGCTCCCTTTCTACTTGGGTGTGGTCTCAACTTTACGAGGGGGTGGTGAGAAGGACAAGAAGGGACGTCTTTTCCTTTCGTTTTTCTGTTAGGGCATAGCCAAACCAGCATCAAGCAAGCCTCGTGTTCTTTTTGTTTTGTAGCGTGAGCTACACTGGCCGAGGTTGAGCAGTTTCGCGTGGCTCACATAATGAGCCGTGCTCCATGCTGCGCATGCGCGAGGAGCGGTGACGTGACACGGCACACAGCTGGCGCGCCGGAGCCGCCGCCGCTGCACCCCCCTCGCCGGTCTGCGCATTCCAGAGGAGTGACGTCATAGCCGCGGCAGACACACTGGTGCCACCGCGTGCCCAGCTGTGCGCCTCCGTTGCGCAGTAACCAAGTCTGACGCTGCACCGGAGCCGCTTGATAGCGCCTCTCATTTTGTGCGCACAAGCTCACGCTACATATGTCGTGGCATAGCCGAGCTAAGCCACCGCAATTTTTTTTTTAAACAATCCTTTTCTCTGTTTTTCTGTCTTCAATACTCTCACTCTCTTTGTCCACTTCAACTTCGACATTCGAGACACGAAGGAGTAAGGTGGGAACTCGCATATGAGTACTGCTCCAGCAATATCACAAACAAAATTATAGTAGTTGCTACTTTAGTACTATGACGGAGTAATATGCAGAGTAATGTCTGCGATCAAACTCGACAAGATGACAAAACTAAATTAAGAGTACTGATATATTTATTCAGCTGTTCCTGTGTCTAGAGCGAGACTTCTCATTACCATGTTGCGCCGCAAAATGATTTATTTTCAATAATTATTTGCTAGACGGAATCGTATTTGTAACTTGGTAATGCGTCTTCCCGTCGGACCCCAGCCCCCTTTCTGGGAAATTGAAAACTTTCTGCCTTTGCTTTGTAAGTAAGCAATGTCGACAGCATGCGCTCCTAGGGAAAGTGCAAAGAAATAGCCGGAAACAATATGCCACCATACCTCCAACTGCGCCAGCTGGCCCTTCAGCATGTTCTTCTCCTCAATCTCAATGTTGAGCTGCAACTTGGCTTCTGCAGACAAGGAAACAATGGGGTTACACTACCCATCTTTCAACAAGTTGAAGTCGAGAGCTGACAAACAAAACGTCCGAATGGAACAACAGGTATGAGACAAATCAGCCCGGTACACTAAACAAACAAGAACCGAACCAACTTCGGCCTGAACCTACCCATGGACCTTTGGTCAATTATTTCCGAGAGTCCGTCCTCGCCGTCAACCATTAGTGGATGGTCGATAGTGGGCATACCTCCTTCACTGTAAAGAGTGCGCTTCCTCATTAGGCCATAATGGAAGGAGAGAGCAGTATTGATGCAAGGCAGCAGTACTGATGCAAGGCAGCAGTACTGATGCAAGGCAGCAGTACTAATGCAAGGAAGCAGTACTGATGCAAGGCAGCAGTACCGCAAGGCATGCAAGGCATCAGTTCTGCTGCTTTGCGCAATATGAGAATGCAAAGGCTACAAAAATGTTGACTTACACGTTGCCGAGCATTCCTGAAAGATAAAGAAAAATAAAAAGCTTTGAGTAAAAAACAAGGGACCAATGAACCGTGACTGCAGACAAAGAGTAAACAAACAGTGTACTACTGTCAACAAATAAAAACAAAAAATGAATTCATGGCTAGAAAATAAATGTTTAGTGAGGTAAACTTGTGCCTTCAACTTAAACCAAAAACACACCGCACATCTTGCATGGGCTACGACAAGGTGACCGACTCGAAGCAGCGCTTTACCACTTTTTTTGTACACATGGTACGTTCAAACATACGATGACAACTGAGAATAGGCTGGAACTTTTCAAAAAATCAAAAATTAAAAAAAGAAAGAACCGTGCAGACCGGGTTTCAAACTTCGTTCCTTCGTGTGGCAGTTGTGTGCATTGCCAACTCTGCCACGCACGTGGCGCTGCTGAACAACTCAAAACCAGTCATTGATCTTGCACATGAAATATTATACTTTCTCTATTGTGAATTTTTTCTTCCTACTAGAGATAGAGATTCACCTCTTTATTATGCTTCATCTCTACAAGGGTCAAATCTTTATAGAAACAGAATGATATTAAATCTAGTGGAAGAGTGGCCTTTGGAGCAAATAAGTTCCTAAATTTGTGGGAGTATAGAAGGTAATTCAGGTCAAAAAGCTATGTAGACAGTACACTTTGATAAACAGGCAATTCCATAGTGCATAAAATCCTTCCCACAAATGCAGCCTATCGAAAGGAGCTGCACACAGCAGTTATCATCTTTGAATCTATTACATTCAGTTCAGTTTGAGTTATGTTCTACTAGTGATTGGTGAAAAAAGAGGCTCGCTCTGGCCACACATATCCCTGTCATGGTTCCAACATAACCGAACAACTGAAGAGAATTTCAGTGGTAACCCCAAAACTTCGAAAATTTTGGAAGTTTCATTACAAAATCGTTTTGCCAAGCTGAGAATTCAACTAATCACACACATACTTAGGGAGAGAACAGAAAGAGACAGACAAGCATGCCCAACCCCAAATGTGTGCATCACATAACCAACCCACTCATTCTGACTAGAGTTATTCGCAACTTTGTTTTGTCACTGCCTAGACGAGACTACTTTACACAGATCCTTCTCTCAACTCCTACAAGAAAAAAGAAAGTTGCCAGCACACATTTGAGATCGGTAGAGGAAAAGTTGTCTTAGCTGTCTGCAACTTTAGAGTGCTTCTGGAAATAGTAGCAAAATCCCTCTTTTTCTGAATCCCAATGGGGACGCTAACTTTCGAAGCAAACTGCCATCCCGCCTTCACCACCCACTGAACTAATTATTTCTAAGCTCAACCTTTCAGACGTAGAGGTTAAATTTCGAGGGAAGTTTGTAAGGTCATTGTGACGTGGAACATACAATTCTTTAACAAAACTACATACTCGTTTCAGGCCGTAGGGAAAACTTTAAATCTTACAGGCCCAAACATACTCTATGTGAACAAAACACTCGATAGGGAGAAACAACTGAAAACTGACCGGTCAGCGACTTCTGCAGGGCCAAGTTCTCCGCCCGGAGCCTGCGCATCTCGTCCTGAAGTTTCGAGTCTCCCTTGTTGGACTCCGGACTTTTCTTGCGGGTGTTGCTTCCCTGCAGCTCTTGCAGCTTCTTCTCCAGAGCCTCGCTGGCCTGGACGGTCTGCACAATTTCAAATCTTACATTATTGCGAAGGAGCAAAAATAAAGTAAATGCTGGCACCTTGCCTGGTCCTTATTTATGACAGGAACAGTGATGTGATTGGCCTAAGCCGTTTCGGAACACCTTTTGGAGCAGCCAAAACAGTGTTTTGGAGCAGCAAAAGTGGCCTTTGGAGCAGCCAAAACAGTGTTCCAGAGCAGCAAAATTGGCTTTTGGAGCAGATATTAGAAAAATAAAAATATCTGTTTTAAGTGCAAGACAGTTTGCTCGTCGAAAGACTCCCACCTGGGAGTCTTTCAACATGTTAAATGAAATGCCAATGACGTGACACATTTTGCAATGTTTCAGTTAAATTATAAATATATATGTACCCGCTATAGATAAATAAGAGCCAAACTGCACCTATTAAAATTTATTTGAAAATGACCAGCTTAGAAGAAAATATCCCAGCATTAGGTTTTACTAGTTATATAATATAATAAAGTGAAGCAGTCTCCAATTGATGAAACACCTAACTACTGCAGTGCAATGCGGAACTGTACACAAGAAAAAGGTGCATTAAAACTAGCGGGTGATGTTCGTTTTGCTTTTCGATACTTTCTGCAAGGCTGCTGCAAGCCTCGCTTTGCCTTCGACAAGTAATGAATGTCCACTTTCAATGTCTTCAAAGAGACATTGGGACACCCCGCTGTAGGCGTCGCCAAGCAATTCTGAAAAACCAGTCGCCAACATTTTACCGGTTCCCGACAAGCCAGATTTTCATCAAAAGTAAGCAAACATAAAACAATGGATTGCAAGCGTCCCCGCTGATGCTTCTCTCGTGCAGTCATGTTCGCATGCACGCGAGGGCAACTCCGGCAGCTTGCAGTTGCACGTGCTTCGTCACGCAAGCGGAGACGGCTGTTCAATCGAAACCGAAACCATGCCACTCTGCTCCCTCGCCAACTGGTTCCCAAAATTGCATGCAAAATGTAACTGTCCAGCATACGACAAAAAACAGTTCAGGAGCGCGTGCTTGCAAGGCCTGCAGGCGAAATACAAGCTAAACCTACAGAAAAAGAAGAGCCTGAGCGCATCAATGCAAGACATGGCAAGCCAGGGTCAACAAATTCTTGGAGCGCTTTGTGCAACGACTGAACTCGAGACAAACAAGCGCGCTGTGCGGGTTTAGCTTGCAGACATTTCCTTTTTTTGTAGCTCACTTCTCTTCACCAACTGTCTTTTGCGGCAAATTTTTTACGTACCGGGGTCCTTCTCGAAAAAAAGCCCACCAAGAGAAACCTAGGTAATCAATACTTCGACACAGCAGTCTGAGTTAAAGAGGGATTTTCGTAGTAGCGTATAATTTAAACAATAACAGGAATGTTGATGACCTTGCAGAAGTCCTTACATTTCAGTTTAGAAAGCGCCATGTCTGCAGCGACGGGGGGATGGCAACACCCGACGTCATGCGACCATGGTGACTGTTAGGCAGGGACCAAATATAGTTTTCCCATGGCCATTGCTTTCAGGAGTGAGTGCTTCAGCTCACAGAGTCACCCCCGCCGCGCAAAAACGTGGTTTCCTTTCACAGCATTTCGGCATGGCTGGTACCCGACACGCTAGCGTCGAAGCGTCCGCACACGCTTGCATCAGCCCTTGCATCTATCGTCGTAAAAATTTTAAAGACGCGAGACGAGACCCATGAAACGACGAGGGCGCAAAACGAGAAACGGCGAGAAAAACCATGCAAGACTGGATAGACGATTGATGCAGAGTACTTTGTGTTGGGCGACCGCCTGCGCCACCTAGCTCAGACATGTTCAATTACGGCACTCAGTTTAGGTTTAGGTTTCGGTTTTGAAAGGCGACCGAAATCGGTCCTTTCGCGCAGCCTTGGCGCAGGTTACCCATCTTTCGGCAAAATGTAGCAGGATGTATCAGGGTTAGCCCCTTGGCGCAGTTTGGCACAGCAATCACATCACTGCAGGAAGGTGAATAACCCAACAACAAGTGCTCAGTTCATTGGTGAAAACAACAGTTTGCATACGGTTCCCAGCCCCAGAGTGCTGAGGCAAACGTCGAGGGCTCACCGCAGACAGCTCGTGCATGAGGGTCTGGTTCTGCAGTCGAAACTCATCCTCCTGACTCTGGAGCTTGCGCTGGAGGACCTCATTGTCCACGAGCAGCCTCTCCACCTCCTTGGCCTTCTTGCTCCGACTCAGGGCCTGTCGGAATCAGAGAGAAACGTCGTAGAATTCCGCTCAGAAGGTAGCACATCCTTGTTGCGATGTGCAGGAAAGATGTCAGAGAGCTCCATTCTTTTTTTTAATGCACCCTCTTTGGTGTCAATGTACGCCTGAAGTATTTTGCAGGGCAAGTAGAGCCATGGAGCAATTTTCGATGCAACAAAAATGGGCAAGGGCAGTCACACGTGTTTGTCGCAATGCATGAAGCTAAGTTTAACACCTCAAAAAGTTTTGCACGAGCCTAGCTCGTCAACATAGAGCTGTCCCCAAACAGTTCAGATTGAGTATAGCTGTTATGGCCTTTCTCGGTTCATGCACTCAACCATTTTGGACAAACCAGGCTCGCTCATGGCTTAGTTTGCGGCTGTGCCTACAAATGGCAGCTCGGAATTTTTATTTTTATTTGTGCTTCCATTGTTTGTGGCTAGAAATTTGATTTTGAAGGCAAACAAATGTCATTAGGAAGACAACATTTAAGCAGTTCAGGGTCAGAAATTCCCAAAAACTAAAAACAGTTACGTGGCTAAGGCACTCATTCTGCTGCACAAAGCATCTTTGCCTCAGATTTGATTATTAGGAACAAAGAAGCTACACAGAATATAATGGCATCTGAATAACCGACAATGGCAGCAGCGGAAAACGCCTGTTTCAGGATTCTAAAAGCGTTTGCAATGTTGTCACAGGGGGAAAATGGTAGTCCCATTTCAATTTTTAAACTGCTCAGAGAAAATGAAACTTCTGGCTAGAAACATCCTACTTCTCAATAAGCTGTTATACTACTGCACGAGATAAACTTATAAAATGTACACATAAAAATTGTTTCATTGTCTTTTTAAACATTCACAAATTAAGGAGTCATTACTCCACCACACACAACGTACGCACACAACAGAGTCAAACGTAAAAGGAAAGCAATTGGTGATGAAGCATACTTCAAAAGTTGCAGTCTGAGGTTCATCCCTAGAGCCTAGAGAGCTGTCTATAGTTGGTCAAAAACTATTTTTTTTCTTCATTTGGAGGATGGCAACTCGGGCGTGTCCGTCATCATCCTCACAACATTGTGCCAGCTATTTATAAATATGAGACAACAGCCAGTGCGTTTAGAATTGTAAACTCGCGGCAATAATATCCGGCCTCGACGACTGATTTATCGAAACCTCGCCAGCATCTCCCAATCTCTGTTTGGATTGTGCACAAACTAACAGAAACCAAAAGTAAACATCAAGGACACAAAGCATGTTGGCAAGATTGACAACGAGGAAAGAACTTAATAGAGAGACGTCCTATACACTTTCCTTGATGCCAATCTTACGACCACAGTTCTCGCCCTTCGTAAGATCTGCTGCCACATATTTAGCATGTATGCGCAACTCTTCCGCGGATGAAACTGCAGTTAAATAATCACTACCATATATCAATGCAAGATGTCTCCGACAAAGATTTTATTTGTTAGACAACTTGGCCCTCACAAAGCTTTTAAATGAGCCAATGCTCACCAATTTAAACAACACTAGTGTAAGAACACTATAATAAAGAAAAGAGCAGACATCTACACACCGAATTGGCCTTGGCGAGCTCCTTCTTGTGCTCATCTAGGCTGTGCCTCAGGGAGACCACCTCTGAAGAAAAAAAGGGGGGAAAGAAACGTCGTAAATAATTAGGAAACTCGTGAAGAATGAACAATAGTTCCAAACACAAAAGATGCTGCAAAGACAGTCCATATGAACATTGAAGAGTGACGAGTTATAATTCCACATAACAACATGGTGTCTGTTCGGTCACATAAACAAAAAATTATATTTCCCGCCGGTAAGAAACCGAAATCAATATCTAAAGGAGAAGAAGAGGGCTTATCGGTGTTGTTTTCGAAGCGTCACGATACCTACAAGATACGACACCCGCAAGTAATTAAGTGTTCAAATACATTAAACGTGCACACTCGAGCCGACAAAACCTGCGAAAACAGGAAAACAGGGTTCACGAATAATTTCATGACATGATGACACAACGTCGGCGAGAAGATCGTATTAGGCTGAGGGTGCAGGATCGCGGATTACGTAAAGGAAGCAACTGCGCATTTGCGAAGTCGACAGCAGCTAAATACGGAAGGCCGTGCTCGAGATACATCCGACCTGCAGCGTAAACAAGATCAATCCCGACGTCCTCCTAACGAGCGCACAAAACATAAAAAATGTGAGACGTTTAGAACAAGAGAGAAGAAGAAAAAAAGTCGATCGTATCGTACCTTGGCTCTGGCGCCTGCAATGCTCGTCCAAGGAATAATTTTTAGTCCGAAGTTCCAGCAGCTGCGTCTAAACGAGTGCATTTTTAAGGGGAAAAGAGGTCATGTCCACTATTTAACAACGTTTGCAACAATCAACACATACACACGCACGATTAGCGCCAAAGTGTAAATGAACAACATTCGTCAATCCACGCATTCCAAAGCAACCTAATGCGTTGCAAAGAGCGACGTTAGTAATATCCAGCACTGACCCGAACGCTAAGTTTATTTTGCGCTATACTCGGACGCGTTTCTCGATAAAATGAAATGGGATGTTAACCGCGTGAAATAAATAATTCGCTTCACCTGCAGACGTTGGAAATCGTCCTCCGAGAGCGTAGCCGCCATGTTCACATCTCTGGTGAATAGAGGGCGCTACGGTCGAGCGCACACTGCGCTGTCGGCGCAGTGCGCAGTTCCGGAAATTCTGAAGTAAACAAAACACAACGAAACGAACGAAACCAAACAAAGCGCTCATGCGATCCACGTGACTTCCTGTGCAGTGCATGCTGTCTATGATATAACTTTTGTGGTTGCTAGCGGCCCTTTGCTACTCTTTGTGCGAATGCATCAGAGTGAGACGATGTCAGAAAATGGAACTTACGTGGTTATACGGTGAATAAGAAGTGTGGACGGTTGTCAAGACGCGAGGGCGTGCCCGGAGCGCCTTCTTCACCAGCTATGCCTTCTGAAAAGAAGTCGTCGAGGTCCTCGCCCAGCGAACCTAAAGCAGGTGCGGTTCCTCAAAACGACACCGATGTCTACGTGCGAACCCCGGGTAACCCGATCCTCCAGCGGTTGTTCTCCGACAGTTCGGAGGCAGTCGCCGAGGACAGCAGCATCTGCGGAGTGCAAGGTGAAGACGTTCCGTCTCAAACGGAGAGCGCTGACAGTCGCTGTCCGCCTCCTGATGTTCGCGATCGCATGCGGAGAAAGTTGCGCTTCTTTTTCATGGACCCGATCGAAAAATACCGAGCCAAGGGTCGGATACCTTGGAAACTGTGCCTGCAGGTCACCAAGATCGTGCTCGTGACGGTTCAACTCGTGCTCTTTGGCACAGACAGCTACTCGTACCAGCAGCAACACAGAGACACCACGATCGCGCTACATCGCATCCTCCTTATGGGATGGGACAGTGTGCGCGAGATTGCGGCGTACCCGCCGGCCGCTGGCCCTTACGCCGCGTACACCAAATTCGAGTTCTATAGGCACGTGGACAACGTAGTTCGACAGTACTCAAATATCACCACGACGGCCATCGGAACGTTCGGTTACGATTCTCCCAACGGGTCGCTGTCGCCTCTCGTCTTCTGCAAGACGTACTACCGCAAGGGCTACGTTTGGCCCTTCAACAACACGCTCCTCTTCGACAACTACCCCATCAGGCGGTGCTTGCCGATTCACGGACCGCCTGCGGGGGACCCGCAGTGGCGGACGTTTCGGACTGACGCTTACCTTAGCGCGCACAACTTCACTGTCATCTTCGAACGCCTCATACGGGTCGAGCTAAAGTTCACGCTCAAAACGGTGTACTTAAAGGGATTGAACAGGTTCGACAGGCCCGATTGCTACAAATACAATGTCACCATTCACTACGACAACACCGCCCACGACGGACAGCTCCTCATCTCGCTAAACATGAGGTCTCGAAAACTCGAGTGCCACACTAACGTTCTCTACACCCAGACGAGCCAGTGGGCGTACGGATTCCGCCAGGGTGTCAACATCGTCGTCATCCTCAATTGTGCACTATCCTTCTTTCTCTGTGTCAGGTCGCTTCTTCGTGGCCAGACCTTGCGGAAGAGGGCCGTGGCCTTTTTCGCGAGGTACGACCAGAAGTATCTCTCCTGGTCGGACCAGATGGCCTTCGTCGACTGCTGGTACGTTATGATTACCATCAACGATGTCCTCATCATTGTGGGTTCCTGCTTAAAGATTCAGCTGGAACAAAGCATAATTGACGGTGAGCAGTACGACCTCTGTTCCACTCTGCTGGGCACTGGGAACCTGCTGGTATGGGCCGGCGTGCTGCGCTACCTGGGATTCTTCAAGAAATACAACATTCTGATATTGACAATGCGGAAGGCTCTGCCCAACATCTTGCGCTTCCTGTCATGCGCTCTGCTACTCTACTGTGGCTTCTGTTTCTGCGGCTGGGTGGTCCTGGGACCGCATCACATCAAGTTTCGCTCGTTCAGCATGACCTCGGAGTGTCTCTTTGCACTTATGAACGGCGACGACATGTTTGCCACATTTGCCATCATGTCCGTACACAGCGGTATCATCTGGTGGTTCAGCAGGATCTATCTATACCTGTTCCTCATCCTTTTCATCTACTGCGTTATCAGCTTGTTCCTGTCCGTCATCATGGACTCTTACGAAACCATTCGGGAGATTCACGAGAAGGGGATTGAACCGAGCGATCTGCAAGTCTTCATCTCCGAGTGCGGTGATGACGCGTCGAGCACAGCTTATCGGCAAGACGATGCACGAAAGAAAAGGTGGAATGGTTTATCGGACTGCTTTGCATTCCTGAGGCGTAGAAGTGGTTACACTGAGATATAAGCCACTTTAGGTCCTAGGTGCTTGGTCTATGTGGAATTGCTCGTTTCCTTGTTTTCCCGATTATTAGGAAAGTTAAGGATGCAAGGTTTTGGATTGAGATCTGTCTTGCATTGTTTGACTGCTATTCAGGCATGAGAAAGGCACAACAGCAGCTTGCTGTTATTTCTCATGAAAAATATATTTTAAGAAAGCAAGGTGCCGAATTCTGCCAAATACTGCTGTTTGTGTCGTTCTCTAGTCCTCGACATCTTGAACAAAAAAAGAACAGCAGTAGCTACACTTTACGTCCTAGACAAAGGTGTTAACTGGAAGCAATGTAAATAGAACAATGAATACATTGGTGCCCTTGTTAGAAGCAGCTGCTGTGTTTGTTAGGCACATCATGTAAGCCACAGAATCGACATGTCCTCGAAACGTTTATAGTAGGTTTTTTTTTCACCACAAAAATAAACTATGCATTACCGAACTTTCAGTGTTTTCCCAAATGTAGCACTGGCAGTCCATACCTTTATAGTTTCAGACCTTGCCGTTATGTCTTTCAAAAATTGCAAATTATTGACATTTTGAATAAGAAAATGGTGGCCGTCGAATCCGACAAATGTGCAGAGATGAATCATGTTGACTATCAGGAACGGACCCCATTTTTTCTTTAAAAGTTTTGTAAAATCGCTTATTAAGATAAAGGTTAGTTTTCGAACCTTGTCCGGAACGCTTGCACTATATTTGGGCTAAGGCTGGGTGTGTGGCGATGCAGTTTGCTTTTGTAGTGAAAAGCAACAATGTTTTGTCGTGGAGACTGTTTTATTTTTGCCCGCTAGTGTGATCAATAGGGCAGCCTTGATCACTTCTTACATCAGAGCTGTTAAGGGCTAGGTTCCCCAGGGTTGTGTCCGTGTATGTCGACACAAACATACCTGGACAGCTACCGCCATCTATAAGCGACGGTGGCAAGCACACAACCAGTATGGTTTCCGCCGTCGCTTGTAGATGGCGGCAACTTTTCCAGCTATAATAGAAGAATGGATAGTTGGGCGCGTTGGTGGGAATTCATCATAGCAAACAGCACGAAAAACGGACTACGACGAAGAAGAAGCACACAGTGTATCGAGTACAGCTCCGCTGGTTTTCCTAGCGTTGGGTCTTCCTTCACGGGAGTGAAAAGGCTGATAGATTTTTATTTAAGTGTTCCAAAGTATTCCATTTTTGGACAGTAATTTGAAAATATTTTATTTGTTTCAATTGTGAAAGAAAAAGTCTACTATGTTTATTAAATTGAATCTTTGTGGTAAGATTTTGTAATTCTCTTCGGCAGCACCGCATCCAATGTAATTGACATGCATAATGAATGCTTAATGTTTTTGTTATTTTTTCTTAGTCATGTACTTGTTAATGTAACACTTGACAATAAACTGTTAAGAAAAATATCACTCGAGAAACTTTTCGAAGAGGAAAATAATAGGTAATATACACCGCGGGGAACGTATGAAATAGCGTAGTTTGCATTTAAAGAAAAAAGCTGGGTGCCCCTTTGCCAAATGTACGTTCCTTTGTACGAAACGGTCGCCTCTCTAAACATGCAGTGTCTGCATTTGAAATGTTTATAGACTAAAGTCACTAAAAGAATAAAAATACCCAGTTTCTTATCGGTACAGGCGGGGCGATAGGGTCTCGGCTGTTGTCAAGTCCATAGGCGTAGGGCATCGGGGCTCGTGCCCCCCCCCCCCCCCCCCCCCCCCCCCGGGCCATGATTCTTACTGAGACGCTGTTTACGTGCCATTTAACGAGTTTCTAGTAGTGGCATGTAAACAAAATAATGCCCACGTTGCCTTTATTGACAAAATAGATGAAAAATGGAATCTCAGCGTGCTTCCGGGGGGGAGGAGGGGGGGCGCGGGGCGGGGCGGGCGGGCCGTGAAAATGGAAAGTCTACGCCGCTGGTCAAGTCGTATCTGAACCACGTGTTCCCTATAATCTGAAACGCGATAAGCCGCCGATACCACCCTCGCCGCGATTCCGCCCTTCCGCCTTTGTTCTCTCTTTCCTAACCCCGCCGCCGTTCCGGTGACGCTAACATCAGCAGGCTCAAACATGGAGGGAGCAACAGCGACGGGCTCTCTCAACAACGACGACGGCGATTCACGCGTCGTGTACCAGCATTTCGAAGACCTTGCCGACTCGTCAACGCGTTCGGAATCTCTGACGCAGCGTCTGCGCCAACACCTGCATGGAAACAGTTGTGGATCCTCCGTCAACGTCAATTTCTCCGCCAGCAGTGGCGATGGCGACGATAGCGGTGCAGGCGGGCGGATTACCGCTGCCGATGAGCTGCGCGATGAACTACGACGGGAACCGGGCGCTCTGGCGGACTACATGCGGTTCAAGCTCCGGTTCCACTTCATGAACCCGATAGAAAAGTGGAAAACGCGCGGAAGGTTCCCGCTAAAGCTTACACTGCAGATTATCAAGCTCATCGTAGTGACCATTCAGGTAATCGTGTTCGGGATGGACAGTGGCTCGTTCCAGACTCGGCACCGTAACACTTACATGGCTTTGGAACACATCCTGCTCAAGGACTGGGATACTTCGAGGGACGTGCTCGTCTATCCACCTCCGGCGGGACCCTACGCGGTGCACACCAAGCAAGGTTTCTATGAACACGCGAACCACGTGATTGCGCAGTACAGCACCATTACGACGGCGCCCATCGGGACATTTGGATACAGTTCTCCGAACGGCGAGATGGTGCCGATCCGTTTCTGCGAGACTAGTTACAGGCACGGCACCGTATGGCCGTTCAACTCGACGCTGGACTTCAATGGTGTCGTGGTAACGACTTGCACTCTTATCAATACCACGTGGCCTGCTAATGACGAGGCCTGGGCTACTTTCTCCATCGAACGTTTCCTGCAAAACGAACTCAAGTTTGACACTTTAATCGTTGCCGAGCTTATGTTCTCGTTGAAGGTATTCTACAGAACGAAGATGGACCAGATGCAATTGCTTCACTGTAACGAGCATGACATAACCATTGCTTACAAAAACGCGAAGCATGACGGCCAGTTGGACATCAGCATGATGCTAGACCCTAGCCATGTAAGCTGTCATAAGAATTTACAAGAGTTGCCTGCGAAGCCTACGACCTACTACGGTAGGCAGGCACTGAACATACTCACGATCGTGATGTGCTCCCTGTCTACCGTCCTTTGCTTGAGGTCTTTGTACAGAGCCCAAAAGCTTCGATGCAAGACAGCCCGTTTTTTCGAAAAGCACTTGGGAAAGAAACTCTCTTGGACGGATGAACTCCAGTTCGTGGACTTCTGGTTCATCATGATAATCCTTGCCGACGGTATCCTACAAGCCGGATCCGCGGTGAAGATGCAGATCGAAGAACGCCTACTGCCAGGTTTTATGCACGACGCGTGTTCCTTGCTCTTGGGCTGCGGTACTCTCCTGGCCTGGTGCGGACTACTCAGGTACGTGGGCTATTTTCAGACTTACAACATACTCCTCCTGACCTTGAAGAAGTCCATCCCGAACGTGATACGCTTCTTGCTCTGCGCAATGCTTCTCTTCTGTGGCTACGTAATGTGCGGCTGGGTGGTCATCGGCCCGCACCACATCAAGTTCCGGACCCTTTCGACGGCGGCGGAGTGCCTCTTCTCCATCATGAACGGGGACGACATTTTTGCGACTTACGCGATGCTCTTTGAGAAGAACAGTCTCGTGTGGTACTTTGCGCAGGCGTACATGTACAGCTTCGTCGTCCTCTTCGTGTATCTGGTGGTGAGTTTGTTTGTAGCCATCTTTGTGGATGTCTACGAGACCATCCGCGACACGGAGGCGGAGAGTGCTCCGAGTACGATCCAGGCTTTCATTGCTGAAGTTGTGGACGATCCCGCAAGCGGGCTGTATCGGTTCGACGATGAACTCGAGAAGAGATTAGGCTCTCGCAACTTGTTGAAGATCTGAGATGTGTCTTAAAGTTTAAGTTTCGAGAAACAAACAAGCCGTATTGTCTCCCGTTCTGCATGTTTTTTTTTTGTTTTTTTTTACAATTTGTTAAATGTATTTTGGTTCGTTTTGCAAATCTCGCGAAGCTAGGTTTGTTCGCTGAAAGATAAAGTAATGGGCGGTCACAAGTGACGCGTAAAATCATTCATACATACAAAATATGCATTTCGGCTTGTTTTTTCGTGAATGTACGAGCCGGACTTTTCGTATGTGACGCAAATACAATCGACAAGATCCTTCCTAAACCCTTGCCAAATGCCACGTAAAGTCGTTAACGGCTGGTACCATCTGGGACACACCATCTCTATAATGATACCCTATGCCGCATAATAGGGCCCATTAAAGAAAGCGAGGATTGGAGCTGGTTTGGTCCGCGCCATATCCCATAAGCTATGCTGTGTGGCCTGGACAAACCAGCTGGAATCCCCACTGTTTTGTATGAATGAATTTGAATTATAATATTGTTATTTATTGTTATTTTTCTGCGAAGAAACGAGCTTCGCATGAAAAATAGGATAAGAAAAGGGCATGCATTATCTCATCACGCGAGATATATATATATATATATATATATATATCACTCAGTAGAAGCCGTTTGAGAGGCACTGGTGTGCCTTAAGAGCCTGAATCGAGCACGAAACACACAAAAGTTGCGTGTGAGGTGTGCGTCAGCGACGCGGGCACCATGGTAAAATGGTAGCAGTCGGAGTATTGCCCATAAAATCGTCAATAATCGATTCGGTATGCTAATGAAGTCTTATCGAGGGAGCTCAAGCTTTCAACAAACTCGTCAACGAAAATAATCTCCGAACAGCCGTCATCTTTGTCTGGCGGCGCGCTCATTCTCAGTGGTTACACGACTTCGTGGACGTACGTGCCGCCACGCGCGTGTGACCTTTTCCGCGGTCCAGAAATGAAACTGCACGCGCAACCACATCACACGTACCAAATTCTCTGTCCGGAAGGCACTGCGTAGCATTTCTACACGACAAACATACACACACACAAAAAAAAAGAAAAAACGGCAGACGGCATTTGGTGTTTTTCTTCGGGGACGTCCCTTATCTAGCCAAAGTTCCTAGATAGGCCTAGGAATCCCTAGAAATATACTCCACTTGCCGAGCAGAGTATTGAGATAGCGCTGCCAGGGCGGCCATATTGGCTCCCATCCGTGCTGCGGGAAGCGACCGTCGCTTCAGCAGAAGACCCGGAGGCGCAGATGGCATGGCTGTGGGGTGGCGCGCTGAGCAGAAAAGATATAGTGCAGCGACAAGCCGCGTGTGCACCGTCGTTCCGTCATTTGTCTCCTGTTTCTCTGTATGCCCTCGGTAGGACGTAATGACCGTTGAAAACGTCGTCCATTCTCAAGCTGATATATGGATGCGCGTTGTCTGGTCCTATCTCTTCGGTGGTCCAGACTTGCTAAGCGTCGACTGTTCTTCAGGCGGGTCCTCCTGTATAAGTACCTACACGGTGGAGGAGGTCAAGGCGTGATCCCTCGCGAGTCAAGCAGCGCTTTGCCCGCACCATCAGTGCCTCTGCCTCTCTTTGTTCAAATGCCTGGCCTATGGAATCCCTTGCCAGAGGCTGCTCGCCAGGCCCCTTGCGTGGACAAATTCAAAGATCTGGTGCGGAATGGCCAGTAGCCTAATCTCCTCATTGCAGTGTAAACATCTCATTCATGTAAATATATATAGTATACATATATATTTCCTCTTTTTTATTTCATTTTACCTGTTAACGCATAGCTGAGGAGGTAATCAGCATATCCTGCGCGGGCTTCAGCCTTTTGATTACCTTAGGCTGGTCGGCCTTACGGAAGTTTGAGCCAATAAAAACACTTTAGGTGCCTGGATGTGGCGGTCGCGTATCACACCGAGAACGCCACGCGCAACACGATTGTCCTCCGTGTCGTCTGCTTCCCAGACTTTGGAAACATGCTTTAAAACATCGCTCTCGTTATAAAACAATGCTGTACCCAGTGACTACACATAATGTTCAATTGTCAAGGAACCTTCCAGTTGATTCGATTTGAGTGTAGGATGTATATTTCGCAAACGCAAAGCGAGAAACACGCTCTGCCCGAAACCCGGCGCCTGCAATGTCGTTTTCCCGCGTGAAGGTTATATCCAGCTCGGCGCACGTCATCGCTCCTCAGTCAATACGGAGTTGGCGGCGAAAGTGAAAAGAACGCGATGCTCTGCAGGCAGAGCCACTGTAGGAATCCCGATGCCGATTGCACACGATCGGAGCAAAAGATGCACACCTCATATATTTATTTCCCACCCCGAAAGGGGCTTTTCGGGGTTCTGTGGATAAGAGCCTAAGGGCGTTCCACTAACACACATCAGATGGCAGGCGAAAAAAGTAATTCTAGAGCTAATTTGTGACTTCCTCGGGCGATAGTAATCACATACAATTCGGATACACCAGCAGCGTAGCCAGAATGGAAGAGGTTCGGGTGCTTAAGGGTCATATGCCTGATGCTATACTTCATTCATGTCGCGGGGGACCATCTCAGTGCATGAACAGAACCTTTGTGCAACGGGAGTTCCACGCGAAGCACTTCCAGCTCAAAATTTCGAGCCCTCTCTGAATGAGCCACCCGTATATCGCGGTGTCACGCCACCTTACTGACAGCGTTTCTCGTTAATGTAAGTGTCTTTGGCTATGTGCACTCAGTCAACCACTCAAGCATCTCTATCTGTAACCATTTACTGTAATTTTCAATCATTTTTCTTTTCTCAATCTTCTTAATACCGCATAAGCGTGACCGTCTTAATTTTTCGCATAAAATATAATTTCTCGAGGTTTATAATGATACATCTTCTGATAAAAAGCATTTGTACAGGCGATACTAATTCGGTGCAGGCTCTGGTACAACCTCCGCTAAAGCGGTTGTAAGGAGGCATGCTATATCTTCCACACATTTGCACCTTTTTTACACTCTTTCGATGGATGGATGGCCTCTGGTAAAACAAAAGAGGCGTATTACGCAAGAGAGGGGTGCTGAAAGTGGAGAGTTTTAGTGAGTCGTTGGAACAAACCGTTCTGAAAACGTACATGGTTTAGCTGAACCGTTTCATTAATCCGTATACATCCGTGTATACACTCCATCCTTCAGAAGAGTGCCTGAAAGGTATTCTAGTCTTACATTATTTCAACGAAATGGTCTCTTCATTGTCTTTGCTTCTATATACCTTAAAATAGCCATTCACAGGTGTTCATCTTGTGTCGTTCATCAGTCTTCACAAAACAATGTGCGAAGAGACTAAAGCGATAGCCCTAGCACGGTCGCGTAATGCGGGTGGAATGGTGTTGTCACGTACCCGAGGACGGAGGCGCGACGTGGTTAATTCTCATAGACGTCGTGATTGACGTCGTGGATGCCACTGACGACCGCAACGTGTGCTCAGTGATGCGTCAAGTAGGTGAACGCGATGGAAGTTTCTAAAACCATCCAACATTACGCGTAGCAACTGGATACTGCCAGAGTGAGATTTCGTGTAACGCGAGTAATGTTTGAAAACGAGTGTTTGATGCAGACGACACGGAAGACTCTCCCTTCGTCGCACTGGCGAAATGCCGGGGCTACCCTCTCTTCTCTCTCCGCGCATGCGCGGTTGACGGGAAAACCCGACTTGCGTCTCCTCGCGCCAAGAGGGGAGAGAAGAAGGGCTTTTCCATAGCGACGACAACAGCCCACGACAAAACACTATTGCTCTCGTCACGACCTTCTTCTTGTCGTATCTTTTTTCTTTTGAGCACAGCTAAACAGCTCTACCCGGTGTCACATCGAGCAAAAGGGAAGCTTTGCGCATTATCGGTGCGCTTCAGGAAGTAGTTCTTACAAGATGTGGTAGTCGGAAAAAGAAAATATGTGGCGTTTTTGGGGAACGCTTTCAGTAACCACTTCAGTGACTACAACACGCGTAAGAGCTTGTCTCGCTGACGCAGATGAAAAGCAGGCTGGTTATTATTTTTTTTAACAATTATTATATTTTTCTTTTTTGTTTTGAGTTATATAACTTTGTGACTTTCCAGTTTTAACCGAAAAATACCTAAAAACATTCGTCAGTGTCCAAAATACAAAATTGGTTTGAACCTAAAGGACACTGGTAAACAGCCGTCGGTGCCAAGATTATAAAATCTGTTCGAACCGAAAAACACCGATTTCTGTTGTTTGGGAGCGGGTTGTAGGGGAGGGGAACTGTCGAAGGATGGAAACACTATACATGCGTTCGGCTAGACCGGTCATCATCACAAACAAACGTTTTGCTCCAGCTAAACATTTTGTTTTTGTCGAAACGCTTTGCTCTTAGACTGTTAGTTTTATTTTATTTTTGTGTTTGTTTCACCCATAATTTCCGTTTATAGCGTCCGTCCGACACAGATCAGAAAAATACACGAATATCTAAAAAATCAATAAACACCGGAAAACACATCTGCCGACTTTCCTTATAAACAAACACCGCGGAAAGTCTACGGCTTCATAACTTAAAGCAGCGCGCACTAGCGCTCGAGTTGGAAGTGCTGAAAACTTGTTTTTCTACCTCACGATATCATTGAAGTAGTAACTCGGATCGAAAAGTACGCCAATGTCATGCTTGTCCCTCTCGTGGCTGGCGGTTTCCACCGATTTCAGGTTACTGTTTTTCTAGGATGTGCTGACCCCCAATAGTTCACACAACTTGAACGAATGAGATTGACGAAATATATTATATATGTCGGGCATAATTTAGAGATAATTCGCAGTGAATAGCTTGCAAGCAGGAAACGGCTTACCTATAACGTTTGGAGACCGTCGGTCACTAATCTATCGAATGCCTTTGAATGACATTAGTTTGGACCTCGTTTGTCTTATCGCCCCCCCCCCCCCCCCCCCCCCCTCCTAAACCTCCTCATTTCGTTCCCGGCAAGTCGATAATCGCGAGCGCACAATTGTATCACCGAGAAAACTTGACAAGTTTCTGGGCGAGCACATGTCAAAGACCTGGGCGTCCGTGCACCTTGAGCGTGCGCACTCGTCAGTCCTCACTGGTTGTCTCAAGTATATATCTTCTACTGCAGTCATCTGACTGATTAAAGAATTCCGTCGGATTTATTGTTTCGCAGAGGTCAGGCGCCCTACTTGGAATAGCGACTAATTTAATTAATATGCAGCCGAATCAGAAAAAGAGAGAGAGAGAGAGAAAACTTTATTCAAACCGCCCATGTCCGGACAGTGGTTGCTAGAGAGTGAGGCCTTCCGGGATGCCCTGGCGGGTCAGGTCGGAGGTTGGTGGAGTGTTGTCGAAGTCAAGGGGTCCCGCAGATGGGAGATGGGCTGCGCTAGGCGAGGCCAGAGTCGGTTTCTCCGACACGTTCCCAAGCATGGGCATCGGATGGCGGTCTCGAATCTAGCGGAATTTGGTCACGCGATAGCCCTAAAGTCCTAAAATAACTTTCTAGCCCCCCCCCCCCCCTCCTCGCCCCCTTCCCCCCCCCCCCCCCCCCCCCAAAAAAAAAAAATGTAAATAAATAAATAAATAAAGTTCGAGGACATCGAAGCACTTCTTATGAGCCGTGAATGCGAAAGCACGTACGCCGGCTGCGACGTATTGCTTCCGCCTCGCGTTGTCGAAGGGCGTCGTCCTCTTGCCGCCTGAGACGCTTTGAATCGCGATCCGCTTGCGCCTCACGCTTTCGAAAGGCTTTGTTCTGTCTCCTAGCGCGTTGCGCCGCTGCTCGTTTGGACCGCCGTGTATTCGGAGACTTGACAACGATGGTAGATTTCGCTGCCCTCCTCGCTCGTTGTGCTGCGTTATTCCGCTCTCTTAGGTCGCCTGCGGTGTCCTTGCGTGGACGGGCAGGTCTCGATACTGCCGAGGTTGCGGCCGCCGACGATGTGGATGCTGGAGGCGCCGCCATGTTCGTCGGCGTCGAGAGGAGCAGATGCGACGAGCGCGCGCCACCGTGTTCCTTTTACCGGCGCGCTGCCGACGCGGAGCCCAGCGTCATGGGCTGGCGTTCCTTGAAACTATGACGCGCGCCAGCCAATTAGAGCCTCGTTCCTTGAAGCTATGACGCGCGCCAGCCAATGGGAGCCTATCAATCAAATCGCTGCCACAGACTACAGGCTCCGCTTCATTGGGACAGGGGAATTTAAGTGCCGTTTGCCGAAGGCTTCAAAAGCTGATAACGCCGGTTCACTCCACGGGACAGTAGGGATACTTCAACGAAATTTGTAATATACCCGTCGTGTTCAGAAATAGGTTGAATATGATCCATTATATCCGTAAATGACAATCGCACGTTTGTATTTTGAGCCTGGTGGCTGTATTTTTTGTACCTTTTCATCCTCCTCCGCACGGGCGCTGCCATCTTGGAATCACGTGACGCGGCAGCCATTGGGTTGCTTCAAGTTGCTGCTCCGCTCTCCCCTCTGCGCCTTGGCGGATATGCGTTGTATTGGTTGTAATCGTGTTTTTCGTCGCGTTTCGCCGCGCTTTCTTGCCTGACTTCGGAAAATGTAGCCTGATACATCTACTCGACGACTAAGACATCACGAGGGTTCAAAGGTTCTTATGACAACTGAGGTTTGTTTACTAATAGTGGTGGAACATTCTCAGCAAGAAGCGCGCATATTTATATCGTGTATTTAGGATCGGAAGGCGTCAAGAATAGTCAGCGCAAGGAGACTACCTGTACTTCCTGAAAGTATCGTTCTTTGTATTTATAATATATCTAAATCTGTTTCTTTTGATTATCTGAGGAAACTCGCGGAGGAGATAGACAACGAACGTTTAACCTGTATTTTATCTGAGGCTAGAAGTACTGCTACGTCAACATCAGGTGATTTCTTTGTTTATAACAGCACACCTACATATGTGTATGAGGTTCTCAATCTTTTTTTGCGACGTAGTCGTTCGGTTGGTCGGTTTACTTATGAAGTTTAAGAAAATGTATATTGTGCTCGCTCCCATTTCGACAGTCATTTAAATGATTTATTGATTATATTTAGATAACCAGTTGGGGCTTTCCGCGTAAAAAACTGCCACGACAACCGTAGAGAGTTTTTGAATAGCGTGCACAAAGAAATAACGTCGTTTCTATTTGCTAATCCAAAACGCGGTTTGGGTTTGGAATATGCGCAATAATGACGACGCTTTTTTTTTTTTTTTTTGCGTACGCTGTTTTAATTTTTGTTAGTATCTAAAATCCGCAATATTCAACGAGAAAAAAGAGAAGAAAAAAAAAAGAAACAACGTCTGAATAACAATTACTTGAGTCCAGGATTGTGGATGGCGAATAGAGCTTTACTTTTGGTGGCTGGCGACGCCGAAATTTACAAAGCGAGTCTGTTCAAACAAAGAAATATTTGTTCACACAGGTCTGTGAAGTGATGCCTAGCGCTAGAATTCAGCCAAACTTTCCGAGGTATTTCTCCTCCTGCAGCCTTTATTTTATCTGGACAATTTTACGGAAGACAAATGTCGAATATAGTTTGACGGGCCTGTCACTTATATCATATCTTGAGTAAGCAAATGTTCATATAAAAATAATTTATTCCGAAGGATCAATATCGCGAAATGCTGCTTGTGAGTACTTTTAGCAGGGTTGATAATATAAAAAAATTTCCTACTCGGCCTGTCAAAAACATGCTCAAGTACTGAATTAAAAAAAAAAAAAAGAGACCGAGACGACACTACTTGTTTATATCAATTATCTGTGTCAACACACGATACGTTTTTAGTTTGCGAAGTTCACTAAAGGTTGGGTGCCCACAAAAACCAAACAGTGAGTAGTAAACTCGCGAGTTCATCTGTTCTGGCTGATTCGGCAGATTGCTAATCAACCTGTCGATATGCTTCTTTATATTCACGTGTTAGTCTCTTCATTAGTTTGTTTTTCTGGAAACTGGTGGTCATGGGGCACGGCCGTGGACGATGATAATCTGCCCTATAGACCGGCACGCTGTTTACAAACAAGCCCTCATTTGCCCACACCAGGTGTGGGCACTGCGCGTGCGCAGAAACCGAATTCACGTGAAGTGAATCGTCTGCTCATGCGCAGTGCCGTCGAAAGCGCCACCGCAGCTGCGTGACGTCAGGGCCGCGCGTTGGTCTATACGTCAGTCAGGCGTTTCGCAACCGACCATAATCAGATATATCAAGAGTTGGTAAAAAAAAAGCCCGTGATTTAGGCTCAAATACATCTCGTCTTCCTCAAAGTGGCTCAATACCACTGTTTCATTGGTTGTGTGCTACAAGGAAAATAGTCGTACCACAAAATTACGCAAAAAGAACGTAAAACAGCAACATAGCCGCGTTCACGTTGAAAACGAAACCAACCAAATTGAAGCAACCTAATGGCGCCGAGTGCATCAGCGCCCTCTATCCGCCGGTGAGGCAACTACTAAAATGAAAAGGCCCACTGGCAAGCGCTCGGAGAACAGCCAGCGTAGAGCACACGAGATCCAACGCAATCGTGACGTAGTTCGTCTCAGGACGAGCGAAGCTACGGCGAGGCTGACGTTGAGAGGATGGCCTAGTCGTTCCAGCCACCGAAGCGGCTGCTTTTGTACGAATTTCGAGTGACGGATTAATCTTTTATAATCTTGTCAAGGGGCATGTAGCGACTTCTGGGACCCACAAGGGATTCTTGGGAAGAGGGGAGTTCCTCCTTCCCCTCTTCTCTCGTCGTGACCGAACGCGAGACAGTTACCGTCACTACCTCTCAAGGTTCCTAGACGGGCATTACAAACGAGGCGTTAGCGACATCCACCAGGTGCTCTTTGCTAATCGTTTAATTCGTTTTAAAATTCCTTTTCGTGACTTTTTTTAACAAGATATTGGTGTGTTCGATGTGATACTGCTCTTTTGAACACATATAGAACAAAAAATAAGCGCCGAAATTTCGTTGTAGTATCCCTTTAATGCTTTGGTAATAAAAAAAAAAAAAAAGACATTGCGGCGAGGAGGTGATGACCTCAAAAAGACACCGTTAATGACCAATTTAAACTTTTTTTTTTTCTTGACCTATTACACGAAACGACCACGGAAGCGCTCTGCAAAATCTACCATTAGGGAGTTTTCGTAGATCGTTTTCGCCGTCCCGCAACGCCCTCCGCAACCCGCTACGATACTCGGAACTGTACAGCCAAGGCCGTGGGCACGCAGGCGTAGTAGCGGCTTCTTCATTGCGGAGGGCTTAGCAGAGGGGGAAACGCGGTCTACGAAAACTCTCTATTTTCCGAATAGCACGGGCGGCTGATATCAAGAACGGTGATTTCTAAAAATGGTTCGTGCTGTTACCGCAACCACTTGCGCAAGGAAAACAATCTCGCGTGCAAGCTGCTTTCCCTTCGTGAGCGAACAAGTAAACAAAAATCCATGAATAGAGAAAAAGTTTCTGTATTTTCTTTATCTGCTCAATCATGAATCAACTCGACCAATCCAAAGTTTTAATACCCTGTAATGAATAGTGACATGACTTTCTGGCGTCTTTGACGGGCAATCACCACGATCAAGTAAGACTGACGGATTGGACAGGACACTAGAGCTAGCCAGTCTAGGGAACCGCTACTATCCCCAACATAAACAAGTACGCTAGAAAAAGGCCGTCCGTATCATCACAAACGTTCCACGAGGCGCTCACACTGAACCTTCTTTTCCTACGACATACTACAACTGGAAATAAACTTAACCCTACAATGAATGGTGTATATGATACGCACTCCTGGTAAAAAGCGCCTTCCAAGAAATCAGAGCAGAAAGGCAACGCGAATGCATGCTGTATCGCTTCCGATACATGTTTTGTGCATGTCCTCTGAGATCCCGAACCATACTCGAAGCGCGCTTCGGGATCTCGGAGGCCATGTTTTGTGCCGTTTGTCTCAAAAATACTCCCCCAGATGGAGCGATTTGGCTTGCCGGCGTTCAGATGCGCGGCTTGCTGACTGACATCGACAACAATCGCGGGGAAAGCCCAACTTCCAGGCAGTGCTCCTAACTTCTAAACTGTTCATCCTTCATGCTTGAAATTTGCGAGACATTTGCTGTTGCGCTGTGATCTAAGAAAGGCACAAACTGTTTTCGCCGCATCCGCAACCCATGAGCCACCAATGCATCGTGTATAAGATATAGTACATAAAGTATATCTTCGTATTTTAGTTGAAATATTTAAAAAACTTTTTTAATCATTTTTAGAATCATGTTTTACAGTAGCGAGCACTCCTAAACAATTTCATACAACAAAAACAAACAGTCATGCATTGTAAGGTTAACATGGTCCAAATAACTTATACATGTCATTTAACTGCAAACGCTAACAGCTACAACTTACGGCATGAATACCCGTGGAGCTGTTTTTCAAAGTCAAACGTAGAACATATGACTCCAAGAGAGATAATGAGGGTATGTTGTTTGTTGAACAACTGCTTGTCGTTCTTTCTGATGTTTATCTTTTTGCGATATATATTAGTTATTTTTTCGCTACTGTTTTCTTGTTGCAGCTCTAACTTTACCACCAAGACGGGAGACGGTTAGCTTTCTGTCTGCCTCCCGGCATCTGTACCTGTATAGCAAATAAAATGAATTGATCGATTTTTTCGGACAGACCCAGGATTCTAAATCTCGGCTGGTGTTAAAAATGTCTGGGAGGGTTTCAGGGTGTCTACCATAGGTTTGTGTACTTTGCGTACGAAATTCTTGGAGGTGTCCAACACCGCATGGAGGTTAGTCTGACACCCCTCCAATCACTGGCTTCGGGGTGCGCGGTTTGCGATTGTCTTTTCGTCATTGCGTGCACTTTAATCTCGTTCAGTATTTCTAATCAGTTGGAATTTGAACTTAATTAGAAAAAAAAAAAGTTGGGGGAGCAAAGGAAGTAAAAATTTCTGCTTTATTATTTCTCGCGAACTTATTCGTTTTAGGTGCCGTAGCACTCGTCTTCCGCGGTTTGCCGTGGAAGACTTTAATGAAATGATTGGTTCGAGGATTTTGGAGCACCTTTCGGAGCAGGCAAAAACACCTTTGGAACACAAACACACTCTTCACTCTCATTCATTCCACTGGGAATACTATGGGAAGGTTCATGTGTTGGTCTGTCCATTGTCCAGCTAAGAGACAGTGCTTTAACGAGTGGTTGCACTTGTGTGCAACCTTTCATTAAAATACATTGCAAATCATATTAAAATTATGCAATAACATTGAAACAAAAAAAAATAATTATGCACATATCAATGACATCAAGGCTGGGCAGAAATAATCTGAAAAGTATTTGGAGATACACACACTGGAATATGTGGCAACGACGACTAAAACATTGATAATCAAATACATTTCTAAAAATGTATCACTATACGTATCAGGAATACATTTTGAAAATTTTGATTATTTGCAAATACAAATACAGGAATACAACTTGAAATACATGCTTCTAAAAAAGAAACCACTATTTTAGGTGTTTTCACTCTCCGTAGAACTATTTGGATGCACATGGTACTGTATACAAAGGACAAGAAAGAAGCACAATCTACAACGCTCAATAAACATATAATCGAAAATCGTTTTCTTTTTAACCAACAAATCGCATCGGGTTGTTTATTTTTTTATCTGTCCAGCTCAGTTCCTGCTCACTTGCTGTACCAAGTGGAAGTAAAAGTTTCAAGTCAGCGCCGTGTTTGTTTATTAATTCCACTTGTCTTCCGTCTTTTGCACTTTGTTTTGATTAAAGATATAGTTCCAATCAAAAACTTGCTGGGCGTCACCGATAATCACTAAATAAGTGAATCTTTGAACAATTTGGCGCGTGTAATGTTGTGGTAGTTACCACTGGTGCGACAGGCGCAAGGGTCGGTCGTGGGCTACTGGTGCGAAAACGCGCCCACGCGATCTTTACGTCTCTAAAGTCTGATCATCAGTGTTTTCGCACAGCCAGCTTTGCGCTCATTGCACGAGTGGTAAATTTAGTTCACCACCGCGCTGCCCACGCACCCCAAATCTTTATACAATTTACTTATTTCGTGGATTTCGATGACGCTCAGCAAGGTTCACTGTTGAGCCACGTGTTAATTTTCACTAAGTTAATTAACAAACTACTCACGACATCAGTGTAAATTTCACTTTTTTTTTTTTAACAAATGTGTAAAGTGTAAAATAAACCTATAGGGCGGTTTTGCGTGACGTACTTCCGATTAGAAATTTCTCCGGATGACATGTTGACGAACTTTCGCCCCATGTCGTTCTATGCGCGGAGGCAGTGGGCAGTGTTTTTCTAGATTTATGGTAAATCGCTAGGAAATTGTGTTGCATACGTGAGACGTTTGAGCATCACGAACGTTAAGCGATACTCAGAGTTTCCAGACGTTCACGAACCTTGTGTACCCTTTACTGCTAATCGGGCTGATAAACCAATCAAAGTCGAGCCTAGCGGCCACGCTTTTATCTGGGCTTTAGGAAATGCCGCGCATTTAGCCAACGAACGTTTCACGCCCCCCCCCCCCCCCCCCCTTTTTTTTTTTTTTTCCTCTTCTGTGTTTCAGTCGTTTTAAACACATTCTGTACTTGCTTTTGCGGTGTAAGTTCTAGGTTCCTTTCTATTCGTTTTTTTTTTTTTTTCTATGCGCTTTTCGTTCTGCAATATGGCATCTTCTGGATATTGTTATGGAATGTTATGAAAATAAATGTTATGGGAAAAAAGGATATTTTATGACATGCTGGAAAGACACTCGCTTAATAATTTAAATGGTCTCGGTTCAATTCCCGCCTGCCATAAACTATTTCTTACTGCGATTCCAATCAGTGTCGAACCTGGCGGCCACATTTTTATCCAGGCTTCAATAACAATGTAAAACAATATATAAGCTTTAAAAAAAAAGTGTGTTATTCCTGTGAAGCAATGCCATGTTTCAAATGAGGTTGCATGTCATCTACGCTATTGTGTTAACTAGTTCAGAACAAGGTGATCTGCTTTTTAATCAAAGCCCAGCCCATCTACCCCAATATTCCGAGATAACCGACCCCTATTTTCAACCAACTTGCCTTTTTTTTTTTTTTTTTTTTTAGCACGGACATTTTATTTTTGTTAATTGGCGACTGGGAAGGACAGATTACCCCCGAAAGATAACCGACCCCTATTTTCAACCAACTTTTTTTTTTTTTTTTTTTAGCACGGACATTTTATTTTTGTTAATTGCCGACTGGGAAGGACAGATTACCCCTCCCTGCGATCAAAAGTTTCGCAGGTCACAAAATCTCAAACAAGCTTTTTATTAACTTTTTTTTTTATTATTGCACATTGAAAGTTGGGTTTACTCCTTATTTACACCAGATTTGCTTTCGATTTGAGGTGGGCTATATCTCAGGTTATTACGGTAAATTAGTTCCCTCATTGGGGCATACACATAGAAAAGCTAATTTCCATCATATGTGTTATCGGCAAATTGGCTTGCTATCTTGACTACAAGCGTTGCGCGTGTACTGCGGCGTGCCAATTGGCCGATCACGTCATTCCATAGAAACAACATAACTTCCCCGTGTGACAGGAACGCGAGATGCTCTTTATTTGACCCAAAGCTCCAATGATTCAATAGAACTCTTTAAACCCTTTGGTGCCCAAAAGTTTACTTGAAATACTGAAGACCTAGAAATCATGTCGTGGTATTAGAGCACACAACAACAAAAATCTAATCTAAAAAAATTTAATTTTATTCATGTTCTTGAAGTGTTTGCTCGTGAGCAACATTGGGCCTTTGCAGCATTATTTTACGTCCAATGACTGAAAGCAGTTACGACCTGGGAGAAGGCACAGGTGCACTTTGAATTTCGCGCAGTAGAAACGCTTGAAACTGGATTTGCAATATTTCCGCGTTTTTCCCCTCCGAAGAGTTTCGAGGTCAGTGGTGCATGCCATCGTACCTCACATCCACATTCGGCTTTAGCTTGAAAGGACAAGTGACCCATTTTAAAGATGCAATTCGATTCTTCGCTGCTAAGCAAAGGTATCCTCGTCCTTGCGTCAGAGGGTGCTAAATTTATCGAGGCACACATGGCATGGAAAAAAGTAAGTCATTCTCGGGTTGCTGCTCCTGGGCAATACTGGGCAACAAACGGTTAGGTAACAAAACCACCATCAAGAGACCTCCTTGCACCAGATTATGCAGTCTTATTGAATCACTGACATTTACATGCTACTGATGTTTTGAAGTCCTATACATAGCTTCCACTGATGTCACTTGGTCAGACATAAAGGGGCAAAGCATGCACGAGAGGGTAGCTTCCACATCGTTGACAAGGCGCTTCTGGTCACCAGAAAGAGAGGCGGACTGACTTAACATGCAAGCCATGTATGCGAAAATGTCCTGCCTATGTCCACTAGGAACTCGGGTAGTGAAGTAACGATATCTGAGCAGGCATATAGTTAAACCATGGCCGCTCTACAAACAGGAATCCAGAGAAAAGCCTTCTGCAGTCTTTCTTTATTCTTCATTTATATATATGGCACCGTTTTACAAAACAACTGGGTACATAGCCATACCAGCACTTTAAAATGTCTCTGCACGGTATTTGCTTTGCACATGTAAAAAAAGGTAACAGGAGGTTGGATTTGTACAGGTCGTTTGGCTCAAAATGGTGCATGCTGTAGCATATTTTTAACTAGAGAAGCACAACAAACATTTATGTCAAGTGCAGTTTAATTATGGCAACATTTCAGAGAAAAAAAAAAAATCACCAGAGTAAGCTGTACCAAAAATAAGCTTTGCACAAGGTTGACAACCACCACAATGTCTCAACGTTGAAGGATTGACCGGGGTACAAGATAAATCTTTAATTAATGTAACTGTGCTGAAAAAAAAAAAAAAAAGTGGAATGTCTGCGTGTATAGGTATATATATATTTATATATTTTATTCGAGCAATGCAACCTGAAAATGTAGAGTTGAGAGGAAACAATTGTAACCACACAAAACAATGGTTGTTGAACAACCTAAGCTATAAAACAGTTTTGTAGAATTCCATTGAAGAAGTGATTAACTACTAGGTAGCAGCGTAAGCATGTGGCCTGCTGTACATCTTGTAGAAAACAAAACAGACTTCATGATTTGAACCCTCGGAACCCACAAAACAAAACTTGCCATAAGCACCCCTGGCCTGATCGGTTCGTGTAAGACTTATCCTGTAACGGGACGACGTCCTCGGGCGACCTCAACGGCAATTCGTGATCGAGGAATGTTCGCATTTTCCGAGGATTGGCTCCAGGAAAACTTGGCTCTTAGAATGGGTGCCTAGAAGAGTTTCTTCTCAAACCTGAAACCAGTTTGGAAACACAACTTGTGACATCCACACCGCGGCAATGGTAGGCGACTGTGGAACCAGTGCGACCTGCCCTTCTTCAAACGTAACGGTTTACTCCGACTAACTGCAAATCTTGACATGCAAACAGGGCTTTCGTATGTCTGTACTTCTTTATGCCAAACTGGTAATTTCTGTACATAAACAGTTCATTAATAAACAACAATCGCACCCTAGAAGAGTGGCCAAGAAAAAAGTAAGTGACCTGCATCTTAGCATAAAGAAACCTGTACGGTCCTCAGATTAACTTGAGGCAAAGTCAAACACCTTTATAACAAACGACTGTACTACAAGAACGCCCGTCTAACGAAGTAAAATAGTACCAGCCAATCTCGTATGTGTTCAATGTGTTTATCCGACTACTACAATGAACTCGTGTTTAACAAACATTTCTGTTTAACGAAGCAATTGTGCAACCCCACAAAGCGAAAGAGACTGGTATTACAAACTTTCTAGGCGAAAATAATATATTTTACATATCTTGTTACTCTCATGTGACACGCATAAAGAACAGAAATACTGCGGCAGCGGCGACGGTCAACACCGCCGCCTCCGCGCTTCTCCGCCGTTATCATGCCGCACACTCTCGGGTCCAAATACTTCCTCAGTGTGCAACCTTGTGTATCTATGGCGCTACGCGATAATGTAGCTGCATAGAAAGCCAGAAGGTTGTACACTAAAAATATTTGAACCCAAAACCGAAAACGCGCGGCGCGGCAACAAAGGGAAGCGATGCGGCAAATGTGGTGCCGCCTCCACCACGCGCGCTCGCGCATACTTTTGCTTGTTTTCGTTTTGCTCACGCCGTTGATTCAGTATGTACCATTCCACTCCAAGAAGAGTGTTTTCTCAAGGATCATTCGAGCAATACGGAAACATTTTCTTATTTGAAATGTACGTCGACGCATTTGAAAAGACCTGTGCGAACAAGAGTGTATATGAATATATAAAAAAAAGTTATTTTCATGGGCAGTCGCAACTTTTTAGAGATGTCTTGGCATTTGTTCGACCGACGCGCCTATCTTCGCCAGGATCCAAGATTCCCAATCTTGCTCAATCCAAGTCCCCAATTGTTCCACCTTGGAGCGATAATATGCTGTCGAGGAAAAGTGAACTGCAATACTACTTGCGTCGCGAATCTAAGTGAAATCGGCGAGCTGCACGGGAAAACTCGCCCCCCTCTTTTTGCCGGAGAGATGTGAAGAACGGCTCAGTCGGCTCGCTTGTGCCCCTCTCCCCATCCTTGCTCCTTGCTGCGCTGCACACCTCAGCTGTTGGCGTGACAAAACTGTGGCCAATTCTGCCGCGCTGCTACGGTAGCGCTGTTGCGGCTGCCGCGTCCGCTCGCTCCTACAAGAGCAATGCAGCCACTTCGAGAGTCTCCTCTGAATGACGCATGGCAGTGCAAGGCACCACCTGATTTAGAAAAGGCCGAACTTACACGGTCGGCGAACTCCTCATTTGCTGCGTGATCGGGGGTCGATTTCAGTGGTTTAGTGATTGTTAAGATTAATATTTTGATAAGTCAGTCAAGTTTGTTGTGTGGAAGGTTGGACAGCTGGAGATTTGTCTGCAGCAAGGAGCACCTGGTGTCTCGGACGTAGACGACATGCTTTACCGGTGGTGGTGCCAGCAGTACGACCACTAGCCTGGAGTCTTTAAACTGCCTAATGCAGTGGTAAGCACACAAATGAACGCCTGTACACATTCCAAAAAAAAAAAAAAAATCTTGGACGTAGTTATTGCGTTTAAGGGGCCTGCATTCTTCAGCGGAGCTTTCGCCTTACGTGCTCCGAGCTACGATGTACTAGCATGCCAACGTACAAAACCTTGTTTCTGATGTCGCTCGTACTACATTTGGCACTATACTTTTCTTAAAACACCCTAAATATCATGCAGGTATGTCAATAAGCAATAACACAAATTCGGCTGTGCGCGATGAATTTTTCCCGCTCAACTACTAGAACGGAGATACCTGTACTACGAAAAATTTTGCCGGTCCCACAGATTTCGTTGTAAAGGCGTTGGACTGTACTACATGTTAACGATTATTTTTGACTAAGTGTAAAAACGATAATTCGTGACAAACTAAAATGCACTGGAAGCTTTATGTCCAGTGCGAGCTCTGTACCTTCGATGAGACTTGAGCGTGTGCAGTCAGCATGATCAAAGGCAACAAGTACAGTCGAATCTCGGTAATTCAAACTTTGCTTTATTCAAACATATTTTTGGTCCCCCTCAAGTTTGAATTAATGAGATTAGACTGTATGGTGCCGCAGGCAGAGCTTCTAGCAAATTCTAAACCCGTTGACTACAATAGTGATGAAGACTACATGCTAGCCAAACTTACAAAGCAAAACACAATTGGCCCAAACACACGATTTGCAGTTATATTTGTTTTTCACACTCGGAAGAAAGGCTACCCCCCAAACCATAAATGTGATGAATGTATGTATGTGCAGCCCAACTTAGGTGGCACAACAAAATGAAAAGAAGCCCCATTATCAAGCTCGAGCGAACTTCATAGTGTGCTGGACGTAAAAGATGCACAATTTTATATGATGGATGCATTAAGTGTAACAGAACATTCTTTATAGTACTTCGTTTGTTTGCTTTTCACCTTACATCAATTGATGCTACGAGTAGTTGGGTCAGTCAAGCAGTGCCGAAAGTGCACAACTGAAGTACAGAAGTGCTCTTTATCTTTCTGTGTGGATGTTATCACAACCAAACTACCGTAATGAAGTGCAGTGATTATGCCATGACCTTGCACTTTTAGTATGTGGTGTGCCCGCTTGTATGTCTTCTAGCCATTGACTGTGCTTTGATTCGTAGCAAAACAAGGTATGGCAGTACCAAGGCTAGCACTGTAGCAAAGTTAGCGGCAAAGCTAGTGGCACCACCTCCTTGAAGAGCTTAGGATGCAAATACTTACGAGTACAATCCATGCACTCCGCCCTCAGCCTGAGCAGAGACAGATCTCTTCTCAAACTTGATGTCGCCCGAGTACATGTTTGCCCTGCACGAAACGAGAGCGCACACAGATTAACAGAAACCCCCCCGTTAACACTCTGCTCGACAGATCAACATATGTAGAGCAGCTCGAGAAATGTAGAGGAGCAACAAACAACCAACTTCACGAGGCTTCAAAATCCAACCTCTAAGGCTTCACAGAAGGAACACTCTTTCCATCCAGTCTTTCGGAAGCAGTCGAACATTACTCAACCACGGCATAATTATTCTACAGCTAAATGACAAATGGGAAACATTTGCAATACAATCAACATACCGGCCAAGTTTGAAGAAACTGAATCCGGGAGATTTTCTAAGCCAGAAGGAAGGGGGGGGGGCATTTTTCTTTTCTTAAATTTTGACAATGAGTTTACATGAAGACAACTTCATTACATTTGTATTGCACTGCTCATGCTAGCGAGATAAATCTGGGACTTGCTATCATTGCTGTTTGTTGCGAGGGTAAAAACTTCTTGTTTACTAAAGAGGTCATGAAATGAATTTCGGGCTGGGATAAATGCATTTAGATTGGGATTTCACTAATTACAAAACGGGCCAAACGAAAAAGGGTAGGAAGTCAAAAGCCTGTTTTTTGGTAGAAATTGAGAAAATGAAGCGTGGACGAGTTCAAACCTCCTTTCCTTCGAAAACTCTCTCCACTTTTTTCACTCCGATACATCTGCAGTACCCAAACCACGCCAGCTGGCCCAAGCTCACGCACTGGACAGAAGAGCCGAGTCGCTATACTATGTCGCTATACTCCGTTCACCCCTAAGCCGACAGGGCGGTTGGAGCTATGCGCTTGCCAGACCGATCAGCCGCCTCCCTTTCAGATAAGTGTTGCTGGCCCAACAAGCACGTAGCTTCCACAGCACTGTCAGCTTAGAGGTTAGCAAAAGATAGTTGCGTGCAGTACTGCGGAAGCCACGGGCGCAAGAGGGGGGCAAGGAACTTTCAAAGGAGGGTCAGAGCAAGAGGACAGTCCCTCCTTTCCCTCCTCTTGAACTGCTAGCGGTATACTCTCGCCCCAATACCCTTGGTAAGGCTACGCGATTTGCGAGTTGAGTAGGAAAGCTAAGAAGGAACAAGTTGAAAAATAATTTCATAACCTCTTTAAGTGTCGGGAGGAGAGGGGGTCTAACTTGAGTTTTTGGGCGATTCTCCTGTCAACCGTACGAAATGATCAAAATTCAGGAGCCTCCCTGGTGATATGGGAGACTTGGCAGTTATGAATCAGTATTTCTACTTTATCAGTATCTTTTAACTCTGAATTTTCAATCTTTCAAGACTAAAGTCAAAATGGCCATCGTTGAAGAAGAATGTCATACGGGCTCTTAGAGACAGAGCTGCACTCATTCACCTAATTCTTCTCTCCAATACTAAACCTTGAAAACTCCTACCATTTTCAAGGAGACGAGCTAAGAATAATAAGGTGGCAAATAAAAATTTCAATGCCACGGGCAAAGAAGCAAGAGGAGGCACCCACTTGAGCACATCCAAGCTACGAGCACCGATGTCCTGGCAGCCGTATTTGATGCCCGTGATCAGGTATGGCACGTAGCGGTGAATCGAGCCTTTGTCGACGATGGTGCCCGAAACACCCTGGGCCACCCGAACCTTGTCTTGGTCACTGAAGGAAGAAGAAACACTTCCGTTAGCTACTTCCCGAGACAATGGGATCCATTTGCAACTTCAGCAAATTCAAATTAAAGGATTTTATAATAAATCGAGTCAGTCCTGCATGTAACAAATTTTCGTCAATTTTTGCGAGTCGCGAAATGCGTTAAAAAAAAATTGGTTTTGCAAGTCACGAGTTTCTATCAGTGGTGTTTAAAAATTTTGCTTTTGAAATTTAGCTCCCGGTGCAAAACGTTTTGCAAGGTCTTGAACACAACAAAAAGGTATTTATAGTACATTGGGGCTTGAAGTCCGCTTGCTCAAAGCAATTGGCACGAAACAAGCACATTAAAGAACAGAGTCTACGCGGTTACGAGTCTTATACACTGGCATCCTACACTCTTCCAATGAGAACAAGACCGTCCAGCAGAGAGTCTTAAATGCTACATATGAGCAAGTTGCCTCAGAACTGCAATTAATAAGGAACGGCCATGAGCCAACACTGGTCGGGAATGCGTAGCCAACAGGAACAGCAGCGACCTAAAACATTCAGAGTTCCGTCCCCGAAAAGCGAGAGAGTCGCAGTCACAGAGTTCAAGTACCGTAAAATGCCGTGTGTGCACCTTTGTCGCGACAAGCACCCACCCCCACCTTGAAAACGTTTTAAATATAAGCAAAGGACACATCAAGTGCCTGTCCCGGCAAACTTCTGAGACTACAGAGCTAACGGAGGGGATCCTCCCCTTTGGCTCCGAGAGAAAGAGCACCAGCACAAAGCACGCTTGGCGCAGGCGACGCGGCCGCTCTAAAAATGAGGGGTTCCGCTCCCGTACTGTCCCGTTGAACCAAACCAGGGCCTTTCTCGCTAAGTGCCCCTTTTTACTCCCCCGATTTCCGAGCTAACAAGCGCCCATCCCCATTTTTTCTTGATCATCTCCCGAGTTTTAGGTGGGCGCTTGCTCGGTATTTTATGCTAGGAATGCAACAAACCAAATGGGAAAAGAAGAAAGCGGGAAGCAAGAAAGATAGAGAGGAAATGCACAAAGATAGAAGCCCCCGGTACTACACCCTTACCTCTGGTAGTAGCGGTTCAGGCTGCCGCCGCCCTCGGTGCTTTGCATGGCGTCGAGGGAGCCCATACCGCGGTACTTCTTGAGACGAACGCCGTTGGAGAAGAAGTATTCGCCCGGAGATTCGGTCGTGCCCGCAAGCATCGAGCCCATCATCACTGCAACGCAAAGTGCACGTAAGAAACGGATGCCCTCGCTTTTCAGGGGAAGCAGATCTTAGCAGGGCAACCTTCTTAATCTTTGGGTCTGGAAGTTTTCTTTGCAGTGACACTTTACTTGGGTGAGTGGGAAAAGTCAACGACACTAGATATTGTGGCAACAAGAAAATAAAGTACATAGTAATTGCTATTTACAGATTTTAAAAATGGCTCTCTATTTTGTTTATGTTAACGTCAGCAGTGATCCTCAGTTCTTTCCTAACCTGTCTGTCCCAGTGATGGAAGTGTCGACATTACAGCTCCACGAAAATTACAGGTCTCTAGGTTGGATAAGCAACGCTGCACTTCCCCAGCCTGCCTTTTCCCAAATGAAAAGAAATTGATCAATTGAATTGCAATTTTTAAGACAACCTTTTCAAAACTTCCTTGTGCCATACAGCCCTTACTTATTTCTTTACCATAGTCCTACAAACATGATGTCACTAATATTTTACTAATTCACCGATAGGGTTTATGGAGTTTTATTTTTGCTAAGATGCCACTTGACAAATTGGTGCTTACTTCCCCGAGAACAAATTAACATTTACCAGTACATATTCTGTATGGGCACTAGATGAGCAAAAAAAGCAAGCAAAATAAAACTTTAAAAAAAGAAAGTTCAAAAGAAAAAAAACAGGTGTCGAAAATGGACTGCATCATTTAATATGCATTCGAAAAACAATACAACGTCAATGTCTCGTCGAGCCTTTGTGAATGCGTGCATGTAGAACGGCCGACAGTTTTAACGACTCTACAAAAGATAAAAAACAAACTTGAGAGGCCTAGCCATCAAATTTGCTTTCCGGGGAAGACCGTGCACGGCCCCACAAGCTCACCCGTAGAGGCTCCCAGTGCCAAAGCCTTGATGATGTGACCGACGGAACTCACTCCGCCGTCGGCGACGCACGGCACTCCGAACCGCCTGGCGTACTCCGCCACCTTGTACACGGCAGTTGCCTGGGGCCGCCCGCACGCCATCACTGCACCGACAACAAAGAAGTCAAAAGTCAAATTTAGGGGTTTTACGTGCCAAACCAGCGACGGGCATCTAGCACGCCCCAGCGGAGGACTGAGGATTAATTTGGACCATCTGGGGATCTTTTGACGCGCAACCGAAAGCTCGGTTACGCGGCGCCTCCTCCGCAATAAGCCTCAGTCAGATTGCGGACACCTCGGCCGGGATTCGAACCCGCCACATGGGGATCCGTAGGCCAGCGCTCTCGCCTCTCCCCGGCCACGCCACCTTTGCAGCTCGGAAAATGTTCCGAGTGGTTTGCAGACATTGCAAAACTAACAACCTGGGGTGCAGTGGCGATTGCCTTGTAATCACTCTGTAGAAAGTGAGAATTTATATGACACCCTTGACTAAAAGAGTCAAATCTGACCCCAAAAAGTTAAATAGCCGTTTGGCATCTTGGTTTGACAAAGATTTAATTGTCACAAATGCCAAGAGTTCGGCCTAAATGCATTTTATTAGGGTTTCTGTTTTCCGGCAGTCATATTTTTAACCCACTTACGTAGCAACACAATTCCAGCGGTTAGAAAAGGTCAAAGACTCTCACGAAAAAGTGAACAGTTCCAAACAATTGAAAGTGCAACCGAAAGTGCACAGACCATAACAAATGTAAACTCTCTTTCATGTTGGCTGCATCAATCTTTCTGCCAATGTATCCTCAGAAAGGTAACACTATATACTTTGAATTCTTTCTTCCTTCAGAACTCTACATTCCGGGTACATCTTCAGACACCAAATATAAATGCCAAACACTTGACCGGATGTTTGCTGCCTGTCCTTTCTCATAGATTTGTAAAAAATATGGCACACACGGCTTGTCGGTAGTTTCCCATAAACGCCGGAAACCAGAAAGAATAGTTACATGGAGCCCGCTGAGTCGTTAAGCCAACGACAGACTGCCTACCTTCCTGAGTGATGCAGATAGAGCCGGAGCCCATGCCGACTCGAAGTCCATCCACGCCGGCTTCGATCAGGTTCTTGGCCTGTGCGGTGGTCACAACTGGGCAGAAAATGCAGGGACATACATGTTCAACGGGGCTCAGAAGAACAATTTATACCAGAAATAGAAAGCCACTCACCGTTCCCACCGATAACCTGGAGGCCTGGGTATTTGCTCTTGATGTACTTGACCATCTCAATCTGGTACACAGAGTTTCCCTGGGAGGAGTCCTGCGCAGGAGATTGATGCAGGATTGGCGTCCCGCTAACGAGCTATGGCTGCAGCTCGCACTCGTTAATCGGACATTCCTACTTCATGATCACACTTTTGGGGCACAGGCATCGGCCCACTAAGATGAGTTTGTGAACATGATCTTGGCAAGCGCACATTTTTCTCTCGTTGATAAGACTCCCTAGCAAGATTTAAGAAATAAAAATTGAAGAAAAGGGTATAGTATAAATCAGATTTATTTCAACCAGATTATTATTTAAATCACTTCCGGTAAAAAAGAGTGATTTATGTCATAGATGTTTCTAAAAATGACTGCCTGATATAAATCTTTCTTGCTTGGTCATTCTCTCCTTTAAATAAGAAAGAAATTACCACAAAATCATATAGAAAGATAGGCAAAGATACATAGACAATATTTGGGGATTGTCTCGAGGAAAAGTGTTTGATTTAAATCATAATAGTACCGTAAAATACCGAGCAAGCGCCCACTAAAAATTTTAAGATAATCGCAAAAAAAAAAAAAACGGGGGGGGGGGGGGGGGGGGGGGGGACTAGTCTAGTCATTAATTTTACATATAAATGTACTCTGTGTATTTTCTCGGGTCTTAGCAATTTGGGAATGGGCGCCACCGGTTCAAAATACAAACGTTATTATCATTAGCAGGATTGTTGATTATGTGCCAACTCATTTCTGAATGCAAAAAGCACATTTAAATTTTTGTTTCAGTATGCCTTCAAACGTGTCAAGTGCAGTTGGAAGAGCGGAAGTTTCGTAACTGTGAAAACAAAGCCTTTGCTGTCGAGCCGTAGTCCTCACCAGAACGACGACGTCGACCCCCGCCTGGACGAGGAGCTCGAGCCGGGGCTTGTCGGCTTCCCGGGTGCCAATGGCGGCGCCCACAATGAGCTGCTTGTTCTCGTCCTTGGAGGCCAGGGGGTAGCTGCGGCTCTTCTTCAGGTCCGTGCGCGCAATCAGCGACACCAGCTCCCCTCCCTCGTTGACCAGCGGGAGCTTGCCTGCACGACCGAAGGAAGGAACAACTCTGTTTTGCTGGCTTTCTCGGAATCGCAAATTGCTTGGCGTTAGACTATGCGGCGAACGAGCGTTCCAAAATGCATCTTTGGTGCGTTGGCTAGGAAGGAGGAGCATGCCGATTGAGCGTCGACGTAGAGAATGTGCAGGGAACGCGCGATGACGAGGCGGCTAAATGTGCAGGGCTGTCATTGGTCGAGGCCGGGGGGAAACAAAAGCATGGGGTGCACAAGAAACAGCCGAACTTGCACGCCGTATTGACACCGTTTTTATGATAATACGCGGCATAATTTATGACTTTGACATCGTATACTACCTACAATGGTACTCATGTCCTGTCCATTGGACAAAGATGTCAAAATGAGGCGACACACTTGTGTCGATCCCGTTACACAAATGCAAAGTTGGGAGGAAACATTGTCCGATACATTTCTTTAGCGGAATACACAGATATGAATGGTATAGTGATTCGACCGAAGAATTTTATAACATTATTGGAATCAGTCAACACGTATGTCAGCGGTGGCCGGGTGCTGACTTTTCGTTAATTGGAAATGCGACGTTGGTTTATGAAGGAATAAAATAATGGTGATTTTCTAGAGTTAACTTTGATTACATAAGAAGATCTCTTTCGCGTCCGTTATGTGGTGTGCATCGGTTCGTTCTCCGGATCGGGAGCGTGTGCTTTCCCACGGACCGAGAAAGGGGAGTTTAGTCAAACTCTATCCTCGCTCACTCGCGAAGCGAACCGTCATGTGTTGAGGATATACATCACACCTGTTATGTGAAATCGACGTGCAGGCCAATGCTAGAAAAACAATCTGGGTCAGCTAACACAAAATACAGTTAAACCTCGATGTAACAAAGTCGGTAAAAATCGCAATTTACTTCGTTACATTGAAATTTCGCTAAATCGAAATTTGGCTTTAGCATGCAAAAAACTAATTCCGAAACATTTTACGGGTATGAAAACTCACCGAAAATGACATTTATTTAGGGGCAAAGTAGTCCGCGAGTTTTGCTTGCGCCTTGTCCGACAGTAGCAGCGGCGTCATACGGCGCTCGAGCGGCCAGAGCGCTTGCACGGCCTCTTGCTGCCCATGCGACGCCGCGCACCTCCTCAGTAAGTCCATTGTGTCGAGCACTTCCCGAGTGCTTGTGATCTCGGCAGTTTCTTCAGGATGGCGTCCAAAACGTTTGCTTTTTCATCCAAAGAAAGAACTTTACGTTTCCCTATGGCAGCAAGCACGTGAGTGAACCGCCCAGTTGAAAAATAGAGCTGTTTAGTTTAGGCGGTGCCAATGTTTCCAACCTACACAGCACTCTTGCCCGCACAGTTTACTCAGCTTACTTGCCCCCTTGCGCCCACAGTGTGCTTGCGCCTTTGCTTTACATCACGCTCGCAAGACGATAATCCAAGCGATAATCGTTCTTCTCGGTCTTCTCCTAGATGGCACTGCCCGTGCGGTCGCGCCATCACGTCGCTACCCGGCTACCCCGCTGAAGTTGGCTCCCGCGCTACTTGCAGTACAGTGGACTATGATGATCAGTGAATGTCAGTGGTGATGCTGTTATGCCGTGTTAACTTTTTGCTCGGCATTTTCTGCCCAGCCCCGCGGAATCCGCTTTGCCGCATGCCTCGCCGGCGCTACCGGCGCTGCATCCTCGGGCAGCCTAGGAACGTTGGAAGGCCTGTCCCCGTAAAGTAACCTATCAAGCGCTCGCGTTTGCGCATAATTTTTTTTTTTAACCACAATTTTTTTGCGAAGTTGTTGTTTAGAGTCTTTATTTATTGCCTCCTATGGCAATGGCGCTTCGTTATATTGAAATAGCAGCAAAATAGATTTCGTTATATAGAGACTAAAAATACATGGGGTCTATGGGCAAGAAATCATGAAAAATAAAATACTTCGTTAAATCGAGGATTTTGTTACATTGAAGTTCGTTATATCGAGGTTCGACTGTATTGGTACTGAGCGACAAAATTCAAATATGTGCAAGAACCTTGTCCAAATCTATTTTTAATCAGTGGCGCTAAAACAAAAAGGGGTGGGGGAAGGTGACCCCACCCCTCTAACTTTTCAGATATCACCGATTGAAAATATGTAGTGTAAAGAACTGGCTGCGGGCAATGCAAGACACTGATACGTGGTTATTTTGGGTGACTAGCTTCGGCAAAAGACCTACTATAAACTCCTCCCGCTGCAGCAATAACAGTCATAGGCAGTTTGTTTTAAGCAAATAAAGTGATTATCACAATCAGAAATATCAGAATCCCTTTAAGTGAAACTAAAAAGCAACAGTTCCTGGGATGAGATGACCAAGATGGCAATCATTCACCGTTTCCATGGACACTGAAGAAGAAAGCATGCTACCACAGAAAGCTAATAATTGGTGTACCCTTTTTGCTCTTCTGAAGCAGGGAGTTTGCCTCGGACAAGGTGACCTTCGATGAAGCGACAGTCAAGTCCTTCAGCGATGTCATCACCTGCATTGTAAAAACAAATAAAAGAAATTTACTGTTGCGATGTCACATCTTTTCATGCATTGAACAGTAGGAAGCTACAATCAATCAAATGTTAATTTAAATGGATTTTACATGCAGTCAAACAGCTGTTGCTGCATACACACCTTTTGGACAAAAACGATACTGAAGCACACAAGACAGGCCCATTAAACCCTCATATCATTTATGTTAGACCATTTTTGCAGGCTCAACAAAAATTCGGTAAATCGTGGTTTTCAGGAATATTTCCCAGGCTCGAAATTTCGCGAATCGGGGTAGTATGCTATGTACTCGGAATTTCCAAGAAAAGTGTGAGAACCGTGTTTTTCGACCCGGGTAAATAAACTATGCATCATAGAAAGCTCGAACTCCATGAGAACGTGATGCTGTCGGTTGGGATAGAACTCAAGACTAAGAACACGCCGTTACTTTGATAAAAAGACGAGCCTACAAAGCTCCTGGGTATCAATTTCGTTAACGCATGTTACACTATGTGTAAGATGCACAAGGCCGTTTCCCACTTGAAATTTCTGCAGGCAAGCCTTATTACCGCTGCCTAAAGGACACATTTGCTTAGTCTTTCTTCCCTCATTCTTTGATATTAGCCAAACACGTACAGATTGCAGAGGAGATTTCACTGACAATTAACACACTGACCCAACAAGGATAAATTGAAGCATAACCATAACACATGTCAAAAAAAGGAAAAAACCACCCTACCCCTTTTGTACATTCATTGTAACATTAAAGAAATGCTGACAACCTGCAGAGCATTGCACACAAAATTAGTACAATGGACAAACACAGGAAGGAGTAGACAGGACAGAGCACTTCTCTCTGTGTTCGTCCACTGCGCTAATTTTGTGTACTATGTTTAACCAACTAGGCCATCAAATGGACCTTTTGGCGAATATGTGCTGCCACCTAGACACGCGACTGGGTTCGAGGCTAAGTGGCAAGAAAACAATGCGCGCGCAAGGCCTCTCCCACCCGTTCCACACCCAAAACGTTGGCTACATCCTTTTCACCCATTGAGCCGCTGTGACCTAGATACGGCTCCCCCAAACTCGCCTTTGCCCCCATCGTGAGTCATCTTCCGCCCCAAAGTCGACACAACGAAACCATCTTCCTGCTCTGCTCGGCCAGAAGGAAGAGAGAGAGGGTACTGGAATCATTTACTCTCAAACCGATGTTTCTACAAAAGGTCCATTACTTCGTTGCAGAGCATCTGCTGCCAGGCCACCTGTGCCAACTTTCACAATTTTTAATGCATGCATGCATGGCATTATCATGCTGCACAGGCAGCATGATAATGCCATGCAGGTTGTCGGCATTTGTTTAATGATGTTACAATAAATGTACAGGAAGGATATGGTGTTTATTTTTTTTATGGCATGTATCAGGGATGGGCAGTATTGCAAATACAAGTATTTGAAATACCGTATTTAAAATACTTTTGTGTATTTTGCATTTGTATTTAATTACAAATTGGGTAATATATTTGACGTGCATATTTAAATACTAAAACGTGGGTATTTCAAATACAATCGTAATTAAATACAATTTTGTGGGCAAAAATACATCCCTCAAATTTATTGTCACTGTCCAGAGCAGGAAGAAAACTACGTTCTGCATCGAATGCAGTGTCTCTCAATCAAGCACAAGCGTTTAGTGACTTTGTGATTACGATGCTAGTCCAGGGCAAGAATGGTGACGAAATCGACGTTCACAGGCAGACTGGCTAAATAAGTGCCTGTAACAACTTGTGATGCTTTCCAGTCTGATTTCCATCCATATTTTTGCCTGCGACATTCTAAATGTGCGGGTTGTCCAGATTTTCGTAACTGGTGAGAGTTGCAACAATAAAAAATTCTCTAGCTAGTGCTGCGCGTCTTGGTCGTCTCGGTTATTTGTTGGTCTATACCAAAATCTAATGACAAAAAAAGCTGCTTGAAGCTCTGCACTTTTTTCACCTATTACGTCCAAGCTGATTACATTTTTTACGATTATATTTCTATTACGTTACTAGAGCCTCGCACACCAACTCCCGAGTGTGCGATGCAAAATGTAAAATGAGATACCCAGAAACCCATTGCAGGTGCCCAGAAGTCGCTGACGAAAATTTTGAGGAATGTATTTGGAAAAGTATTTGGAGGAGACCAAATACATTTGGTTGTATTTGTATCTTGTACTTAAATGCTTTTTGGAAATGTAATTAGATTTGTAACTAAATAAATTTTTGACGAAGTATTTTGAATTTGCATTTCGATACGTATTTGCATGTATTTTGCCCATCCCTGGTATGTATTATGGTCATGCTTGATCGCACTAAATTCTTGGAGCGGACTACCTCTCGACGTCATTCTAAGAAACAGGAATTCGGACAAAAAAAAAAAAAAAAACGGGGGCAGACCACTTTTTGGAAGATTACAAAAACAATCTTTGAAAGTATGTACAGCGATCAACTGAATCGAGCCAATCGCAGGAGACACGTACCTCTGAGAGTAGTCTGTTGTGGTCTTCGATGGGGATAAAGTCGATGTCCCTTGAGGTCACCATGCCCACCAGCTTTCCGCCCAGCTTCCCATTCTCGGTGATGGGCACACCGGCAAAGCCGTGCTTCCTCTTCACCTCAAACACGTCGGCCACACAGTTGTTGGGGCTGAGCACTACGGGGTCGTGGATGAACCCGTGCTTGTACTTCTGCAGGTGTCAAGGGAGAAGGACGCACACCAAGCGGTGACACACTCATTCTACGATTTCACAGCCGCCGTAATTCAGAGTTTCTCAAATGCGAATGGGTGGTCACTGGATAGATGAAGAGTCATGCGGATTACATTTGGGTACAAACATTTGGGGAGAGAGCATCAACGGACAAACAGGAGTCGTGTCTATCCGCCAGTTTATGTTTTCTTTCTACACGTGTGTATCGTATAAGCAACCCACTCATCCTGACCGATTTTATTATGGGGATTTTGCATTTTCCGAGCTCATGTCTGGGAAAATCCTAAGAGCTTTTTCGAGCAGGTTTCTTCCCCCAAGAATGTTCCAACTACTCGAGAGCTTCCATTGCACTTGAACAATACTCATTTATTTCCTAGTTTTCGCATTCAGTTCATATATTTTCAAGACTTCCAAAGAAAAAGATTCCTCGGGAAGGAAAGCATAAAGGAAACACAGACTTTTGAAGTTCAAAGTTTTTTTTTTTAATTCTTGCAGGCCAAGCTCAGTAGGGAGGCAAAGACAAAAGACATTTTTGCTGGACTAAGGCCTCCACCCCCACCCACACAGTTTGCAGCAGGTACACATAATTACTTAAAAAAAACACACATACACAAAAGAGCAAAGGCCACCGAAACAGTAATTGTAGCTGTTTTGTATGTTTAAGCAACAGGACATAAAGGATTAAACTGTTAATGCCAAGGAATGTTAGAAAGAGCATTCCGAAATTAGTCAAACTGCCACACCATATTTTTGCTCGTTTTTTTATTCAACTCCGATGGATGAAGACAGCATGCAGATTAGGGCCTCTAAACTCGTCAAATACAAAGTTTGGGCTCAAGTTGACGGAGCGCACCGATTGGCTTATCACAACGACGACTTTGCGCTTTTATCGCCGACAGCGCGAGCTTTCGACTCCAACTTTGTTTCACGAGTGTAGAGCCCTAGAGGCATAAAAGAAGAAAACATAGCCCTACATGCTATTATTCCGCCTCAGCCAAATCAACCTCGAGAATGGCATTCTACACATATCTTCATTGTTCTCAACAAGCAACTAAGCAATTTGTAAAAAATTAACAGAAGCTCCGACACTTTGCCCATTTGATTAATGGCTGCCCCCTCCTCTCCCCCCACCCCCTCCAAAAAAAAAAAAAAAAATCTTTCCTTTTTTAAACATGGTATTTGCAAAGAAAGTTTTTAAACTATGAAACATGACGAAAAAATTGTATCTACCTTAACTTTGTGGACCTCGTTGGCTTGGTGTTCGGGGGTGCAGTTGTGGTGGATGATTCCAATGCCCCCACAGAGCTAGTGCAAAAACCAAATGAGCAGGTTTAGGAAAGAGTGTTTGATGCAGCTTCAAAGTCTTGATACAGCTTGTGCAGCTGCTCTCTTCGAGAAACTTACAGCCATTGCAATCGCCATCTCAGACTCCGTGACGGTATCCATTGGCGACGAAACCAGTGGTGCTTGGAGAGTGATGTTCTTGGTAAGCTTTGATGTAAGGTCCTTCGAAGAGGATGGAAAAATTGTCCAATTAACAGAGATAAGTGTAAAAGTAATGTTCAAAGACACAAGAGCCAAAAAACTAATAGAGTGAAACGTAAGAATAACATGCTGACAAGCTGAAAACTGCAAAGTTTCAAAAATAAAGATAAAACAAAAACCGAACTTACAACATCGTCGGCGTTGAAATCGATGAACCCAGGAAGGATTAGGAAGTCGCTGGAAGATAAATGTATCTGTTAGTGAGTACACTGACACACACTATCAATTTATTGTGATGCCAGACGGGGTATTGTTACATATATCTGGAAACCATGTTTGAAATTTTTGAATTTAATTCATAAATGTACTAACTCGTGAGTCGTTTTCACCCCAAGAAAAAAGCTCAAGTTTTGCGCACTGTTCATAAGCCACATGAAGTAGTTCCAGCAGTTCCGGTAGCTCTCAGAAGATTTGGTTGTCGGTGGAAGAAGCTTGGCTTTTGGCATGTAGGGAAATGAGGCAATGAGTGATTCCTAAGAAAAAAAAACAAAAAAAAAAACAAGGACCCGTTTTTTTTTTTGTTTTTTTTTTTTTACTACAGTTTTTAAGATAAAAACAAATATAGCGCTTATAAAAAAAAACGTTTTGGCATACTTGCGCCTGCAGCTGAGAACGCAGGCGCAAGTATGCCAAAACTTGGTTCCAAGACCCGCTATTTTCAGCCATAACCTTTCGGCAGCTCTTTGCACAGACACGCAACTTGCGAAAAAAAATTAAAATAAAAAAAAAAGCCAATGTGTTGACAAATTGTCAAGGCGGAAGAGAAGACATACCGAGCATAACTGGATTATTCTCGGTTACAGACAGAGGTTACAGAGTTGCGAGGCAGGAAACGCAGCTCGTCTCATTCATTGGTGGGGCATGCAAAGCGAGTTGTTCCGCGGAACAAGAGGAACACAAATTTAGAACAAAGAGAAAAGGTTTCGACATGATGTAGCACTTTTTTTTCGCTGGCTTTTATTCCACTATTTCGACACAACGTGACCAGTCTTTTCTCGGTTGCAAAATATATCTTCCATTCCATTAAAAAAAAAAAAGTAATTTTAATTTTTATAGGTTTAGATCTTTCTAATAGCGCTGTCAAGCACACAGAGGTCCAGCCCTGTCGATACGATCACCAGCCTCGCATAACGACGCCCATATTTTGAAGAAAACAGGAAACGAAGCAACGAATAAACCGGTCACTAATCAGTTGCCCTCCTCCTCATTTTTTTTTTTTTATTGAGATCATCAGTTCAAAGACCCTGTTTTTGGGAGAGAGAAGAAAAAGAAAAAGAGCTTATTTAACACAACACATTGGCTATTCAAAAGGAGTGCCCAGAGCGAAAAAATAAAATTCTGATTAACACGCATCAGAAAATATTACAAACTGACAACTAAAGCCCGCAACCGCTGGCACAGGTAGAAAAATTTAATCGCAGAAAATATAAAACCAAAACCTGGCCAACGCTCAAACGATGTGCTCACGCCACACGCTACGCAGTTCTCAGACAGGTAACTCGCCCGAGGAAAAACAAAAACAGATAAACAAATAAAAAGAGGAGGAACTAGAAAAGCCCGAAAAAATAATTTGTTTTTGTTTCCCCCCAGCAAGGCCAGCGAAGTAACACCGCTTGTTGACGACGGCGGGTCTATGCGGAAGGTAGCCTACGTACTTGTAGGTGAGCCCATCGCCCGAGCCGATGAGGTGTTGGGCCGTGAGGCCGTCCTCGGAGAACGTCGTTTTCTTGTCGGACATGGTCAGAAGCGACGATGTCACCGGCTGCACAGTTCGAGGCCGAATGGAATTATCGCCAAAGCGCTCGACGGGGACTCAACGAAACGCACATGGACCTGCATTTACACGTCGAGATCCCCCTCGCGGGGAAGAGGGCGCCGGAGAGCCCAGTGAGGGCGCTGGAGAGCAGCGACAACCTTTTAGGAGCCGCCATGTTTTGTCTACTTGGATGCGTCAACGGTATTGACGGATGCGTCTAATGAGTGAATATTTAGTAAGTCGTTGAATTCAACCATTGAAATTGCGCAACAGTTTTTCTTGTAAGCAGCAAGCGTAACACATTGGTAAAACGCCCTGGAAAATAACAAAAAATGCAGAAGAGGAGGTGGAATGGGAAGGCGATAAGCGCTGTCTTGGTCGAGATTTTTTCGCATAATGTAGACACTTTCCCACTTATTGCGAATAGCACAAATGGGCAGCAAACAAGTTTCGTGTTTTTTTTTTTTTCTGAAAATTTTGCTTTTTTTTTTTTTTTTTGTAGGCGCGCATGAGTGGAATGGCGATTGCTACTATCGTTAGTTTGAGAAAGAGAGGGAGAGAAAGACCGTCTAAAAAGATTAAACAAATAAACCTAAAAAAAAAAAAAAAAATAGGGTTTACGACACACTCCTAGATCGGATTTTCAAGATATCGATCGAAATATTCGGTTCTTTGCGGCCCCCTGGTTTCGTTTTGGGGTGCACATGAGATGCGGCAACCAAATGCCGTATTTCCCGTTCTATAAGTCGCACCCCGGCACGATCCACATGGATCGATTTTAATTGCGACATCGGAGATTGCAACTTCCAACACGCTCTTCTTGCCGCATGTGCGGCGTCGCCACTGGGTAATCGCAAGCAATATCGCACCGTGGTAATGGCGTTGATGAGCCCGCGTGTCTGTATTGTGATCACGATATATGCAACAGCAGCCAATTTCAATATTCTTGCCAACGAGACGAACGAAAAATATAACCCCCGTCCCTAGTTTCGATCAAGACAGAAACGCAAATAAGTTGCACATTTGTAAAAAACGCATAACAAAAATAAAAAAATAAAAAAAAACATTAACACCGAAAAATACGATACCCGAAACTGCAGGAATCCCGTCAAAACTGCAACGATGGTGTGATTTGCACTTTTGTTAATTGGCATTAAAAAAAATATATATATCACGTGCTTGTTATCTCTGTAGACGCTGTAGACGCATTTTGTGGAGAACACCGCTTCGGTATCCCGTACTCGGCTGACTAAGGAATGGGGGACGTAAAACAAACAAACAAACACTTGTTTGCCTAAAACGAAACACGGCACGCAAACAGCCTCTTGCCCCCGACCGCACGACATTCACGGCCTCGATGAACTCGGGAGCGTCGGCTTCGGTCCTTATCGTTCACTCGTCGGACCATCTTTGTTCCCGATGCTTGGAGACTGCTTGTCTAGCCAATATTCTGTTCGTCGACCTTCGTTTTCAGGCTACCCGAACTCGAGAGCAGATAAGCCGTGTGCTGCCACGTCGTCTGCTCGCCCGCCTGCCGCGTTGCTTAATTTATTACTAAAAGGGGGCTCTGTAAGTGCTGATAATGACTCGAACCAGACAATAAACGCAGCCAGGACTAGATAAGAGTAGAAACGAAATCCGTAAAAGCATGCACAAAGTTCTTGAAAATGCCCACTTTGCTCGGTAATTGAATATCCGGAGCTTGTGAATAACGAGGCAGGGGTTGCCATTTGCAGTGGTATCTAATTACTTTTTTTACTTATATGTGTAATTGTGGACCGTTAGTCTTGACTAAAGGTAGCCTGTATTCGTTAACCTTTGACATTGTAATCGCAATTTAATTTTTTTTTTTTGCATCATGTAATTATAATTTTTTTTTTAGTTTTGACTCCGCTAGCGGATAGAGCGAGGCTTGCAGCACAAACACTACGCCTGCACATCGACTATCTGAGCAAAACTAAGCAAAAAAATAGACTTTAAAAAAAAAAAGAAGATAGATAGATTTAGGTTATGATGTGTGCTTTGATTGCCCTATTGTAATTAGAATTTAAAATCTTTTCTTTTTCATAGTGTAATCGAGTATTGTGAATTTTGATCCCTTCGCTCCGGCGACGTGCGCAATCGAAAGCGTCGCTGTGGTCAGCCTTCCATGATTGGGCGAATGCTGACTATGACGTCAGCAAAGGATTTTTCATCGAGAGAAATAAGAGGAATGTAAGAACCTAAATTTGACGGTGTTGCCAGTGTTGCTTTGAGAGCGCTATGATTTCAAGCTTCCACCATGCTCATGACAAACACCATCGAACTTGTTGTTCGTAAGGTAATGACGTCACGAGAGGTAATCATACGAGGGCACCACCAAAACATCTCCCCGCTATCTACGAGCGCGAGCTAGCCCGCAGTCCTGGCTTTGAGACGTACATTTCTAGCGCGAGTGCTCGTTCTGCGGCCTGGCGGCCATAGCTGTGTGCGGCAGCTGAGCGCGTGCTGACGGCAAGCTTCCGCAGTTTTTTTGGCAACGTTCGTTCCGCACCATCAATATTGCCGGTCTATTAATCTGAGCTCGTTCTGAGCGTGCGCTCTGAGCATCACCCTCAAATGAGACCACTATATCAGTCAATTGTAGAACGACGTGAAGCTCGCACGGTGCTCGTGGGAAACTCGCGGGGCGCATCAGAGTGACCACTCGTGCAGCAGGCGCAAAGCAAGACGTAGACAAACGCGAATCATTAGATTATCGTCCCGTTCCGCCACTACTCTAGGGATAGTGCCACTAAATAAGCTACGCTGCAGAGTAACGACACTTGGCCATATTGTGTCTTAAAATCATGGTTGCCAGTTATCTGAAGCTTTATCTGAAATCACAGGAAATGTTTTTCCGACCTCCACAAATGTTTAAACCGTTCGCGACAGAGCAAAGCAATATTACATGACCTTCCTAACACAGAATCTAATGCTGAGGATGTTGCACTTTTGAATCATGACGATCGGCAGTGGCGTCTGTTTTGCATACGAGCCAAAATGGCGGCGCCCACAACAATGTCGGGGAACGGAGTGCCGATACTCTAAGCGCAGCTTATTTAGTGGCTCTATCTATGGAGTATTCACTGGCGGCCATATCTGTGTGCGCGAATTCTGAGCGCATGCTGATGGCAAGCTTCCACAGTTTTTTTGCAACGTTCGTTCCGCACCATTGAGAGTGCCGGTCTTAGCAGCCTATTGATGTGAGCTCCTTCTGAGCATGCGCTTTAAACAGCACCCACAAATATAGCGTCCAGTGAATACTTCCTGTAAGGGGTGTTCACTGGACGCCATATTTGAGGGCGATGTTTAGAGCGTATGCTCGAAACAAGCTCACATTAATAGCCTGCTAAGACCGGCAGTCTCGATGGTGCGGAATGCCCGTGGCGAAAGAACTGTGGAAGCTCACCATCAGCACGAGCTCAGCAGTCGCGCACACAGCTATGGCCGCCAGTGGATACTCCCTATAGGGAGTATTCACTGGACGCCATATTTGTGGGTGCTGTTTAGAGCGCATGCTCAGAACGAGCTCACATTAATAGCCTGCTAAGACCGGCAACTTTGATGGCGCTAAATGCACGCTCCAAAAGGACTGCGGATGCTCGCCGTCAGCACGCGCTGAGCAGCAGCGCACACGGATATGGCCGCCAGTGGATACTCCCTATAGGGAGTATTCACTGGACGCCATATTTGTGGGTGCTGTTTAGAGCGCATGCTCAGAACGAGCTCACATTAATAGCCTGCTAAGACCGGCAACTTTGATGGCGCTAAATGCACGCTCCAAAAGGACTGCGGATGCTCGCCGTCAGCACGCGCTGAGCAGCAGCGCACACAGCTATGGCCGCCAGTGGATACTCCCTATAGGGAGTATTCACTGGACGCCATATTTGTGGGTGCTGTTTAGAGCGCATGCTCAGAACGAGCTCACATTAATAGCCTGCTAAGACCGGCAACCTTGATGGTGCTAAATGCACGCTCCAAAAGGAAAGCGGATGCTCGCCGTCAGCACGCGCTGAGCAGCAGCGCACACGGATATGGCCGCCAGTGAATACCCCCTATACGCACGAGAGGTAATTTTGGCGCACCCCGAGTTTCCCACGAGCTTCAAGTCGTTCCATTTGCTATATTACCCAAGCATCAAGAATAATGCAGGGATTGGTGTTCCACGGGCCACACCCGCGCGCCTTCCTCGTATAAAAGATTCGAAGTAGATAACCAAAATAAAGCGTTGACGAACGCGCGTGCAAAATAAAATTTGTTTTAGGTTTTTGATTTAGAAAAGTTACTACTGGCGAGGCCAGCACGTGCGGCGCGTGGAACACCAATCCCTGCATTCTCCTTGTTGCTTGGGTAACATAGCAATAGGTCTATTGACTGATATATAGTGGTTTTCGATTATACTCAGCATGTTTCTAATTGAAACCATAATTTTTACCAATTAAAAAAGGAAGTTTTAGTTAATTATCCGACTTATCGCAAAGATTCGCCACCCACATAATGTCCCCCAGGCCAAACACCCGGTATATATACAATATTACTACGGCTGCCACTTGTCAATCTTCACCCATTCGCATTGATCTGCGAGATCAAACCCCATGTTCGCGCCAGCAGTTTTGATAGCGTTGTATACACTGAGTATGAAACGGAGTATGCACTTATAGAATTTGTGTACGCCACTTAAAGGGATACTGAACCAATCGTTTTAGTGTCCGTAATAAGTGGCGCGCGATCTTTCCACGATCCAAGTAGCCGCAGGTATGCGCGAGCACACGCAAGGAAATTGACGTCATAGTCCCCCAGTGAAATGTATACGGGCTCCGGACAAAAAGGAGAATAAAGCAAGATTTTCATCTCCACAAGTGAACGCTACGGTGTTTGTTACGTCAATTAATTGCCTACCTTTTATTAGAGTGCCTTCATACACACGCGCGCTTTTGCCTGAGTGGTGACATCTCAGCCATTTTCCCGCCCAATCGTTTTTTAATGCATTTACCCATTTTAGCGCCCAAGTCACAAACCGAGTGCGCGAGAGCGTCACGCGCTGGCACATTCAGGGCAACAATGGATGTCTTCACCCTCAAACATACGGACATTTAGGCACCCTACCTTTTATCACCAGACTCCACAGTGGAGATGAAAAGCCTGTCTTTATTCTCCTTTTCCCCGGATCCCACACATTTCACTGTCATCTCAAGCGTGAATGGGAGAAAATGATGTCAATTTCGTTGCGTGTATACTCGCGCACGCCGCGGCGGCTGTTGGCTCGTGGTAAGATTTTGCCCCACTTATTATGGACAGTGAAATGTTTTGCACCTCCTGCACTGGCGCAGAAAAGTGTAGGGCAGTGCACTTCCGGTATGCGTATTGAGGTACTTTTCTGCACCGGTGCAGGAGGTGCGGGTAAATCGAACGAGCCTCTTGGTGTTTCCGCGGCTACGTTCTTTCGATTGTAAGGTGGAGGCAATGACGAGGCATTCCTAGAGCTGACGGACGAGTCACACGGTGTGTCTTATCTAATCGGGAAAAGACCCCCGGGAAAGTTGAAGAGCGTCTCCCCTTATCTTCTGCTCGCCTTTTCACAGCTCTGACGGCGGGCTCTGGCGTGAGCGGCGAACTCGGCGGCGATAAGGGACGTGTACCGGGACCAGAACCGAAGGACGGCATCGACCTTCGGGGGTTCATTTTTGGCCTCACTCTCTCGAGTAATCCAATTAAAGGTAGTCGTGTAGCTGTCGACCTTGCTCCGATTCCGTGCCCGCTAGCCATCAGGTGCTGTTCCCCTCTTTCCGTCCGTCAACTTGGGCCTTCGATCTCGGCGAACGAAGATCTCCGAAGACTCCGAAGTAGCGTGCGCGAACAAAGGCAATAAAGCGTTAGTATTTTTTTCTTTTTCACGCTCTAGGCTGTTAAAAGAGATGGGCTCAAACTCCCGTATACTCCACAAGTCCGACCGATGCAGCCAACTATCAAGAAGCACCAAAAGTGCATCGTCACGGCGCTCACCGACTTTGTGCGTTAAATCGTGCACAGTGCTGGCGCAAGCTACCACCCAGTCATAAAGGGCACAGCCGTTGGCAGACGCACAAAGGCGACGAGCGCCGTGACGGTGCACTTTTGGAGCTGGTTGATTGGTTTATCGGATGGTAGGGTGAATCTGGTTTCTGCGCACGCGCATTGTCCACTCCGGAATCCTATACGGACAGACGTGGGCTTGTTTGTAAACAGTGCGTTGGTGGGACGACGTACCAACGCGCAACTCACTTAAAAAGAGTCTCATGGCATCAACATTGCGCCAACCGAATTTAGTTGAGGAAAGTTCATATTGTAACATTTGTCTGCGCATGAAAAAGTAATTCGTGTGTCTGTTTAGCAGCGATTTTAAAATGTCCTTCTTATATTTCGGTCGTAGGCGCGATTGACTTCTCGAACAGACCCCATAACTTCCCTTTTACAATGATCAAGTTTTTTTCACCTTATAAAGACCTCAAGGGCCCCGAGAGTTATAAAACTCCGCGATCCGTATACTGTATGGAGGATAAGGGAGAAGAGCCCACTTCGGTTTCTGTATTATACTGTCTCGTGTGCGAGCAGCAGATGCGGCCGAGCATTGACCCATAAGAAGCTTAACGGAATTCTTGGTAAACGGTGGATACGGTTTCTTATCGACGCGTTATCGCCCTTGCGCGGCCTATACTTGATATATTAGCACTCATGTCCGACGCTTTTCTTGCCTTACTTTGTGCCTGTGAATACTGTTCCCCAACACTTGGACAAACTGCTTTCTAACGCAATAGTGCCACGAGCCATTGCAGAGCTGTGGGCGTGTCATGTGACTATGCGCACTCACCGGTCGTTGCGCAACCCCACCCGTAGGTATACAGTCGAGCGGTATTAGATTTACTTCGGATGGCTCTTAACAGATCCGCCACCCGCCCAAAGCGGAAAACACTTTGAAGCTCGCCAAGAGCCGTCCCAAAGGAGTCATGGTGAACGCTCGCTGCTCCCAGCACGCACTTGACCACATAGCGCACAAGGCACAACTATGGGCGCCAGTGAATATGCACGCGCCGAAGACATTTTTGGGGACGTACTACCAATGCCAAAGCACCACGTAACAAATACAGCTCCTCGCGTAACTCTATAAAACTTGAAAAAAAAAATGTATGTAAATAAAGCTCAGACATTACCTGAGTGCGCAGATAAACGATGCGGGCAGTCACTGATTGCAGCCGAAGGGAACGCCACGGTGGCGGGCGTAGATGCTGCAAAGTGCTGACGTTGGCGGGAGTTTCGCACCAGTATCGAATGGCCCCCCGCTTTGTTTGTCGTCGGGGCAGTTGACACCGCATAGCGAAGCAGACAATAGAAAGCCTCGTCTGCAGGATGCCGGTGCTGATGGAATTCAACGCCATGCTGCCGCGGGAATGGCGACGGGTTTGTCTGGAAATAATTTTCCCTCCTTCTTGGCGCAAGAGTTGTCAACTGAAGCGTACGTATCAAAAATTAAAGTTGATCTGATAATTTATAACCGTGCTCACGAGCCTGTTTATTATAGACAAATAATAAGAACATCCGTTGGTCGATTAAGAGCGATCTGAAAGCGCTCCAGCTAAAGCAGTATATAAATGCTTAATTACATGAAAAAAAAAAAAAAACAGGCGCATTTTACGTTTGTTTTGATTATTCGGATAAATTCGGGAGCGATCAGAATGTGTCGGTCATGCGTTATGCGTGCGCGGTTATGAATGTGCATTGTACGCGCGACCCACTCCGCGCGTTCATATCAGAATGATTGAGACAAGTCTCAATTATTCAGGACTAACGGCATCGTGACATCACGTGGGAAGATTTCTCATTCACAAGTCAGCTGCGCGCGTCGACAGTTGCGTATACGACCGCAGAATGAAAACACGCGAATAAGGTAATAAAATAAGATCAAGAGGAGTGATCGAGGAGCTTGAAAGTTTTTTTTCAAGGTAAAAATGTCGTTTCTTTAGATCACGCAAAAAGTTTATAGAAAAATGAAAGCCCCGCTCCTTTATTGGCCCAACATAGGCTGCGCAGCCAGAAGAAAAACATTGGGTACCGATTTATCCTCCTAATAATAAATAATGGAAGCAAAACGGTCTCGTACGACCTAGGACTCTGGCAAAAGCTTTGGTCACGCACGGGAATCGCGTGTCGGATCGTTGAGGAATCAATCCGATATCGACTCCTGCTGTCGGGACAGACATGCCGGGTTTGGGTGCTGTTTAGGACGGAACGTTCCACCTGAAAACAGCGCATTTAAGTTTTCGTGCAACATTTCACTTATTCTCACGCATTCCTTTTGTCCGAGATTGATTTTGATGGATTGACCCTATACTACGGCGTATGATGGCGGAAACTTGAATTTTCTTTTTTTTTTCTCGGCTGCAATAAGAACGAAGAAGAGCCTTTCAGAGTCGTGGACCAGCATCCTCTGGAGTTGTATGTTGCTAATAGGGAGCTTTCGTAGATCGTTTCCACCGTCCCGCAAGGCCCTGCGCAACCCGCTACGATACCGGGAACTCTACAGTCAAGGCTATCGGCGCGCAGGCGCAGTAGCAACTTCTTCGTTGCGGAATGCTTAGCGGAGGGGGCAACGCGGTCTACAAAAACTCCCTTTTGTTGCGGAGAGCGTATAGCGAAGTAGGGGAAACGATCTACGAAAACTCTTTAATTACCTCCGTTGACGAAGTCCATTGTACAACCAATGCGTGTCGAGATTGTCAATCGGTATGACGTTAGGCGGTGCTCAAGGGTAAAAGCAACACCACCAGAATGCCCAAAGCCACGTGAACAGCCTCCCCTCTCTCCACGTGACGTCATCAAACTCGCCCGAGCCCGACGCCGAGCGTCCTTCGACGCGTTCATTGGACACGAGGCCCAGCCGAATGCTGACGCAGAACTCGCGTCCAATCAGCGTCTGCGCCGTGATCTCATTTCGATATATTACGTCGAAAATGCTAGAAATGCTAGTGCACGCGTGCTTTGATGAAGTCAGCGCCAAAAGTGCATTCACGGCGCTGATCGTCTTTGTCCGTTTGATGTCACCAACCAAAACCAATCACGCACAAAAAAAGAAAAGAAAAAGAAAAACGCAGGATAGCGGCACATACACTGTGCATACGCTTGGTTTAGCCGGCGAGAGTAAACGCACAAAGACGACAAGCGCCGTGACGATGCACTTTTTGGCGTAGCTTGAACTAAAGTCGCTTGATACTTCTTCTACAAGTAACGACAACCAAGAGAAATGACAAAACACATTCTGATGGAACAAATAAGCGACGTTCAGTTCAAACCTCTGATGTGTTCCGCCATTCGCTTCCTAAAACCTGCACCGTCACGCATTCGGCGCTTTAAAGAATGTCGCTACTCGTACGAAGCTCTTATCTAGTAACGTTAGCTTAGAACGGCTACCTTCGGATCGTAGAATCGCCTCCGGTCGGACCTGAAGTGAAACGGAAGTTGCGTAATCCAGGTAATGTGGGTTGAAATCGCAAACTTGTAAAACTAACGAGAAAGAAAAGCGGAAAAAAGGTCACCTTGACCACGTTCTTGGGTAACGTCTTATCGAGCGTCCCGTCCAGCCCCCTTATCTCGGCCGCTCGTGGGAGCGATAACTCGACGCTGTCTGGACGGAGAGCCGAGATTTTAGAAACGACCAACACCGAGCCTCTGCGGAGACAGCTAGCCGTCTGCGTTCTGGCAGGCTCTGGCGAAGCGTCAGCCCCTGACTCGGGCTGATAAAAAAGGATCAGCGCGCACACAAACACACCCTTTCGCAAACAAGAATGTGAATGTCTACGTTCGGTATAAGTCAAACATTTACTTGCATGTGTTTGGTCTTCGAAGGCACCAGACAAAAATTTGAAACTAAATAAATAAAATTGTAAGACAAGTCGGAAAAAGGCTGAAGGTACATCGTCTGCTAGGCGGCACTCCACTGTGATAAATGTCGTAATAGTTTTTACCATTAAACGAATGAGTGTCCTCCAATGAGGTGACGTTTTCAGAATCTTTCGCGAGACACCGACAGACCTCTTGCTAGATTGCCAAAGCATAAAAAAAAAATAATAAAGAAATGCTGGGACACGCGTTTGACTGCGTTGCGGCGAGAACCGAAAGCGAGTCACCGGCACATCTGTGCTTCGTATGAAGCGTGGAATCCAATCCAAGGAATCATCTTGGCACGCGATATAAGCAGCAGGAATGTCCTGGTTTCTCGCTGCCGCAACGCAGTCAAACGCAGTCAACCGCAACTGTCTGAACCAGGCTTTAATGTTGATGAACGCGCGTGCTGAGTGCCATCTATTTTGTATTTTTACTTTAGAACAGCTACTGCTTCAGAAGGCAGTACGTGCAGCGCATGTAACAACACTCGCCCGCACTGCCTGAGCCTGGGTAATTTAGCAAAAATTCTATTCAAGTTCGACACTTTGTATCTAACATTGGTTGGATACAAGCAGACCCAGCTCGTGTTCGGTGTTTTCGCACAAAACATAATCTCCGTGCTATCTAAATGATGTCAATCGGCAGTTCCCATTTCATGTTTGTGTGTCAAGCACATTCTCCGAGGGAAAGGTGGAATAGTCAACTCCCCTTTCGGTGCTCATTTGCATTAGACAGTGCGCCTACAGCGTCAAATCCAGCGTCCGCGAGAACGCATGCGCATCTCGCTCTCTTGACCAACACCTCCTCTCGACGCTGTGCCGAGGGAGAGGGTTGCCGCCGACTGTACGAGGTGTTGCTCGGTGTTGCTGTACGCCGAGATGCCGGAATTTGCCGGACTCGCCAACCCAAGACGCCAGAAACGGCTGTCTCCACCGTCCCACCGTCCGATAGATGGTGGTAGCCACCCGTACCAGTTCACAAAGGGGAAAACCCCCCAGGCTGCGTGCGTCCCTAAACTCGTCAAACGCAAAGTTGGAACCGAAAGTCCGCGAAGCGCACCGAATAGACCTCGGCGAAAAAAGCGCGAAGTCATCGTCGTGATTGTCCAATCAGTGCACTCCGTCAACTTGAAGCGAAAAATAGGGACTCTAACCAAAAATTTAATAAACATTTACCCGACGTTTCGGGACCAGTTCGGTCCCTTGTTCACGGGTGAGTGACGAAAAGGAAAGAACACGCGTCGCTTAAAGGGATGCTGAACCGAAATTTGGATTCCCCAAAACACGCGGCAAAAGCGTGCAACGGGATGCTACAAACTCCAAAACATCACTCATACAGCGATATTTAAACGGATGACCGTATTTAAAAAAAAAAAAAAAAAAAAAAAAAAAAAAAGAGGCGCATCTGCCAGGAATGTTGACGTCATGTTTCTCCAAGAAGGAGAGGGAAGGGCCTCGCGTCTTCTCCGCCTCGCGCCTCGAGGCCTTGAGGGGGTAAACCAAAGAGAGGAGGAAACTAGGTATCTTGACGGTCACGCGCCTCGTCGGCCTGGTTCAATCTCGACTTCTTTTTTCAAAAATACGGCCGTCCATTTGAGATATCGCCTTACTAGTAGTGTTGTAGGGATTGTAGCATCCCGCCTACATCTCCAGCATCGTTTTTCTGAAATCCAAATTTCGGTTCACCATCTCTTTAAACGACCATACGGAATCCACTCTGTCAACTTTCGGCCCCAACTTTGTGTTTGACGAGTTTAGAGCCCCAGCGGTCCTAATGAGGCAAAAGCTGTAGGCTCCAAGGTCATTGGTGGGAATGTTGTGAACTTTCGTCGAACCTCGATTTTGACGTCACCCTCAAGATCGGCTGGTTCGCCGAACCTTTGAACTTTCACTAAAGTTCGAAGAAGTTCAAGTTCTGGACAGTGTTGCCCGGCTTCTACACGAATATTTCGAATTTAGGGAAAGAAATAATTTAGAAACTAGTTTATTTTATTTATTTATGTAATATTTACCACTGTTTACACATGTAAAACCGAAAATATGCGCTTTTCATGCTTTCGTTAGTTAGTAATGTGAATCAGTGATGCCAATACATCGAACAAATATTGCACTTTTCCTCCGCCAAATAAAATCAACTTTTTAACGACCATCTTGCATACCGCAAAAAGGCGTTTCTGGAGCGTTGCGGAGGCTGGCGGCAACGTACTGAAGACATGTTTTCCACTGGTTCGTCGTCAGTTGCCGGACAAGTTCTACTGAACCGAAATTTGGATTTCGCAAAGTAAGGCTGCAGAAGTGTTGAACGGGACGCTACGAACTCCAAAACACCACTCGTACATCGATATCTCAAATGGATGGCCGTACTTTTGGAAAAGAAGGGCGCGATCAAGCGAGTTCTTTGACGTAACTGCCCTCCGAGAGAATTTGAGAATGAGGAGAAGCGGCCTCGCTTCTCTCCTTCTCGCTTCGGTTCACCAGCTTGACGGGACGTAGCGAGGAGGAGAGAATCTGAATTGTGACGTGCCTTGTCTTGTCGGCCTCGTCGGCCGGGTTCAATCGCGCACTTCTTTTCCGAAAAATACGGCGATCCGTTAGATATATCGCCGTATGAGTGGTGTTTTTTGGTTTTGCAGCTTCCCGCCCATCCGCCCGGCCTTGTTTAGCGAGCTCGAAATTTCGGTTCAGTATGCCTTTAAAACCCTGTGTAAGTCGTTAGACTTGCCGTTGAGAACACGTTGAAATTTTTACGGAAGCGCAGAAAGGGGCAGTCTCGGGAGCTAGCTAAAGGGATGCTGAACCGAAATCTGGATTCCCCAAAACACGCGGCAAAAGCGTGCAACGGGATGCTAGAAACACCAAAACATCACTCATACGGCGATTATCTCGAACGGATGACCGTATTAAAAAAAAAAAAAAAAAAAAAAAAAAAAAATAGGCGCATTTGGCACGAATGTTGAAGTCATGTTAATTTCTCCGAGGAGGAGAGGGAACGGTCCTCACGTCTTCTTCGCCTCGCGGCCTTGAGGGACCTTGAGGGGTCACGCGCCTCGTCGGCCTGGTTCAATCTCGACTTCTTTTTCCAAAAATACGGCCGTCCATTTGAGATATCGCCTTACTAGTAGTGTTGCAGGGATTGTAGCGTCCCGCATACATCTCCAGCATTCTTTTTTTGAAATCCAAATTACGGTTCACCATCCCTTTAACAACGCGATACCCTCTCCCACATTTTCGAGCGCTCGTCGTCCGACTCAGATGCGTGCTCGCGTACGCCACGTGGTAGCCGGAGGAAAGACGATGGAAGGGGCGTACTGAGGACTCCCATAATTCGTCGCGCGGCTTTTTGCAAAGGGCCTAAAGGATGCCTCCCCATCTAGAGTGCCTCATACACGGGCGCGTCTGTGACTACGGGTGCCGCAAAAAGCACCGACTACAACGAATTCCAAACAAGACAAAAGAACGGAACAGAACTGCCTCCGGGCAAAAATAAATGAAAAATTATTTATTGAGACTTTTTCTGACCAAGCGACAAAAAGCTCAAAGATAAAACCCACTAAAAAAAAAAAAAAGAAAAAAAAAGAAGGAACAGAAGAAAGTGCAAAAAGTTGGGCATTTTGGTTTCTTGCTATAAACAATTAAGTTGCAATTAAAAAGTACACTACACATCCAACTTAAACAAGCTTGCTCTGCACGATTGTCAGAAACCGACTGCTTTTGAAATCTACCTAAATAACCGGTGTTTCAGCACAGACTTTAAAAACTTCCTACCAAAAAAAATGGTTGAAAAAAAAAAAAAAATTTGGGAACAAACTGTTAGTCATGGTGGACGTCAGGGATTGTAAAAAAACAAAACAAAAAAACATACTACCTAAATAAATAATAAGCAAAAATGTACAAATTAACTTTTTAATTAGTGAAAATAAACATGTTTGCAAAAAAAAATTTGCTGACTGTCATCAAAGACCCCTAAATCAGTCAATTTTAGGAAGGCAAATACTGTGTGAAGCGTGGGGGTGTGCTAAAGTCTCCACCTATGCAGAATTCTGGTGATGCAAAAACGCGCATATTCTTATCATCCACATATTCATATTGCCAGCCTTCTGCAAGTTGTAAGAGCAGCAAATTTAGCATGCTCGTGCACTTCACACATGCTTTAAGTCTTCCAAAAACTGACTTATCTAGGGGGTTTCGATGACGCTCGGGAAGTTTCGAATTGAAACCATATGTTCACTCTCACTAATTAAAAAGTTAATCAGTAAATTTCACATGATTTTTTATCTAATTAGTTCGCTTTCTGCAATCCCTGATGTATGCCGTGGGTGGCAGTTTTTCTCAAACATGTTTCTTTTTATCTCAACTATCCTATAGATAGAAATATTTTAGTCTTAGCTGAAACATCAGATAGACACCATACAACACAGAAGAAAAAAAAACATCTCTACTAAAAACAAAACAATAAGAGAGAAGAAACATTAAAAAGAGTGCCGAGCTCTGAGAACAACTCAAACCTTGCAAGCACACATAACTTAGTTTTCTTCAGTCGCCTTGCCGTTAAAAGGTGCAATAAATAAGAGCAGACAATCCAACCAGGAACCCAGCAAGAGATCACAAGCCATCCAAGCTTGGAGCACGCGACGCACCACAAAGAAGCAGTACCTCCATTCCATTTTATATGTACAAAATATATTGTATTTACACTCTCGAAGCCTTCCGATTCCTTCGACACGAGGCACATTCCGAGGAAAAGACTGTAGCAAAAAACGAAGAAGACTTTCAGTACAGCTCTAGCTACTTCCAAGAGGTTTCCGTTGAAGCACAAAGAATCCATTGGCTTTCTCTAAGCGACTCCTATGCCTTAGAAAGTCTAGATTTCATAAAACCTGATAGGGAAGAAGAAAATAATGTCTACTATATTACACTAGGGGAAAGAAAGAGAAAGAAGAGATCTCTCTTTTAAAACGGAAGGGTCAGCTCCAAAAATGGCCCGAAATGTAACAGCAAGAGGGACTAGTGTTCATGATTGACGTCTTTCCGACGAGGGCGGTGGGGAAAACGCTGGAGCAGGATTCCGGCAGCCTTTGCGAACCTGTAAGAAAACACGAGGTTATTGTGACCAGTCTGTGCAGCAGCGTCATCTGGATATTGTCCAGAAACCAACTTTGCTTACAAACTTCGTCAACAAAATGTTGGAACTTGGTGAGGGTGCCAACAATGATAACATTTCTATGGTTCCCGACTTTACGTCCCCAGGCTTATTAGACTGCGCTTTTTGAAGGAGAGAAACAGTGCCTAGAAGACCCAATAGGAACGGCACTGGAATTCTGTCGAGAATGGTGACCTCGTTCAAATTAAAAAAAAAAAAAACATATAGATGTCTGCGCTTAGACCATACCAGTGGCATAGCCAGGGGTGTGTCCAAGGGTTAAAACACCCCCCGAAATTTCATGGTTTTCCCCTTTCCAATGTCCCCCCCCCCCCCCCCCTTTTCTTTTGTGCCTCGCCGTATTTTCGAGGCATTAAAAATCCTATGCGTTTGTCTTTCTGTTCGTCAACCCACTACGGCGAGGGGCCGGGCCCACAACGTTCTAAAGCAAAACGAAGATGACGACACTATCCATAGACTGTGTGAGAAACGCAACTCCGGCTCCGGCTCTTCGAAGAGCTCTCGTCAAACTTGGCCGTGTTAGTAACCAAAGCCTTTCTTCAGACTCGCAGGTCCGAATGACTCAGCTCCCGACGTCACGAAAGCCACGAAATCCTGATTTCGAAGGATGCTGGCCTCTCCTCGGAGAACGCAGGCGGCTTCACTAGAGTCGGGTCCTTGAGACCCTTTGAGTCTCACGGACCCGTCGACAATTTCAGGGAAGCAAAACAAAATTATAAAATAGCACTGCTCTGACTTTGCAAACTCTACAATGAGGAGAAAACAGGATGACAAAATGACAAACAGCTAAGGTTTCTTTTTCTTTTTTTTTTTTGTCTCGTCTTTTCTTTTTTTTAGTGTTTACTCGCCTGTACTCCTTTAGTTTCAGTAACACACCAACCAAAATGTAAAAAAAACAAAAACACCCCTCCTAATAAAAAAAAAAAAAATAAAGAAGAAAAAAAGCCAGAGAAAAGCATCAGTATATGCACCGTGGAAGCAACTTTGAAATGCTCATGGTCAACTAAGAGCGTACTTAGTTGACTTCCTTAATCGCTGCAGTGGGTAATGTTTATAATATGCATTCATCACATGAGTCGCGAAAGTTCTTTTACGTATATATACTCTACAAAATTAGTTCAAAAGCCAAGCTGTCACTCGATGGTTTTTTTCAAGAATGATTATTGACATACAACTTCAAGGCTGTCATCAACGCCTCGACCAGAGTCGGCACATTCACGTCAGGCAGCATTGTACGCCCTAGGCGAGAGCAATGTTGGGGCCAACGACGTCAGTCGCCATGCCGCAAGCCTCGATTTCGAGCAAATCTCCAGCCTGTGCAGAGCATCTGTTTAATTAAATAAGCTGCCTGGGGAAGTTCTGGTTTGGACACAGATGTAGAGGGATCGTACCGCTCAGAGCATCTCAGCGGTGCGGGCAGCTTGTCTTTGCCCGGAGGCCTTGTATCCCAATGTAAACTGCCTGCTGCAAATCCTGGCCACCATGCCCGTTAGCACCGCTGGAGAGTACCGTTCGTTCTCAACACTCTGAGGACTGAAGTCACACCTGAAACTAGAAGCTCCGCCTTCAGCGCAAGCTCGCTGGCTTCTGCAGTGTTTTGGTTGCGCGCACCTGCGCATTCCAGCTTGTGTTGGCAAGGGAAGAAAGCTCGTGCTGAAAGCAGAGCTTCTAGTCTCAGCTTAAGGGTGAACAGAGTATAGGGGTAGCGCTTCTGAACATTCACCGGAACATCAGGGTCAGCCCCGAAAGAGTCCCCTCGTTTCTTTGTATCTACCAACGGCGGCTTCCACTAAATGTTTAGACCCCACAAAATGATAGAAATTGGTACTTTTCTCCGCCACCTTCTCGTAAAACGACAACGAAGAACCCAAAACATGACAATAGCACAATCATTTCTGAATAATGTGATCCGCGCAGAAACAATGAGCGTGACGCTTCACTTGCTCATTACCTAAGTGGGCATTGCAGTTTTTACGTTTAATGATATTGTAAACGTCGCTATTTTCTGGCACTCTTCCATAGTTTTCAGTCATTGGATACCCGAGTGTTTCGCAGAAAGTGCATGCACCGGAATATTTTGTAAGCCTGTCTGGGCTTTTTTATTCATAGCCCATTATTATATTTTATGATTACATGTTTTTGTTGTTCACCATCAAAGTTCCCCTCTTCAAAGATTGGACGAACGAGATGCGCCAAAAAAGGTTGAACTTTTGTCTTCTAAGAAAAAGGAAAATAATAACTAAAATTGTATTTGTGTAATTTCGTTCTGTCTCTTGTTCTTTTTTCTTTCGATTGGCTTGAGCAGAGAAAAACATCGCCTGGAAATATTTCTTGGCTACGCCACTGGAGCATACACTCGCACTTGGAATGTGTGTCCTGGCTAAGCTTGATTACCACTATACACTGCTAGTAATTGTAACATTATTGGAAGGGGTGTGCGAGTACCGAATAGTAGTTATCAAATTGAATACCGAATCGAATTAAGAAAAAAAAGCCAAATATCGAGTCGAATATCGAATAGTGATATCACTTGTAGGAAATTTTCAAAGTGTGCTGTGAATGAAAATATTGTATATGTAGAGTATGTGTCTGGTGCAGAATATGCATCTCGTATGGAACGAATGCTCAAAAGTGTAAATGTCTAGTGAAAAAAAAAAAAAAAAGCAGCAGTTGACGGATGTGGGGCATTAAAAATCCAATTTTATGGCACAAATATAATTTATCAACCCTAAGCGTCACAAAAAAAACAACCAAAGTTACAGCCACGCATGCTTTTTTTTCTTGTTAAAAGCATGACCTAACACCGCAACATGCTCCTTAAAAGGGGCATTTTGTGAGTTTGGTCTCAATATTTACGGGCAAAAAAGGGCACCCGGGATTTTTTATATAAATAAACGGATTGGTGTTAAATCTGACAAAACAGGCTTAAACAATATAATCTGATGTAAGAAAAAACATGTGGTTAGGTGGCGCAAGTCACCGTCCGACAGCCACTATGCAACCCTCCCTTCGTCCATCTATCCTGTTTTAGAGAGCCTAGATTTAAAAGAGGGAGCAAGCGAAACTGAGAACACGAAGACGGCTCCTGCACAGATTAGTCGTAATTGTGCATCTGTTGTGTTGTCGCGTGGAAAGAAAGCGAGCAAACGGAAGAGCAACTACGCCTGCCCGATCGACGCTTTCGTCTTTTCGTCACCTTCTCGCATTCCGTATTTCAAACGCGGCTATCGAACGGTTGGAAACCCTCTCAAATTTAGGCATACTATTTTTACGTTCTGTTTCGTTCCGAATCCAAACTTGCAGCTTGCGGTTCCAAATCAACGACGACAACAATTCGACTGCTTTTATTGGCGTGGTTAATGTGGCTTTTCTTTTTGTGATCTTGCAGTCGCTGTTTTCCGCAAGAGTGTTCTACATCGACGCTTCAATTTGAAACGAGGGTCTTTATTTGTGAAAAGCACTAGGCATGGCGTGGAATTCAAGCCTCCCAACAATACCTCTCTGGAAGCGGAGCAAACGAAAGGTTTCGGTTGTGATTCAAGGTTAGCTTGTGTCACGATCATGATTAAATCTGCGTGCTTCAAGGTCTGTGGCGTTCGTTGTTTTTATTTTTTCTAACCTGTGCGTTAGATTTTTGTGAAATGGTAGGACCAAAAGGTGTTTCTCGCATGGTCTGTCTAACATCACTGCGCTAACATTGGGAGAAAAAAAACGGCTCTTTTGTCAGCTACGCGCAGTCGGCGCGTAGCTGACAAATTCGCATATTTGAGTATTCCCACACCCCTAATTATTGGTTTACTCACGAAGCCATTAATACATTTGAAAAGTTGCACTTGCACCTCTGGGACATATTCATCAAGGAAAGTATGCAATGAAGTAACATCCTCCATTAAATGCTTCGAATCTCATACTGTTCCGGCTGAATGCCTTGACTATTCAGGGTCTACTCTCGTTGGGGGGTACTTCGTTCTCACCTTGCACCACCGTTCCTGCAGCTTGGCCCTGCTTTCATAGCAGAACCAGGTCCACCAGGTTTCCTTTTGGCTGGGTCATGGATTCAGGAAAGAACTCCACTATCGTGTCAAACAGATTCGTGCGCAGCTGGAACCTGTAGTCCGCATCTCCGGAGTCTGCAAAAGGAAGACGAAAAGAAAAGAAGGAAAGCGTCCCTCTGAAAACCATTGAAACCCGTTCCCTCCTCGTTACACGAGCCAGCCACCATGACACAAACACTGCAAACGAGACTGGTTCACACAATTGCGTTTGACTGTGCCTGAGCGCATTGAATTCTTTTGCAATCGCTTGCAACAAAAGAATACATTGGCACACTAGCACCATCTTTCAGGTATAGTTTAATAGATGTTTAATTTAATAATAGATGACACCAGTGTGCCAGTGTGTTAAGTTTCAAGGGAACATAATGCGCTCGAGCACAGTCAAACGTAAATGCGTGAAGCAGCCTTTAATATTGGGTTTTTCTGAATTTTCTAAAAATTTACTGGAATGTATACTCAAAGTGAAATAAGCTATGATACGACCAGGTTAACAGACCTCTTAGAAATTACATTCTTTTTGATCCTTTCTCACATAAGTGCACAACCTTCTGTGGTGTTTGCAATTTTTAAGAGCTTAAATTGCAAGGCCCAGCTTCACACGAGGTTGAGAACGACCGAGTTTAATAAACGATCGGCAAATATGCTCATTCTTGACCTGCCCGTAATTACGGAAGAACTGTTGTTCATCAAATGCATTCGAAAGATGAGTAGGTAAGGGAAAAAATACAGCTGATGGAAAACCTACCTCCAAGTGGAGTTGTTGTAGCCATCACTTCATCACGGTCTGCATCTGGAAGCTTGAAGAGACTGGATGCCTGAAGCTGAAACTGCAATGTGCAACGCAAACGTGACTAAACGCCATGAAGACATAATTCGGCAAACAACTTCTTCACTGCCGCTGTCTACCTGAGACAGTGGCAACCCGACTTGTTAGCTATTCAATGCGGTATATTAAAATTAGCCTTTTTCTACTACTTTGCCAGTTGTTTTGTGGAATAGTAAATAGGTGTTTTTAAGGAAAAAAAGAAACTGCATTTCGTGCACCACAAAAGTTACCTTGCATTGCAGAAAGATCAATATCTGCCCCGGAAAAAATTCCAGTGGTTAGTGCAAGAGGCGACATTTTGCAGCTTAAATCAAAAGCCAACCAAGAAGCAACTTCCAAATGTTTAGAAAAAGGAGACACTCTTTAATGGCAGGATGACACTGCCTATTTTTATGCATCTGAGGACCGCGTTAGATACTGCCTTTCTATTCAAAATTGAGAAACAGAAGAAAAATTAGTTTTCTTTTCAGTCATTAATAATGCGGGCTAGTACTTTCACATTTTACCCTCATGAGCTTACATAATTCATTTAAGCAATACAAAAGTTGGCTTCCTTGTCTCAAAATTCCTCGCAGCTCATTTTAGCCACAACACAAATTCCAAGTAACACAATGTCATCCAGATATCAGGTCTCACAACCATGGTTTTACATTCTAAAAAATGGTATTAGTATTGTTAACCAATATTCAATGCCCCTAACTAACGAACGCAGGTCACAGAATGTGACAGATGACAAAGAACCTAGAGGTAGCAGCATTTAGCATTTTTTCAGGTAGCATAAAGCAGACAAACTTTGTGCGGCATTGAAAAAGTAAAAAAATGACAAAAGCTGGAGTAATCAACTGCACAACCTGGAGGGTGGTTGTATTTAGTCATTTTTCACGTATCATCAAACCAGCAAATTTTGTGTGGTATTCAAAACATGAAAATGACAAAAGGTGGTGTAATCCACCACCCGATCCAAATGGAATTGTCACGGTCCATCTATCCATCCATTTGATCGGCATGCAAGAAGAGACCGTACCTCTCTCTCTTCCTCGGGGTTCGAGTGATCGACTGTCTCCGAAAGCTCGGTCTGGAGGTAGCGCAGTGCCGAAAGCGGATCCTTGAAGGTGATCTCCCGGAAGCAGTGTTGTCGGACCAGGTGCTTGCACCGCCTCAGAAGCTGCTCTTTGGACGGTCGACACAACTGCATCGGGGGAGAAAGAAGGCATGCACTAACACGCTCTCCCACAACCAAATGTCACCGGTGCCTTAACCAACAACCGAGTAGCTTTGCCCTGAAATGAAACACAACTCTGCCACAAGTCGACCCTAAAGTGACCTCATGAAGCTTAAAACCATGCAATGTGCGACACAGTTTACACAAAAACAACACCGGCACTGCTTCTAATTTTGCTAGGGTATCAATGAAGGTTACATTTTGCTGCCAAAGTTGGTGCCCAGTATGAACACCTTCCAACACAGAACTACACTAAAATCTGGCAATTTCGTGTTTGTGCAACCTGTGTTGTACTTTGCACAATGTAGCTACCTCTACACAAGCATGGTTAGATGAAAGGTGAATCAGCCAGAGGCTTTATTCCTGCTGTATCATTTCAAGAAGAAATAACCCTTGTTTTCCTCCTTTATATTGGATTGGCTTGTTGACATGGCTTTGCGAATGCTAGTGTCATGTACAACAAAATATGCTTTGTGCTAACAATTAATGACACGTGAGTTAAAGACACTAAGATTTCCGCATCCACCTTCAACATGAATAATTAAATGAATGCAGCCTATGGACATGTTACATGCACCCTGCTGTACTACAACCTTCGTATACTCACTTTATTTTATTGAACATTTCAAAGGAAGGAAACTAAAAAAAAAATCAAGCAAGCTAGCGTGACAATACCCTACCAAAAACAAAGTTCAGAGGATTCATAAGCTAGTGGATAGGCCAATTTAAATAGGTCCATGCTTTAGCTAAATGGACCGGCATCATGGACAATGTCGATGCGATAAACTGAGTGATACTCACCGAGTTGAATTTTAGAACTATTTTTCTGAAATATTTACAGAAGATCTAAGAGAAACTTAGACACAGCCACATAGTAAACACAAAGCACTGAATATTTCGACTCGTTTCAGTGCAATCTGGCTGCTGGAAAGAACGAAAGGAACTTACCTGGAGAGACCAGAAGTCATCTAGTCTGACTTTGGGAGAGTTTGGGCGTCCGGGATTTCCCCCAAACAAGTAGTGTACCTAAAAGTAAAAAAGAAGGCAAATGCTTGGCACAAAAAAAAGGCAGGACTCTACACAAAAATGTGGAAACTTGTGTTGCATAAACAGTGATAGAAAAAAATCTATTCTGGTGACAGACCACCAAAAACAGTGCCACAACAGAAGTTCTAACAAAGCAGAACGGTACAACAAACTGGCACAAAAAGCTTAAAAGAGAGCGTTCAGGGGGCCTCGGAACATTAGACGACGTTTCGCTAAAAGACGCTCTCTCTAATGCCCCCAAAGAAGCCAGTGATCCGTGCACACGTCTTGCATCGAGGCTCGTTACACGGACGTTTTATTTTACGCGCGCCGAACGAGACTTGTCGACAGGACTGACCTTTTTGACGTGATCGTAAACTAGTTGGTGCGCAAACCTCGGGCAGGGCTCTTGGACGGTTTGCTTTGACGTCGCCTGCTGTCCGTAGTCGCTGTGGTAGATGCAAGACCTGCAGACAAGAAAGTCGAGATTACGATGTTTGCAGAAATTAAACAAATCCTGCATTCATGAGCGTAAGAGCTAGTTCGCACATTTGCAACTGTGTGCCTCAAAGCCTCTTAAAATCTCTTATAAGGGTATCTTTTCGTGCATCATTCTTTCCTCTTTCGCTCGAAAAACTTGTCAATGTCGTAAACAACCTTTTTTCATAGGCAGCTGGTACACTCAATCTCGTAAGTACCACAAACCCTTCACTCTGGTGAAATGCAGTTCCAGGGTCACTGCATAGATGGCGCGAGCATGTCCTCTCGTTGCAAGAGATTTTAAGAGGTTTTAAGGCACATGGCCCTAAGGACCCACATGCACGTGAATGGGCCTTAAAGAGAAGCTGAAGCAGTTTTGTATTTGAGGAAACACACCTAAATTGTCTTCATTTGACCTCCAGGATCTCGAATATCGAAATTATTTTTTAATTTGGTGGATGGAGGCTGCAGACAATCATTTTCAAAGCACCGCTGAAGACCCTCCTTCCGGGAGCGTGATGTCACAAAAGGAGTTTTCTAAATCTCCGCTCTCGCGCATCTTCAGCGCCTGTCAAAGCTGTGCTCGTGCACTCTCGCTATTTTTGAAAAGGGCAGAAAAAGACGTCACGACTGGTGCCAGTGCAAGGGAACATACCTAGCAAGCTTGCGGTCGCACGCGTGGCCCTCGAGCGACACGTGCTTGGCGGCTGAAGGATCTTCTTATGACGCCATAACTAATCGGAGGTATTTTTTTTTTTTTTGTGTTTAGTTACATTTTTAGACAAAATGAACGTGATATTCATATTTATGGGATAAAGCTATGCCAGAATCCACCTCTAATTCTTTTAAATGCTAAGATCAACTTCTGATTGCATCTCCCGAAATGCATTCGTGGAAATGGCCATTAAAATGCCGCAAGTGGTCGCACTTCTGGAGTGAAGGTCGCTTACCACTTGTTCTGGTTGATGTCATAAATCCAGAAAGAGTTCTTTACGTTGTCTTCTCGCTTTTCCTTGTCCTTGTTTGAGCCAGAGAGGACGTGGATCTCGTTCAGTTCGGGGTCGATCGTTGCCCTTTGCGTGAACCCGGCCGCTGGCACTGCGTAACAAATCACCTTTCAGCACCTGTCTTTCGATTGAAGGACGTACAAAGGCTCGGCCTGACACTAGTTAACACTTGCTTCCTAGAATACCCGCTCGACTACAGCACAAAAGGTGCCATACACATAACAGGAGGATGTCTGTTGCTGGGCCTTTTTCGTGTGAGAAACATCTGTTGCTTGCATGACACCTGTGACATTCCCGTGACATTCACAAACTGAAACAGTTAAGAGAATGTTTTAAATGTTGCAGAAAGGGTGCTTTGAGGACATACGTCAATGACATCAGCAAAGTGACAATCATGAACATGCATTCAGCCCGAAGACGGTCCATAAGCTTGGTATAGTGCAGCGAAAACTTAAAACATTGGAGGGGGCCCCCAAGCCATGCAAAACATAAAATATAACCATGCTGTGCATCAGACAGCAAGAAGTCATGTTAGAAAACATCTGTGATGTTTGCTGCCTCTGCCTTTCATGCTCTGGCCTTTTCCATTTCTTTTCTCACTGATAACCGACACACAGGATGTTCAGTGATTTCTGGTCCTTCTTTATGGAAAGGAGAAACACCAAAGACACACTCTGATTGATGATACTGACAGGCTCGTGGATGGAATGAAGACAAAATGTGCTGTTTGCTCCCTCATTCTTATCTTCTTTACAACTCTCACAACAATGTTTTCATCTGCTTGCTCGCTTTCATTTTTCTTTTTACATTTCCTGTTGTTGTTGAAGACTCAACATGGGATGTACAAAGGCAAGCAATGCTCGATCACAAAAAGCGAACGACGCACATCGTGGGGTTGTCCACTGACGGGTCATGTAAGTTTTTTTCACAACTGCCTTTTTACGAGACGGGGACAGTAAAACATTTAAAGAAATGATCCTGTTAGATACTAGAGCCCCAACAATTGCGAAATTTGGCATGTATAGATTTATAATCTACTTAAAAAATAGAAATAAAAAAAGAAGCCTTTAGGAGGTCTCAGAGTGGTAGCCGACATTTCACCAAGAGACTTAGCTTCATCAGGGAGCTAAGTCTTCAGTCTTTAGGAAAGCTAAGTATTTTACCGAAACACCAACCACCACTCTAAGAAGCCTTCTATTTTGGTGCTTCCTACCAGCCTCACCACCTTTGTGGTTTGTTAAAAAAAAGGCAGTGCCAACTATGTTTTTAACTTTCATGTCCCGACCGCTTTAAGGCAGCATTATCCGTGATGAAGAAAGTTATCTGTGCAAAATGATATGCATTAACCTTCCTTCACGTAAGAAAGAAAACAGGTGCAAGTTTCTCACCTTCCACCTTCTGTCCGTCGCAGAGGATGTTCATCTGATCCGTATCCACATTGTATGTGAAGAAGTCGGTCAGATACTCCTTGGAACGCTGCCCCGCAAAGATGTACAACAGCCGCGACTTCTGTCCACCAGAAAAAGAAACAAGAGCGCCCACGGTTTTGGAGTCTTACGTTGCTACGAACAACGATACTGTGACAAACAGCAGGCTGCATCAACATGCCAATCAAATTACTCTGGTGGGCCCTCAGGGAGGGAGTCCGAAGGAAGTCCTATTTAAATTTCGAAAGGTTAGCAAAGACATCCTGCTAGAGTTGTGAGTGGATACGTAAAGGAGTTGGAGAATTTTCAAATATAATACGCCGCACAAAGAGTCAGTACCACCGTCAAAAGTGCTGGAGAGATGGGAGAGTTGGAATGGGGAGTGAGCAGTTCTGCAAGTAGATAGAGGAGGGAGCTCCTTAGCATTGAGGAAGTTAACTGCAGAGTTCCTTAATGTTACTGGACTCGACATGCCATTTACCATTGCAGAACCTAGGGCCGTCAAGCCCCACGACTTTCGGGCATTGAAAAGGCAGTCCTGCTGACGGATTCCAGAGCAGTGCTACAGCTGCTAGCACTCTGGAAGGAGCACTCTGCTCACCCACATACTAATTAGTTTCAGAGTTGGAGTCCTCCGCAAGAAAGGCCAAACTCAAGCATTCCAATGGATTTCGTCTCATGGCGGAATCAACAACGAGAGGGACTCCGCCATCTACGCTCCGCACGGATTTATAATGCACCTGGTGTACAGTATTCCCTCCTAAAAGTCTTTCTTTTTCTAAAAAGGATACAAATTATCCTTGTTATAACAACTTTTACTAATTGGATTCCCATATTCAAATTCTAAATTTGATAAAAGTTTCTCTGCCAATCTAGGTACCTGACTTTGTCCATGACTTTTAAAATAAGATTGCATATGACTGGCCTAAAACGTTCATAGTTTCAGTAATTCCCGTTTCACAAGGCTCACAGATACCTCTTTCTAGCTGTGTCTTTTTGAAGAAAGAATAGACCCTATGTTCCCATTAGTGTGACTGGAGCCCCAGTTTAAGTAGAGCATCCACTGGCACAATGAACAGAATAAAACCAAGCCAAATACCCGTCTGGCCCTCGTATGCATTACGTGCACGCACAATGTGGCAACCTTCAACAACTGGCACAGTGGCAATCGATGGGTGTGCACTCTTGTAAAGGCTCCATTCCCAGCTTCTCGAGACTCATTAGGACTTCCCACCCAGCTCCCACCATTTTAGTGTTTCCTGCTGCCGATAGCCACACCGGCTTACATAAGCTCCACAAATGCACATGTCATATGTCTGAGGCTGCCAGCAGGTGCCCACTCACCTCGTGAAAGAGCATGGAGTGACCGATGCGGGCCTTCACCTCCTGCGGTCCACTGCCCGTTGAGTCATCTCTCAACTTGTGCCAGGTGTTGGTGGGCACGTGGTATGTGAAGAGTCCGCTGAAGGCCGTCTCTAGCGCCCTGTCTTCAACCGCCAGGGAGCTGCACACAGGATAGAACGTTAGGACGGTTACGTACAGACTATTGGGTGGGGGGGAGGGTGGGGGGAGCAAAGAAGCAAGGCAAGTGGAGAAGTTCTGCTGCGATTCAGTTCATTGAAAAAACACATTTTTCCAGAGTTCTTTCTCGAGAGCGCATTTGCCTTTCATCCATCCCTATTTTTAAACAGTGGTCTAATGTTGCCTTTACACCAACTCGTGTTTACGAGCAAACCGGAGCGCACGAAGCGGCACGCCACCGACGCTGCGCATGCACTATGGGCGAGAAGTGCCACGTCCCGCATCTACAGACCATTGGAATGTAATGTTGTTTGTGTGGGTACGAGTCCCCGCGCTCTTTTTCGCGTTGGAATTGGTGATTCTACGTCTTCCTAGCAATGTCTTACTACTTTAGTGGGCTGTGGAAAATTAATGAGGTTTGTTACACCGCAAAACTTTGTGTAACTAACGTGACATATGGTGATTTATTCTGCATGAATGCCACAGAATGGACGCTAAGACCTGATTCACATACCGTAAAATACCACGGAAGCGCTCCCTTTGTTCAAGCGCCCACCTTTAACATTTCCGAAACTTTGGAATTCTGCGAATTATACGTTAAGTGCCCGATTTCATCGGACAAGTGTCCATGTCTAGATTGACTCAGTTTTCAGTGAAAGCGAGGTGAACGCTCCCCCGTTATCTTACGGTAATGAGATTTTGCTTGCTATTTTCAGTCGCGACGTCGCTCGGGCTGCAGAAGCGTGGGTGGTAGCCGCGATGCTCGACGTCTATACTGAAAATCGCAAGCAGAATTAGATCAAGTGAATCGGGAACAAGTCGGCGACGGCCACGGGTAACAACAGTGATGTGATTGGTCGGAGTCATTTCGGAGATCCTTCTGGAGCAGCTGAAAGTTCATTTTGAAGCAGCAAAAGTAACTTTTGTAGCATAGAGGGCTGTCCAAACAGGACAGTTCAAGCACGCACGGAGAGACACTTCTCCGCCACATGAAGCGCAGCGAACCGCTTCCGTCCATCTTTTTTGTTAGGGGGGAATGCTTCACTCTGCCATGTCTGCTTGTGTCCTTCATGGAGGCCTAGGGCATGCTCATCACGTAGGTCCGGACAGCCACTCCCATGCTCTGTCGGCTGTCAGTCAATCGCTCAAGGTCTCCACTGCTGTTCAAGTCCCGAAAGCGGGAAAGGGAAAGATACGTGGGCACGGAAGAACAGATAGACGGGCAATGGGCACACTGTTGGCAGGTGGCGCTTGACGTCGAGTACAACGAGCAACGAGGCCACAGAAGAGAAGAGGGGGCAAAGAGGAAAGCCGTAATGTTCGCCCAATGAATGTACAAACAGAAGACGGACTGCCAGACTTCAATTTGCACTTCATGTGGTGGAGAAGCGTCGCGTCGCGGGTTCTGAAGTATCCTGGTTGGACAACTCTTAAGCACACAATACGTTTTCCTTCATACCACTGCAAGTATTATGTTAAAGTTTGTGTGCTGGCCTGTCGAACTGAAAGACAATGTCTACTGTACGTTCCCACTTTTTGTGGAACTTTTTGTTAGGATCAGTTGCACGGTAGGTTTGATTCCCTCGAACACAGAACAAGCTGCTTAATAGTGTGTAGGAGCGAAAAATGCGGTGACAGTATCCTGATTGATGAGTGCCAGTATGAACTGCAGTACATAATGATTTTTGGTACAAAATCAAGGAGAAAGCAAACAGTATATTCCACTGAAATAATGTTAAAAAAGAACAATATAGTGCACCCACATTGATGTTCTCTTCAAATTCTAATGGCTCTAATAAAACTGTAATTCTTAAATCAAATAAGAAAACAATTTGAAAAATTTATTCTGGATATTAATAACATTTTATATGTGGAATTTATAGTAACAAAACTCGGCATGTGAATGATAAATATATGTGCCTTCTTAAAACAATCCCACCGAATTTGCTAAGGTTGTTTCCATTCACTGCTCTAGATAATTTTGTTTTAGTGTACTCTCCTGACTGTGACATCAAACAGATATAAAGCCATATAAAGGTCATATATATCTAAACAAGAAAGTTTACATAAAAAACTGGCCTTTAAAGCAGTCTACAATAAAATCTCGATGATACGAATCTCGAGGGATCGCGGAAAATATTCGTATTATCTTAAATTCGTATGAACAAAAACCAAGTCACATAAGTACATGAAAGCAAAGCAAAGCAAAGTTTTCTTCCACTCGCTTAGTACTTATCTCGGAACTTTACATATGTTCCCACGAAAACGGGACACGAGGCTTCATCGAGACAAAATGATGGAATGGCAGAAATAAACCTCTAGCCAATACAGGGCATCTGGTCAACCTACCACGTAATCGCCGTTGTAGCGCAAGGCGTTTCTGAGTGGGCGCCCCAGAACAGTGAAGTCGTACCTCGTGAGTATCTTTCCGCCGAAGACGTAGATGGTGTTCTTCTCGACGTCCATGCACATCTGGTGGTCGAAGATGAGCTTGGGACCCCCCATGGCAGCCGTGTCGTCAGTGATGAGGGTCCACTTGCCCGTCTCGATGTCGTAGACGTAGAAGTCACTCTGCGGATGTCATTGAAACGTTAACATTGATGCAGTTTCCCTACTGGGTTCTTGGCACAAACTTGATCAGTTGTTAAAATCTCAGTGCTGAGAACATTTTGTATGTGTGCCGTTTTTGCCACTTGACTTCTAGTTGGCACCAGAATCTTTATTGACAGCACATATCATAAGCTGGAAGCTGCATACCGAACCACTAAAAATTTCAGCACCAATTTACAAATTTGGAAATGCTATTATTCTATGATTACTAAGTATGGTGGCCGAAAATTTGGAACGAATTGGGGTGACCGAGTGTGACAATCTAAAATTCCCAGTCTTATCTTGACCGCTAATTCGACATGACCGAGTGGTTTGCCAATTTGGACACTGTACATAGTGCAAAAACTTTAAAAACACTGTAATATATATTTTTTTTTTTTCAATTTGAAATTTGGCAGTTTTTTAAATTGGAAGTCAACTCTGCCTCTGAGCAAAATAATTTGTTGGCCTAGTCCTGTGCAGTGTTCTAGTTGTCCTTGTCTTTTGCGCTTTCTACTTTCGTGACTCCCTTTAGAGGCCTAGACTGTAGATACGACAATGTCCAAAGCAGAGACAGGGCGATTTTATGAGAGGTTTCAACTTAGGAATGTTGTCACTGTTGGCCCGGGTAAAAGGGCGGCGCTTGTGCCCACCTTGAGGCACTCTGTGGTGCGTGCGGAAGAGTCCAGGTATCGTCCCAGGGTGAACACCTTCTTGCGCTCTGGGTCCAGGCACATCTTGTGGCACGAACGTGCGCTGGGGCCACCCTGCCGTCGAAACCAAGACGTTTTATATTTCTTTCGGTTACAATCCTCAAAAGGGTGCTCAATTCAGCTCCATAAAACTTTGAAACACTTCAGAATCAATGTCTTGTGATTGCAGAAAAACTACTCACCTTTACCATATTAATAAAAAAAAAAAAAAATCTGCATTAATACATTTCTTAATTTCTGTGCGTCATCTTCAAAGGCATGACTTGAGCAAACTAAATCAACAAAACAAAAGAATGCAAAGAAAGCAGCACTGCAACCCATTCTTTGTTTGGTTTACTAGAGTTTTTCTCACTGAACATCTCGGAAAGGCACCGTTACCAGGGCCATCGTTAATATCAACTCTTTGCCCTTATGTACGAGACACCGGAAACAAGACAACAATAAATGCTAGGTCGTCATTCGGATTTCTGGTGCTTATACCATCATATCTCGAGAGATAGCCCATCTAAAATTGAAAGCAATTCTTGTGAAAATAGGGAGTGGGTTTTTTTTCCTGCCTGGACATGCATATTGGGAGCCCTGTTGTTAGAACTTTTGCATCAAGGGAAAAAAAATAAACAGAAGAACGAGATCCATTAAGCGGAAGTGCCAACTTTAAGCTCGGAAAAACATTCTACTCCCATTTCCTTAACTTTAAAACGGTTTTCGTGCCAGGTAGTTGAGCTCCTAGCGACGACGACTCCCCTCTCCCCTTCTGGTCTTCTCCCTCATTTCTCAGCAACTTCCCAGAACAACTTTACCACTTCACACAATGAAGACGCTTCCACTTTCCGAACAAGGTAGAGGTCCGGTCAGACGCCACTTGAAAGAAAAGGTTCCAATTGGCATGCTGCCAGAGCTACCTCTGCCTCGGTGTCCCTAGACAGACACGTCCACAAGCCCGTCGAAGTCTGGTAGGACCAGAGGTCGGCAAGATCCTGCATGCCATCCCAACCACCAAACAGGTACAGGGTTTCTGGAAACGACACAAGAAGCATTTGAGTGACACTGCACAGGACGCACGAGAGCAGATGTTTCAGTGTGCATGTTATCGCCTGCATTGGTTCAAAATGTAGAACACAAAGCCTGTTAGCCGAGAGAGGTCAGCTCGTTTGATTCGGTACAATTAACCGTTACGCAGCTCTGCCATGCTAAAAATGCGTTCCCTTTCAGGGTAAGGGTCCCTCTTTGCTGTTCACCATTAAAATAAGGCTGCATGTTTTTGCTTCCTCAAGGGTGGCCGAGCGTGTTGACACACTGCAGCTCGGAACACATAGAGCAAAGACCCGTGCTGCAGAACACGGGGATCCTGGGTTCAAACCCTACCCTTGCCTGTTTTGACCTGTATGAGCATTGTACCGGCATGTGGTCATATGTTCCTACCATACGATGCACATTAAAAACCCCAGGGTGGCGGTAGTACACAATTTAATCCTCTCAGAGGAACAAACAGATTACAATTTCCTCGCCAGTTTATTTACCTCCGACACAAAGAAATATTCTAGTCTTCAGAGATGGAAGTGTGATTTGACCTTTTGTAAGATTCTGTAGCTAGCAAAATATTGGTTTAGAGCAGCCACTGATGCTTTCGGAGCAGATGCCAACATCTGCTAGCAGATCGCTTAAGAATAAAAAAGTGATTCCATCACTAAATGTGTTCCCTTATGATAGTGATCAAGGGTTCCTTTTTGATGCTCAAATGTATTACTTATTATCGTTTTTGATAAGAAGAGATAGGGCTTAAAAGGAATACAGTCTTCTTAAGGGGACACACCCCCGGGGGGGGGGGGGGGGGGTCAACTTTTGAACCCTTGTCTTAAAATTAACGAAATTTACAGGGTAGACTGGTGGTCATGCTAGAGGGTGTATAACAAAATTTCAGATCTGTCGGTTAAAGAAGAAGGAAATTAGAGTAGCTTCTGTCAGCAACACGCCTACATTGTTTAGTTAACCTATCGTCAAAAAACATATCTAGCAAATTTTTATTTGCTAGATATGTAGCAGAATGCCTAGAGGGTGCGGCTAAGGAACATTTTTTCTAAAAAGTAATTCATTTCTATAAATTTTCTCTTCTGCAAAATTGGTCAACTTTTTGGTCTTCTGGGTCTTCGACAATATATCAACATTTTTTATAAAAGACATCCGTAAAGTGACAAAAAGTTCCATAGCCACATTCCTTATTAAATTTCAGTCAGGAAAAGGGAAGAATGAGCCTTCCCTGTTTTGCCATTATCAAACGATAGATTGACTAAAATGGAATTAATACCAAAAAGGGGAACGGAGAAAAATGCGTTCAAAGTGCTCCAAACCCTACCTTTTCTTTAGCTTTGGTGAACAGAAAATAATTTACAAAAACTTAACTATGCAGTGAAAATTAATTAAACTTTTTGGGAATACTCTCTAGATGTTGGTAGATGTAAATATATCATTTTTCAAAATCAACTTTTTTTGTAGAAAATTTTTTTTCTGGGCAGGGTCTCCCCTCAAATAAGGCTCTAGTCAGAGTAAGTTTAATATACAATGGGTATCAAAAAATGGTAGAAAAGGAATCATAGCACAACACTTCATTGGAATCAATCTTCTCTCCCCTCCCAATTTTCCACTCGGTAGTTTGTTTAGCCTGTAAATATAATCTTTGTAAAATGCAAGGACCAGCATATCCGCCAACATGTCTTCCAACAAAAATGTTTCCCGGAAGTTTAATGAACCTACCAAAGCCAAGACTCTAATGTTGTAAACTGCAAAAACAACCACCCAAAAATATTATAAAAGACTACACTCGCGCTTTAAAGGTAACACTGCTCTATAGCAGCATAGGAACCAGAGTTACGTCAAAGTTAGGTGCCCTTTCAATCGACAGCTGCACGAGAGCTACCGTGACTACAGTATTTATTCAAATACATATAGACCCACATTTTCTCTTTTCTTTCTCTGCCTAGATTTTTTTTTTAAATTAGAGATTAAAAGCTTGTTCACACTGTTGCAACCTCTTAGAACCTGGTGCCTTGAAACCTCTTAAGGGAACAGGGTAGGCCCTATTCTTCCCATGTGTTTCAGCCTATGTATGTGACCCTTTTTCTCAGGATCTGCTAGGGTTAGAGGATTCATGTTGGTATCATTGTATTTAGCTTTCTGTGTTCTCTTTACTGAACTACATTTATTGTTACATATATTTTAGCTCTTTTTTGCTTTTGTTTTTACTGGACCCCTCTAATTTTAATGCCAAAATAGACAATAAACAGCTTGTCAAACAAAATTGCCTTGATTAATTTCCATAATTCTAGTTCAGTAGACTCCCCCTTGTGTTGTCTTGTTAGTGGAAAAAAATGATACTTCTAGTTTTTATGGTTTCGGAGAAAAAGGGTCAAACGTCGCAAAAAAATGATGTTTTGAGATAATCGACTTTGAAGTGAAAAAAGGCACTTTATAATAAACTTGCACTCTAGAAATGCATGCTGATGTATCCGTTCGGTAGCCACCAGCCAGGTTGTCACCTCCATAGTCAATATTTAGTTTCTTTGTTTGCTGTCTTACTTTTTGGGCCTCTTTTGTGACGAGCTGTGTAGCCCTGTCTGCCAAGTAAAGTCGTCGCCGGTCAACGTCCCACAACCACTGCACCATGAATCATCCTGGTAAAACGCCAAGTAGAGGCTCGAAGTTGTCCGTTTTGACGTCTCTCTAATCAGTGTGTCCACCAGCACTTTTCACAGTTCAGAAAGTAGGTGCAGGCGACGCCAGCTCTTAGTGCTGCTTTTTTAACCAGCTGCAAGTCCCCACCACACACTTTGCACACCCAGCTTCGGCGACGGTACAGGACAGAAGGTCGTTGCCAATCAGTGCACAGTTGCAGTCACTAACACTTGCCTTGAGCTCTTCAAAGCTTGCTGCCGAGTGCGACAGCTTCGAAGAAGACGCGCACGTGGTAGCCGCTGCGTCAGGCATCAGAATGCGTTGCGGGGACTCGGCGGCATAAGAAATTGACCTATGCCGACTACTCTGGAAGCGATGCTTTTAGAATATCTTCTTCGTCTTCGTCATTTTTAACATTCCAAACCTAGTGTTAAAGTAAACAATAAATTACCTTGCCCGTGGAAGCATGCCGAAGCAGAAGCAAAAGTATGCGCGTCGCGACTGACACCGGCAGTGTCTGAGGATTTATGGGGCTAAAAATTAAAAGCTTGACAGCTTTTTGCTGTTGCTGGGCGAGCAATAAACATTCCGCTAAACCTAGTGAAAATCTGCGTTCTTTTTACGGTTTTTTTACAACATAGGAGAGATACAGATCGTGCATAGGTGTAAAAGGGGGCGCGGTCGGTCACCACCTAGGTTTCGGAAAAGGTCATTTTTCTTGTAGATAAATCGCGCACGCTCAAATTACACAGTCAGCATTGTTCAGGAAAGACTGGGAAATCCAAATCCCTAAAAAACAAAAACTCAAATTTTTTCAAAATTTTGCCCTACCCTGTTCCCTTAATATCTCTTACAACGAGAAAACACACTGACACCATCTATTGGGTAACAGTGTAAACTTGGCGGTCCGGCATATTTCCTATTGCTCTCGCGCATTATCCTTTCTTTCATGGCTTGAAAAACTTTTGTCAACGTTATAAACGAGCCTTTCTCATAGGTGTTACACACATTTGACCTCGGAAATCCCGCAAAGCATTCGCTCTTGTGAAATGCAGTTCCAGGGTCACCACATAGATGGTGCCAGAGTGCCAGTCTGTTCTCCCGTTTTAAGAACTGTGAAGAGGCTCGACTCGCTCGGTTGTGCTCGGTTGCAAAAGTGTGAATGGGCCTTAACTTACAATTAAAAAAAAAAAAGGTCGACCTGGGCTCTCCCCCAGGTCAGCCGCTGCTCCTAGTGCTCCGGTGCAAAGTGGTGAAGCTTGATGCATGCACGCTGGTGAGAGGTGGCAAAAGCTGACGGGAGCGGCGCAAGTGCCACGGTACGAAGGCATGTGGCAGACATGATAATCGAGTAATCTCATGAGGAGTAGTAGACCCCGGTTCTGTTTTATCACAGTAGCCGGAACCCGCAATCCTACTTTTTTGCGAAGTTTTCTCAGGACTCTTAGCTCCTGACATCTACGACATTGTTTGGAAATTTACACAACGTCAGCGATCAACCAGCCAGTGCATCAACTGGCCACAGCGGTTGATGCCCAGCGTCAACGGTTGTGGCTGGTCGATTCGCAGCCCCAAATCCTGCCATGGCATTCGTCATCCGCTTGTACGTGTTCTTTCATCAGTTAAACCAACCAAGTACAGCGAAGGTCCTGTGATTTGCACTTTTAGTATGTCTTTGTGGGCGTTTCAGCCCTCAACTGTGCTTCGACCTAAGATGAACCAAACTATACCGCGAGTAAAAATGCTGTATTATATTGCTAATTTTTTCTTCTTATACTTCTTTCATTATTAGGGTCAATCAATAATAAAATATTATTTCCTTTTGCTATAAGCAAATCTTGGCGCAGGTGTGGCACAATTCTTAGTTAAAGTGGCATTTTGTCGCAAGATGTAGCAGGCTTTCGTTCATGGCGCAATTCTGCACAAATTGGCGCAGCACTTCTATCACCGAGTTTTATTTAGCGATTATTCCTTAGTTCTCTAAGCAAAGGCGTCAACAATTTCTCTAAGCACATAAATGTTGACAAAACTTTCAAGTACCTGTCTGAACGTCAATGCACATCTGGTGGCCACCACGCATTCCGGGGCGGTTCTTGCCTTCCGCTACAGTGAAGAAAGAGGAAACGGTTCAGAACTAACAGCCACACTCACTGCTGCCTGCTCCATTTAATTCACTAACAGCCTACACTGAACTCTGTGATGCCAGCCAAGAAACTTATTCATTCCCTGATGCTTCAAACAGCTCTGTATGAATGTTCAACACAATCAAGCAAGTGAATGAATTTGCGATTAAAGATTGGAAGAATGTACACTTAGAATGACACAACCATTACAGGACAAAAAAAAACAAATCTTTAGCATTCATTAAGCCTAGCAATCTACAGATAAAGAGGGACAGAAAAACCTTTAAGCTGACTAATAAGAGCAAAACCTTGATTCCTTGCGAACACCGTCACTCAAACGCACGTTTGTCGGAAGACAGGATTGGCGTCCACTTGGGCTTGTACTCCTCGTTCTTGAGATACTCGTTGAAGACACCTTCTGCAACAAGAAAAAAGAAAAACACAAAAGCCAACATCACATTAACAGTATGTCCACACGGCTCGTACACAATCAGAACCGACATTCGAGATAATCCTCACCGCTAGCTGCCGTTTCAAGGAGCTGTTCGCAAGCCGAGAAATCGCCTTCCTGCACCTGTAACATGTGGGAACACGTCAAACCTTTGCAAGAAAGAGCACTTGAAAACGGACGTTTCGACCACATCGCAACGTGCATTGGCATTGCTCTAGTTTTGCACTTGCAAGTCTTCTTACCATGAGGTCATGAAGCCTCGTGAGGAGAGCATCTTCAAGTTGGACTTTGGTTCTTTTTTGTAACGACTCGAACGCTTCGGAGTAGTTGTGCTGTCGGAAGTGCTTCAGACACAGGCGGATGGCTTCTTTTTCCCGGAACTGTAAACGTTGGATGCAAGAAAAAGGCTGTCTCGGTCTGCCGAGCGGATGACACGAAAGAATAACGCTCCTCCTAGATACGCACCGCGCTGAACCATCTCACCGACGACTTGACAAGGTCTCGTTCCTCGTTTCCCTGAAGCTCGACATGCCAGATGCTGAAGTTAAAGCTCGGTCCCCACGACTGGATCGGCACTGTGGATTAAATGGAAAAGCGTCAGTGGTCATTAGTTTTTTAATCGGTCAGCGTCGCGCAAACGTGGCTCTCGGGAAAACAAAAACGATAAATTGGGTGGAAATGCAAGCTTACCAATCTTGATATAGCGCGAGGGAAATCGGTTGCCGTTAATCGTGTGTTTGAGCATAAACGTTTCGGTGAGGTGGTCGTTCTTCAAACCACTGTCAAAACGAAAGAAAATTACGTTGGAGCACTCGGAATCCGTTCGTGCAAAAAAGTTATTTGACGTTAGAAAAAAGTTACCTGTCCAAGATTTCCAGCATGTGTTCGTCCGTAAGGCCGCCATATATTTTGAACTTCTTCATGTTGCAGACGTGAGTCTTTTCGTACTTTCCAAACGTTATGGACTGCACAATCGCCGGCCGCTCTAATTTGAGGATTAGGAACTGCGAAAAACAAAACAGAAAAAGAAACGTTGGGTGTTTTCACATTGTTTTTTTTTTTAGATTCAAAGAACATTGACGTGCTACGTTCGATCACTGAAGAATTGCAAACATGAGGCGTAAATGTGACATTTACTTACCTGGGGAGGATAGTTGGAGTCCGAGGACCATCTTGAGTACTGATCCGCCGGTTTGTCTACCAAAATATTCCTGAAAGCACCAGAAACAAGTGTCAGAACGGCAGCAACGCCACAACTTAAGAACTCCAAGAGTTTATATAATCGGGACTTATGCAAACGTGGTAATGGAGCATTTCTGAGGATGCTGACAGTGCAAAAAAGTAATCGGGGTGTTAATTTAAAACTTAAATAAGCTTCAACGCCATCCTCTTGCGCCCGATACCCCAAAGCTAGCCCCTCGTGAAAAAAAAATGTCGCAGCTCGAAATAGTTTTGCCGTAACGCAGTAATCTCTAACGACATACAACTAATTCAATCGTTTCGTCTGAAACCGCAATCTTTATGGGTGTTTTCACGTAGTAATACGTACTCGGGCAAGTACGAGCCTGTGTAACTTGAGCACTTATGAATGGTGTACTTCAGCTTTTTGCAGCCCTCGGTCGCCATTTTTGGAGTTGACAACAAACGATCGCTGGATCGCAGACGACAAGCAAACTTATTTTTTTCATCTTAACATACCGTATATTATAGTTAGTACTATAAACGCTTTTATAAATACTTAAATATATTTAGCTAGTAAACAACGTTTTATTTTAAAGACGTTTATTTTCTGCGAGGCTGTCTTAAACGGCGGTCGTTTTGAATCCGGAAAATTGGCGTAAAGGCGCGTTCACACTCTTGCAACCGAGTACGACCGAGAAAGACTTCTTGGGACCGGATGCGCTGAGCGGAGCTGGTCCTAAGAGATCGCAAGAGGCTTAAAAACCGGTTTGGTCTCTCTCGGTCGTACTCGGTTGCAAGAGTGTGAACGGAGTATACACCATTCCATTTAGCGCTCTCTGGGCGGCACCATTTTGTGCGACCGCAGCGCCCTCTCCACACATCCGGGAAGTTCAGCGGGTTCGGCGGGGTAAAACGAGAGAGAGGGCACGCGCGCGACTCCGCTTGCAGACGACAAACCGGGACGTTGCCGTTCTCCATCTTTGGGCTGTATCGGCGGGCTCTAACGAACATCGAACTCTCGCTCGTGGCTGCCGTTGTGAAGTGGTTCGCGTTCTTAGAATAGTTGTGGCGACTCCAAAATCAGCCTATAGCTCTCTGTCGTTCTATTTTGCTAAATGATCAACTAGCATATATTTTTTCCGTTACTTAAATAGCAGTTGAGTCAGCCGGCAGTACTACCCTCAACTACTGCTTGTATTGTGGCAGGAGAGCACGTTTTATTTATTATTTCAGACTTCCACTCACGGTCGCTAAAGGCCTACACCAGTACGAACTTGTGTATAGTAAAAAAGGTACAGCCACCGGATTTACTTTTCGCCAAAGAGACCGGCCAATCAGACACAGTTTTCCCAATAATTTTTTTTTTTTATTTGCACGCAGGTAACAGCGCAATTGGACCCCGTGAGTCCTTTTATCTAGCATAATATTACACGACAACTGGCATACCAAAATCTGCGCATCCGCGCTTGGAAGTTCCAAAATGACGCGATTTTAAACAGAGTTTGCACGCCAGCCGGACGCTACCTACAGCCCACTCGGCGGGGCGGACGTCATGCGGGGTGAGAGGGGGAGTGCATTTTTTTCTCTTTTACCCTCTCTGCTATGACCCTAATGGAACGGTCTATATCGGCACCGAATTCATTTCCATATACTTATAAAATTTACTTTGTTAATATATGTGTAGGGTGACCAGACGTCCCGTTTTGGCCGGGACAGTCCCGTTTCTGAGGTCCGCTTCTCATTCTTGTCCCTTTTTTGGCAGGAGTGCATAGTTTCGAAAGGGCCGAGGCTACATCCACGCGCGGGGTCGTAGCCAAGCCGGGAGGAGATAAGGCTCCATCCACGCAAAAGGTCACGTGACTTATAAAGTAAAGACATAATTTGTTTTTATGTACATATTATGCGTTCTTATAAGTAAATATAGGATATAAAAATAAAGAGGTTACATTTTATTGTTGTTTTAAAGTTAATATATCACGTGACTTTGCAAATTCTTAGACGCCAATGGGAAATATCATGCGTCATAAAAATAGTATCCGTAGATATCTTTATATTTATGTTGTCCAGGAGTCACACACACGTGTGGGCAGCATGCGTGCCATCCGTGCGTGTGGGCGTGCAGCCTGCAGCCACGTGGTGCGGCCAGTGCGGCCTCCGGGGCCTTCGCGCATGTGAGCATCGCTTCTGGGGCGTGGCGGCGGGGCTGCGCCGCGTGGCGTTGTAGTGTGAGCTTATGTGCATCGAGCCCACCGCTTCGTATGTTCTTGACTTGCGCGCACGCTCGCAATCTCACAAAGATTGTGAGAGGAGGAGAAGCATGCATTAGTCCCAGTAATAACAAACCTACTGAGAGCATTCAATCGAGAAAACTGGGTAAAAGGTTACAGAAGCAGTTTATTCCATGACAAATAAAACAGTAGCCGGTGCACAGATGCCACTCGTCCACGAGATCAGCGATGAACGCGAAGCCCTTCTTGCGGCAGAACTCCTGCAGGAGCCAGTTCACTTCTCTGTGCCGATCATTCAACGCCTGGATCACTGCACCCTGCCTACGCTGACACTCCAACGTAGAGAACCTGTTCTCTCGCCTCGGAAGAAAAGGCGATCTGCGTCGTCGGATTGCGTTCAAAGATCTGAGCGGCCAGCCGATGGTACTTATCAACGTACGCGCTGGCACAAACGCTGGTGTTGTTTGTGCCAACGTCGAGCAGGGCGTCAGACACCTTGAAAAACAAGATCCTAATGCCACTAAACACCCCCACTTCGGCAGCCACCCGGTTTTTCGATGCCAAATACTTGGACAAGTATTTCACCATCGAATCCCCGGCAACCAAAACTGGAGGCATATCAGAAGCGCGACCATGCAATACAACAAAGGGCCCAACTCCTTAACAAAGAAAACAATATAAAAAAAAAAAAAAACGCTTTAGAGAAAGTTAAACCCGCTTGCGGAAGACCATGCAGGAACAGCAGTCCGCGCACGGAAGGAACGCAAGGAGCAATGGCCACCGAGCACATGGCAAAACAATGGGAGACAAGTCCGGTAGGTCGATTGCTGCGTGGACGGAGAGAAGACGGAAGGGGAACTGCCTCCGTCCACGCAAGAAGTGACGTAGGGCGCCGGAAGTGACGTAGTGCGTGGATGGAGCCTTATTTCCTCCCGACACGGCTACATCCCCGCGCGTGGATGTAGACACTCCCGTTTCGAAAGTGCCACCAAGCGAGTTGAAGCAAACAGAAACTCGCTTTGAAACCAAATGAGTGCATGAAACCGAACTCCCTAGGCCCTAGGGCCTAATGCAGTATGGTAACGTTTTGAAATACGAGAAGTTATTTCATTAAATTGTTTCTCTCAATCTCAATCTTTATTACGCGGACACCCCCTCCCCCAGGGTGTCCCGTTTTCTACCTTGTTCAAGAACTAACCCTAGTAGCACGAGATGTTGCAGGAACGTTACTGCAACGTGGCTAATGTTGTGCAACGTTATGCAACGTGTAACAATGTAACGACAATATTACTAAAACCATATTGCAAAAACATTATTTCGAAACATCAACACAATGTTACACAAGTGAGATGCAACGTTACACTACTTTTACGTATGTTACTGAAATGTTGCTGCAGAAATGTTAGGGCAATATAATCCAGAAACAAAGAGCCTATGTTTCAAAGGTAACATTAAGGAGATGCATCTGTGATAACTTATAAAATGTTACAAAAACATCCCGCAACTTGAGAGGACAACACGCCTTTCTGTCTGCAGAAACATATCTCGCCTGTATTTATTTCATAAGATCCACCACCACAATGACATCCCCCTTTGTCACACCTCCACCTATTGTCAGTCATTCCCGCCTATGTCATCACTAGGCAAGAATCATCCCCCCTACTTATCGCTGGCATAGCTGATTGCACCGAATTTAAAGATGCAGTGTGATAATGAATTCGGGGTCTTGTTAACAATATTTTGATTTAGTTTTTAATGTGTTTGTTTGCAATTAGATATTTCTGTCCACTCCACTCTTTAATGTCTCAATGCCCTAAGGAAATAAACCGCTACAATATTTCTTCGTCCGCACCCGGCGTGAAGCCCACAAGGGTTAATTTTGGCTCGAAAAAAGTGTTTTTCTTATACAGTCCCAACTCGGTGTATAGTCCACAGGGGCAAATTCAAACTGAATATCTGTTTCCTTAGACGGTCCACATTATGGGGAGAGGTCCTTTTGAGCCCGCTTGTCGTGGTGAATCACAGAGCTCATGAGGATTAAGCTTGACAAACAAAGATTGCCTGGAGGCACTTAAGCTAACAGCCTGTCAACCCCAAGACATCAAAGGCCTGGACGACACACTGACAGTATGACCTGTTTCTCACTTCAGCAAAGCAAAACATATTGTAAATATTGTATTGTAAAATATCTAGAACGAAAGACACAAAATGTATTGTATCCTCTGCACCTGCAGATAGTCTGCAGAGTGAAATATTAACTTTTAGGCATGTATAGTCTGCAGACTATGGTCTGGAAACTATTGTACTTTTGTGTGTAAAGGGCTCCATTGAATGGATGTAGCAGTTTGGTTTTACTGAAGTAATTTCTGAATTAACTAATGAATATTTAATTAAAATGGACGGAGCATGGCCTCCCAGTAATCAGAAATAGTAAACGGAATGCACAGTCTCCCCAATTGCCACTTCAGTTTTGGTAGAGCTACACCTGCATGCAGCACGAGCAAGCTCAAAAGCTTTCAAATGGCCCCAGTGAGCAAGCGCCCACGAAGCAGGATGCATGCACCACGTGCCCTTTCGCTCACTCATGTCCAAAGGGCCGTCTCACGCTGCAAAGCTGCGGTCTAGTGGCTGTAGCCTTCGCTGCACCTTATTTAAGGGTCAATGCAGTGTATAGTTGTGCAGGAATATTTTTCACCATTGTTTTTGTTTCTGTAATTGTAACTGCGATTGTAATTTATTTGCACACGGATTTGACGTGTATGCGACGACGTGCAAGGCTAGACAAGAAGGTGATAACCCTTATGCATATGCGCCTACTAGCAGGCCGCCCCCTACAGTGCAGGAGACAGGAGAAAGGGGACTCAGTAGGGTAAAACAAAACAAGCACACACAGCAACAAGAAAAATAATGGTGCAAGTCACTGGTCGTCACGAGCTCAAAGCCAGTTGGCGAGAGAAGAGCTAGCAGTGGCGGGTGGTCCTCCCACGGAGAGGCTCAGGCTGCCCAGTTCTTTTGCTTGTCCGCACTGCGGAGTACAACGAGATCCCGGAAAGCGGTCCATCGAGCATCCGGCACAGTGCGCGCATCCGTGAGGCCCGTCGCCTCTCGTGGGGGGTCGCCGACCAAGGGCACCCACACCAGGCGTGCATCGTACGAGCCGTCCGCTGTGCCACAGATGATCCGTGTCGCACGGCGCTGCACACTTTCGAGCCGTTCCCAGAGGTGCTGCTGGGG